CGGGGTAAATAAAAAGTATGTAATATTATTTATTAATAATTTGGCAAAAAAAGGAGGCGAAGTTCGAAACGATAAACCTTTTATATTATTTATTAATAATTTGGTAAAATAAGGAGGTAAAATTTAAAATAACGATTTGGTTTTTAAAACACTTGTAAAAATAACGGAATAATTAATTTGTATAATTATAAAATATTATTTCGGTTAGATTTAAATTAACGTTAACGTTATTTTAACAAAGAAAAAAGGGTTAAATAAAAAATAAACTATAGTGTTAAATATTATTTTTTATTATTTTAATTGTATCGATGTTTTTTAAATTAAAACAAATAAAATTGTTAATAAAAGTATGTTTTAATTATTCCATTATTTTAAAGGTAAAAATAAAATAAGGAAAAGTATAATTTTATACATTTTAATTAAAGCGTTAAAAAAGAAAAGTTATTGTAAACGGTTTTAAATGATAATAACGTTTAAATATATTATTGCATAAGTTAATAATATTATTATATATTTTACTATAAAGTTTTTTAAAAATGGTAGAAAAAGTATATTTAATATTAAAATTATTATTTAAAAAAACGTTAATATTTTAATTATTAACGAATATTTTATAATATTAAAAATATTATTATATAAAATTTATAAATAATTATAAGTAACTTAAAAATAATTTAATATAAATTTTAACGGTATATTTATTATTATATTATATAGTAATTTTTATTAATTTAACTTTATTACCGGTAATTTTTTATTATATTTAAACTAGCTTTTTATACGTAAATATTTTAAAAAAACCGGTAAAGAATTTATAATAAACAATAAAAAATAATATATAAATTATAATTTATAGTTTAAATTTATATTAATAATTATTTTAAATTAATAAATAAAAACAATAAACTTTTAATTAATTTTTTTCCTTTATTATTTAAAAAATAATAAATAAATAATTAAAAATGTTAATTTATTAAATTTTAAATTAACTTAACCAAAAAATATTAAACTTAACAAAAATATTAAAATTATTTATTTTTTAAATAAAATGCGGTACGTTATAAATCTTTAAATAACATTTATATTTATTAAAAAAAAAAAGTAAATAATTTAGATTTTTTTATTAAATTATATATTTTAAAGGATAAATTATATTGTTATTTTTAAAGCAATATATATAATTATAAATAATTTAAATTTTAAAATGCCAATTTATTTAGTTTTTATAAAAAATATATTTATAAACATTATAAAAAATAGTTATTAAAGTTTAAAAATAGTAAATAATATTTAATATATTATTAAAAGGTTTTTTTTTAACCTTAAAAACATTATTTTTTATATAAAGCCAATATTTTTATTATTACAAAAACCTTTTAAATTATCCTAATATTATTTTAATTAATGCGTAATATTAAATTATTAAAATTAAACCATAATATTTTACTTATTTTTAAAATAAAAATATTAATTATTTAAAGAAAAAAACAGTTATTTAATAAAATTAAATTTATTTTAACGTTTACTTTTGTAATTACCGATTATAAATTACAAAATTTAATATTATTAAATACTTTTTTAAACTTTATAAATCAAAAATTATTTAAGAAAAATTCCGATTTTATAATTATATACGTTTAATTATTTTATATAATTAATTTTAAAGATTTATATATTTTATCTTTTATAAATTGCAAATATTAAATAAAGTTGTAACTCCCGTTTTAAATGGCAAATAATATTAATAAATTAATAATTTTAGTTTAAATAACTTTTAACCGGTATTAAAACGCTTTAAAATTAATTTAATAATATTTAAATATGTAAGAAAATAACTAAAAAATATTTATAAAAAAATATTTTATAATATAAAAAAATTATAATATATAAAATAATTTATATCTTAAATCTTACTTTATTTTTCTTTTATTTTTAATAAATATTACCGCATATATTATAATTAATTTAAACAATTATTTAAAAAAAAATATTAAACTTACCCGTCGTTTTTATAATAAATATAATAAAACAATTATACAATTATAATCTTAATAATAATATAATTAACCTAATATATTTTAACTTATACATTCCCATTTCTTTATAATTATATTTTAATAATTATTTTTTACCAATTATATTTAATAAAAACTTACTACAATTAAAATATATTTAATAATATTTCCATTTATATCTTTTTTATTATTCTTAAAAAAACATTAAACATAAAAAATGTTATTTTTTATTTATTAATTATAATTTAAAATATTTATTATATTTAATTTTTTTTTCTTTTTAATTTTAATATATTTATTATATTTTACCATTTACAATATTTAATTAATTATTATATTTATTTAATTTAAATTTAATATATTTATTAATTTTTAATTAATATATATAAAAATAATTATTACGCTTTTTTTATTTTTAATATTTGGTAAATTTTTTAATAACATTATTTTTAGTTTTTTTATTTTGTTTTTAAATAATTGTTTTTTACTTAATATACCTTTTTAACTACTTATTTTTAAAACTTAAATAAATATTATAGTTTAATTATTTTAAATATATTTACTTTAAATTTATTATTTTCTTACTTTTTTTACATTTTTATTTAATTGTAAAAAATTAATATTAATTATTTTATTATTTTACCATACTTTTAATTTTAAACCGGTTTAAATTTTATAATAAAAATAACTATAAAAATAAATTTTAAAATTATTTTTTACCTAAATAAAATATTAATTAAATTAAATATTATAATAGTAAAGATTTTTAAAATAATTAATAATTAATTTATTAATATTTTAAATTTAAAATTAATAAAATAAAGTATAAATTTAATTTAATTTGTTAAAAAATTTAAATCTTAACCTTATTTTTAACTTTATTACCAACCTAAAAATAATTAAAAATAATGCCATTACTTTTTTTTTTCCCGTTTACCGTTTATTAATAATATTTAATATATGTATTAACCAGTTATATATTTTAAAAAATAAAGATTTAATAAGTTTTTTAATTTACCGCGTTATTTATAAAATTGCTTACCTAAAAAAACCCGTAAATTTAAACTTTATTAATATTAATATTAAAATAATATAATAGTTTAATAATATAATTTGTTAGCATTTCGCTTTTATTTTCCAAAATAAATTTAATCGTAAAATTATATTATAATACTTTTTTATTTTTTACTTGTTAATTACTTTGAAAATATATTTTAATATATAATATAATAAACTTATATTAATTTATAATATAATTAAATATTTTAACGGCTGGAAATATTTTTTAAATTTTAAATTATAATTAATATTATAATTTATAATTAAAAACCATACCCGTTTATTGTTTTAAATCTTTAATTATTTTATATTAAACATTAATATTATACGTTCGTTAAATACCGAATAATTTAACGGCATTTGTTATATAAGTTTAATTGTTTATTTATTAAAATTTGTTAACAATAGGGGTTATTATAAAGTTATTATTTTTAATTTTTAAAGTTAAAAATAATTATTTATTGATTTTTAAGTTATCCGTTAAAAAACGTAATTTAATTTAATTGTTTAATAATTATAAAAATAACTTATTAAAAATTATTTAATTTTAAATTATTATAACGTTAAGTATTTCTGGAATTAAAAAACCATACTTTAAATTATTAAATAAATAAATTTATAAATTTATAATTTAATCACTTTTAAATTTATTTAATTATTTATAAAGTTAAAGGTAAATAATTAAATTAACCAATAAATTATAAATAAAAAATTAGCTAAATAATTAATTATTAATTTTTAAAATTTTTAATTTTACCAAAAATTAAATTATAATAAAGGTATTATTATACGCCAGCCTTTTATCCCGGTATTTACTTATAATTAATATTTATAATAATATTAATAATAAATAATGCCGTTACCATTAAATAATCCAGTAAAACGATTATAATAAAACCCGTTAAACTTATCGTTTTTAAAATTTATTTTTTTAAATTACTTATTTTAAAATCTCCGAAAAAACATAAAAAACCAACCCATAAATATTAATTCTTTAGTAATATTAAATTTACCATTTAAAAATTCTTTTTAAAAATTATAATTTGAAATTATTAATTTAACTAATTTATTCCCTTTTTTTAATAATTTTAAAAAACATTAATAAAAGATTAAACTTAAAAATTAAATAATAAAATAATATTAAAAATAATATCAAAAAATAAAAAAAATTAAAAAAACGATTACATATAAATCGATAAATATTATATTTTTATATATTAATATTAAAAAAATTAAATAATATTAATTTATTTAAAACTTATATATAATAATAATAAATAACAATATTTTTATATATATATAAAATTTAAATTTAAAGTTATAAATTATTTTTTTTAATCTTTTTTTTATTTTTTTTATTAAAAACTTTATTTTTTTATTAATTTATTAAAAACCTTATCTTTTTATTAATTTATTAAAAGCTTTATCTTTTTATTAATTTATTAAAAACTTTATCTTTTTATTAATTTATTAAAAGTTTTATTTTTTTATTAGTTTATTAAAGGTTTTATTTTTTATTAAAAATACATACCATTTAAAATTTTTAAATTAAAATTAATTTAACATTAATCATATAATTAAAACTTTAACCTTATTGTTTAACTTATTACAATACCTGGGACCCACAATTAAAAGGCACTAGTGGGTGCACAAACAAATTGCCTAATTAGGAAATATCTTTAACTTGGTTTATTACAATAACCTTTTTAAAAGTCGGGCATATTTAAACTTTTAACATTAAATAACATGACGCGGATAAAACCGTTTGGAATATGATTGGATTAACACTACTTGTTATAGTAGGTTACCATGTTATTATTTACTAGATGTAATAGGTATTAATATTATGTAGGTAGTAATACTACATAGGTATGTAAAAAGGAAATCTAGACTTTTGTTTTCCTCCTTTCTAGGCCTAAATACTATGGTAGGGGATGAGAAAGCTAAAAACAAGATGTGGAGAATCGGGGTAGTCTTGGCCCCCGATATTCCTATTTCATCAACAAATATCCCTATTTTATCGAAGTCGGCGATTGCGCACGAGTTAAATTAACACCACGTACTACTGTACTTGTACTTCATAAATGGTTAATAAAACTGTCCTCATATATGTACGCAAATACCTTCAAACCCTAATTTAATGCTGTTGCCGCTTCGTACACGACTCTCTCTTAATATCAAGTAGGCAATTGCTGGATAGAGACCTATATTACTCCCTACTGTCGCTTCGGCGCAACAATCAGTAGTCCACCATGGCCTCCAAAGCTATGTGGGAAGTCGATCCGGAGACCAGATCAAAGGTATGTATTGCTATCTAGTTGGGGTTTGAAATGAATTAATGGCATCGCAATTAGCATAGTTTAGGTACCTATCTATCATGATATTAAACGCTTGCTAACCGTCAGCTTATCTCTAGCTCCTGGCTATACAAAAGACGAGCAACAACAACATCTGCTGCGATTGCAACGCCCCGAACCCGCAATGGGCGTCTCCTAAATTCGGCGTTTTCATCTGCCTCTCCTGCGCTGGCGTTCACCGGGGCCTTGGCGTCCATATATCGTTCGTTCGTTCCGTTACTATGGACGCGTTCAAACAGGCCGAGATCGAGCGCATGCGGCTCGGCGGTAATCAGGGATGGAGATCGTTCTTCGAGCAGCACGATGATACCAAGATGCGCGGTCTAAACTGGGACGATGCTACTATCGCGGAGCGATATAGCGGCGAAGTAGGTGAAGAATGGAAGGAGAGGCTTAGCGCCAAGGTTGAGGGTAGGGAATACGTACCCGGTGAGCGAAAGACCACACCGCAGCCCGCCGCCGCCGCTGCCACAAAGCCGCCTGGTCCAAAACAAATCAGTAGGACTGGAACGCCGTTGCAAGGCGTGGCAACGAGTGGAAGTCGAACAGCAAGCCCCAGCCGACCAGGTGTCAAAGCTAAAGTCGATGATGAATATTTCGCCCGTCTGGGAAAAGAGAATGCGTCTAGGTCGGCGGAATTGCCGCCTAGCCAGGGAGGCAAATATGCCGGATTTGGAAATACGCCTACGCCTGCAAAGAGTGGTAACGGAGGGCTCCCAGATCTATCAGAGGTGCAGAAGGACCCAGTAGCTGCCCTAACAAAAGGGTTCGGCTGGTTCACAACGACTGTAAGCAAGACGGCTAAAGGAATCAACGAGGATTTCATCCAGCCTACGGCTAAGCAGGTAAGCACAAGAGTCCGCATGCTTAACAGCATAACGAAGCGAACACAGTTGCTGACTCTCACAAACAGCTTTCAGAATCGGACTTCGCAGCACAGGCGAGAGTTGCAGCAGGGAGCGTAGGTAAGGCGGCACAGGCCAGCGCAATGACAGCACAGGATCGGTTTAACCGCTTCGTTGAGGGATCCGACGAGCGAAGGCAAGCCCCGATAGACGAGAGCAAGAAGGCATTCTGGGACGACTTCGCCGCCGTCGCGGATCAACGGCATGGTACCGGGCCTAAGTATAGCTCGGTCGGAACTTCAGCCATGGGAAGAGGAGGAAATAAGAATGCGCCGGCAGCGGCCAAGAAGGACGACGAGTGGGACGACTGGTAGTGGCCGGACGGGGATTGTCAGTTTATACTACCCAGGTCTAAATGAAGAGACTGCACAGGTATCGGGGTGTGCGATTATACCTATAGACGACGGACACGATGCCATGCTGTATAATTACCTGGTAAGCTAAATGGAGTTCTGGGTAGCGTATATACATCTATGTATTAGAATCAATGTAAAGGGTGCAAATATTCTTTTTATGCGGCGGTATTCGAGTAATAGGTACCTAGACACCCAATTACTAAAGTACAACTAAGCATACTAAACAATTCTTCATTATACCGTTGCGATATACTGTACTGCAATGTTATACATTAAGTATCCAATTATTGTCTAAGGAGGTTATTTTACGAGCAGACCATCCATGTGGGGCTTATTTGGCCGAGGTTTTTAACAGTAGAAGCGCGGCTATCGCCGGTCTCGGTCGCGGATTTTCCTGCGTCATTGAACGGAGCTTCAATTAAGGTTAGCCGAAGCATTGAATCCGACAAGAGACATAAGCTCGGTTACTTGGTTACTTAGACTTTCACTTCTCCTTTCGCTTTTTTATAGACAGCCAGCAAAGCTGCGAACTCGCCATGTCAGCATTACGCATTCTTGTGCCCGTAAAGCGGGTAATTGACTATGCGGTATGAATCGATTAACTCCTACACTTTGTACACGTAAGGGCAAAAATGGAACGAGGGGGTAAGCTAATGGTCGTATTCCTTATCCGCAGGTCAAACCCCGTGTCAACAAGGCGCAGACGGGCGTCGAAACGGCCGGCGTCAAGCACTCGATGAACCCGTTCGACGAGCTTTCGGTCGAGGAGTCGGTGCGGATCCGCGAGAAGAAATCGGCGCCGGGCGGCGTCGAAGACATCTGCGTGATCTCGGCGGGCCCCCCGAAGGCCGCGGATGTGCTGCGCACGGCGATGGCGATGGGCGCGGACCGTGGCATCCACGTAGACGTCAAGGAGGGCGAAGACCTAGAGCCGCTCAGCGTAGCCAAGCTGCTCAAGGCCGTTGTCGACAAAGAGAAGAGCAACCTGGTCATCCTCGGCAAGCAGAGCATCGACGACGACGCGGCACAGACGGGGCAGATGTTGGCGGGATTGCTGGGCTGGCCCCAGGCTACGCAGGCTAGCAAGGTCACGTTTGGCGCGGGCGATACGGTCGAGGTTACGAAGGAGGTTGACGGCGGCGCGGAGACGGTACGCGCAAAATTACCGATGGTTATCACGACGGATTTGCGCCTTAATGAGCCCCGCTATGCGAGCTTGCCGAATATCATGAAGGCGAAGAAGAAGCCGCTTGTCAAGATGAGCTTGAGTGATTTAGGCATTGCGAATGAGAGACGACTTAAGATTGTTAAAGTTACAGGTACGATTTTTTACATTCTGTTGTCTCAGCCTTTCCTCTTTTAGTTTATACTAACTTTCTTATTACAGAACCACCGCCGAGAGAAGGTGGCGGCAAGGTTGAGGATGTGGATGGGTTGATTTCGAAGTTGAAGGAGCTGGGAGCGATATAACGAACGAATAGAGAGAATTGCTTTAAAACTAGTCAATCTTCATACATATGGGCCACGGTGAAGCTTAAACGTAGATATGGGATATTTTATTTCTACGACGAATGAAGCTAGCTATACGGGTTTCGTGTCCGATAAAGGGGCTACGGGGAAATCTAAACCCCAATAGTTTTCACGTATAGATAGTCCTTATATTGTTGATAACTTGGTTATTTATGGAATCTATAAAGCCGCGAGGTTGATGTGGCAAATGAAGATATGTTCAATCAAGACAAGTACCCAGAACCCAGAATCATGTAACTCAAATTCACAAATTTTACAAATGCCCAAGCGTATAAACCCCCTTTCGTTCAATACTACATGTAACTATGGCCTCTCGGGGAGTCGCTTCTATCCGATCCTCGGTACGATAGGGAGGAAAATAATATTGCAGTTCCACAAATGGCGTTTATAAGTGTTGAACTAACTTATTGATCGGAGCACTAAAGCGTTGGGGTTTTCACAGCAACAAGAGCCAATCGTAAGGGATTGGTTTTGTGTACGAATTGGGGACATAGTTAATTTATTTATGTGCGTGGTTCAAGGGAGAGAAGGGATGCATTGGACTTGACTAATATGTACTACCGAAATATCGACATTCTAATGTTGTTGCAGCATTTGCATACTACTGGCGATTGTGGTGGGAGAGTATATCACAGCAAAGTCAACGTCGCCACAATTTACATGTGTGATAGAAATTACAAGTACCTATCTCATAGTAAAAGTAAACGAATTATCGTGATTTGATTGTGTAATTTAACCGCATACATACACTATCTGAAGTTAGTAAACGCTATTTTGGCCTTTCTTTGCTATAGACAGTATCCGGTCTACGTCAGGGCGTTGAGGCCGTTAATAGGCCGTTTTCGGCGGGAGCATAAATGACCCGACCTATGCCCTGCTCCTTACCTAACTTTACCTAACCTATGCAGGGGCAGTTTATATAAAAGACTTAATATAATTTAATTTATATAAAAGTTTAATAAACCTATAAAATAAAGTTTACTTAATTTATAAACTTTTATTATTTAGCGAATTTTTATAAAGTATATTTATTTATATAAATATTATATAATATATATAACGTAATTATTATATAATAAAATAAATATTATAATAACTGTTATAAAAAATTAAAATAATATCGGTAAAATAAATATTTAATAAATACTTAATAAATATTAATTAATGGTTAAATTAGTTTATAAAAAAATAAATATTTAATAAATATTTAATAAGTATTAATTAATTAATGTAAAATTGGAAAAAATTATAAAACTTTGTTTATTTATATATTTAACTTTAAAACCTCGTTTTTTTTTTTAATGCTTTAATCCGTGACTTACGATCGTAACGTGGTTTATAAAAAAATAAATATTTAATAAATATTAATCAATTAAATTATAAATGGTTAAATTAATCCATAAGTTAAGTAAACTTTATTCCATAAATCTATTAAACTTTTATATAGGTTAAGTTATATTAAGTCTTTTATATAAACTGCCCCTGCACAAGTTAGGTAAGGTTAGGTGGGGAGCGGGGCATAGGTCAGGTCATTCAGTTCCCCGTTTTCGGCCTGTAATAAATTTTTTTCACTCTTCTGTCTAGCGGGTCATAACAAGCTAATGTACCTAGAGATAAGGTAGCGGTATTACAGTGTGTAACACAGAAATACAACATATCTAATTGGACTATCGAATAGTAAATATGGGGCTGCACTGCATGGTTAGCTTGAAGATTTCGGAAACCAGTCAGATCGCACAACCTTGAATTCTTAGTCCCCCGCTATGAAAACAACCTTTTTTTTTTCTTCTTTCCCCGGTCCTCTTTAAAAACTGACGGTACTCCCCCAATCCGCCTTATTACTATCGGTATTCTTTAGAACCTCTAAACCTCCCTTCTTCCAATTGAGTCTTCCTCTAATTCTCCTGCCTCTTCTGGTTGGAACTATCCACGTTGCCCTTATGAACGGGCGCTCGTCAGTCTTCACATCCCAGGTACGTGCAATGAAAGATGACCTCATTCTAACTATCCCTCCTTATTCGACTCATGAAAATATATCCACTCTCGCCACGCTACTCGGTTTATACCTTTGCGTTTTATACTATTTTATCTCTCTGTTATCACTTTAGCCATTGCCATTGCTAACTATATCGCCACAGGATTATATCTCTGGTCCGTTTCACTTCACGAATCTGACTCACCGCTTTCGAGACTAACATAACTATATCTAGACCACTTGTGGCGGGCTCTCTCCGCTTAAAGGAGGCCATTGAATAATATCTTTAGCTCGAACCTTTAATTTACCACTTCAGAACATCATGTTCTCACGACTAGCCCTGAAGGCTGCGAAGCCTGCGGCATTCGGTGCTGCTGGCCTCTCGGCACGGGCCCGATTCCTCTCCACCACCGGCAACTTTGCGGCCCAGGCTATCCAAGGTAGTACGGGCAGGCAGATGCCTCAGACCTTATCCCGGGCTACGAAACCTGCTTCCGGCATGGAGGCTACACTCACTCTCCGAGTACGTTACAACTATGGTAGACCTTGACGATTACTATATGCTGACGGAGAAAAAGGATGGGCCTATTTTCCACGGAACGGCTTTCGGAGCTAATTCTAACATCTCTGGCGAGGCCGTCTTTACGACTTCTCTTGTCGGTTACCCGGAGTCGATGACCGATCCCTCGTACCGAGGCCAGATTCTCGTCTTCACTCAGCCATTGATTGGAAACTACGGCGTTCCCTCTAACGAACGTGACCAGTGGAACCTGCTGAGACACTTCGAGTCTCCTCATATTCAGTGCGCAGGAATTGTCGTTGCCGATTTCGCCGAGAAATACAGCCACTGGACCGCGGTGGAGAGTTTGGGTGACTGGTGTGCCCGAGAGGGTATTCCAGCCATCTCGGGTGTCGATACTCGTGCCATCGTCACTCACCTACGAGAGCAGGGTTCTTCCCTCGCCAGGATCTCTGTTGGCGATGAATACGACGCAGACGAAGACGAAAGTTTCGTTGATCCCGGCCAGATTAACCTTGTGAAGCGGGTTAGCACCAAGGCCCCCTTTGTTGTGGAGGCCCACAACCCCAAGTATCATATCGCGTTGCTTGACTGTGGTGTTAAGGAGAATATCCTCCGGAGCCTGGTGAGCCGTGGGGCTAGCGTAACGGTGTTCCCGTACGATTTCAAGATTCAGAAGGTCGCCGACAATTTTGACGGTGTATTCATTTCCAACGGCCCTGGTGATCCGACCCATTGCCAAGCTACCGTACACAACCTCAACGTGCTGATGGAAACCTCCCAAGTGCCCATTATGGGTATCTGCTTGGGCCACCAGCTACTGGCTCTAGCCACTGGAGCCCGAACCATCAAGCTGAAGTATGGTAACCGGGCACACAACATCCCGGCTCTAGATATGACAACCGGGCAGTGCCACATCACCAGCCAGAACCACGGCTATGCTGTCGATGCTAGCACGCTGGGTAGCGAATGGAAGGAGTATTTCGTTAACCTTAACGACGGTAGTAATGAAGGTAGGATATTTTTTATTATGGGCTTTAAGTTGTCTGCAAGTTACTAATACGATGTTATAGGTATGCGCCACGTCTCCCGACCAATCTTCTCAACCCAATTCCATCCCGAGGCCAGGGGTGGCCCTATGGATAGCTCCTACCTCTTCGACAAGTACATTGAAGATGTGATGGCCTTCAAGGCGTGCCAGGCTGTCTACAAGGATAACAGGCCGTCCCAGTTCATGTTGGACATTCTAAGCAAGGAACGCGTTGGTGTTCAACCGGAGCCTCTAGCTAGCGCTGCTTAGAGAGCCCGTTTTTGGTAGGGGTATACATGGGTATACATGAGTATTTTTTTGATCTATTAGGGACCGATTGGGACAGGATTGTGTCATAAGGGAGTTTATGTATTTCAAACCAAGAAAAAAATAAAATAGCGAAATGCATTGTACTTGATTCATTCATATATATTTTTGTCATGAGTGAGTGTGTAGAATAGAGTAATCGAAATACATTAGGTACATAGTCTAAAATGTATTATGTCTATACATATGGTACTCGTAAGAGTCTAGCCCCTTTTCATTGTTTTCATTTTCATTTATTACGTTGCCTACCTAAGGTACATAACCTACATAATGTTCCTATAAGTGCATGTACCTTAGGTAGGTTAAGTACATATAGGTCCTTCCTATGTATGTAAGATGCAGTTACACTAGATCTCATCTCTCTTTCTTCTTGTCTTATATATATCAGTGCTCCTGCTGTCTGCTGAGTGACCCGAGGAGAGAGCATGTAAGTATATAAAGCTGCCAGCGCTTTCCACAAAGTACATACTTAGTATATTACAACTCACAATATGTAGTTAGCATATATGTATTTATTTATTATTTATACTCTACATTGTCGAGAAAAATAGCTTGCGGTTAGTTTACCTGGGTGTATGATAGAACGCATTTGTTACTTTTCCTTTAAAAGCCACCAGCATTATATCGTCCATCTTAAGGTATTGCAACTGCTCCATAGACATATTGCTAGATAATGGACCTTTTCTTTGACACGGAAGAATTCACTCCCAGTTCTATTACCGAGCAAAACACGAGACCCAAGGTGCGCCTCTCGAGGAACTTCGTCATTGGCATATCTGGTAACATCTCGTCCGGAAAGACCACTTTGGCTCTCCTCTTAGACGCCGTTATCCAGGAGGCCTTCACGGCAAAGTCCTCATCCCCTACAGCTGCCTAGGATGGGTCTGTCCGGGACCTTCAACCTTGTCACGCCGTAATCCACGAGGAATTTTTCCGGATACCCGAAAAAGAGCTGGTTGAAACCAAGTCACTAGACTATGTCTCCCTGCGCCCACTGCCCGAGGACCTGAGCACCCCATACTTTTGCATATCGGATATGTCAGCCCGTAATGTCATCAATCGTCACCGCGCTGAGTGCTATAATACGCAATTATTCGCCCGCATGGTCGACAATCCAGACCGCATCTACGACACCACGAGGAAATACTACTTTTGGAACGACCAGGACCAAGCTTCCCTCGCGGGCCGAGCTCTTCAGCAGCTCTCGTGGACTGCCATAGTGAGGGCGGCCAAGGTCCTGAACACCGAGATGTGGGCCGTTCTCTTGACTTCGAAAATGTTCCCCTTCTTGAGTGAGCACGTGCTGCTAGAAAAAGGTGCGCAACCCACCGTGGCTAGACGCTTCACAATCGTCGAAGGTTCTTTGCTGCTCGCTCGCAACGACGACGATCCGGTCGGCTGGGCACCCCCGGGAAGCGAGATCGCCTCGCTACGGGACTTGAAATCCATACAAAACCGCCTCGACGTGTGTCTGTATTTGAGCCTGCCCTCTACATCGGCATTTGACAATCGCTTCCAGGACCCAAGGTACAAAGAAGCGGTATGGGGCGATAGCGAGAACAGGGAGTACTGGCGGAGCCGTGCGTATTTTTGGAAGGTTGCCTCGTACGTTATTCATCCGCCTCCTTTTTTACCTTAGGAACTTACCTTAGTTACCTACATCTCTAACTACAAACAAACCCCCCTTGCCGCCTCATCTCTTTCTACTATCATGATGCCCCCGCGTCTATATTTCATTCGGGACTAACCCAACCCTTTTTATCATCTAGGCCGCAGCATGACCGGTACCACAAGTATATCGACGAAGAATTGGAATCGTTCCGAAGCAAGGAAAAAACAGAGTTAAAGTTATTGAATAGCGACAAGACTTTCAAGGGCATACACGTGCGACCGGTAGGCTTGGAAACCCTCGAACACACGCTGATGTGGGCTTCCGAGATCGTGGGTGCCGAATTGGGGAAGAGGTTGCTCCTGGATTACAGCATAGAGGCGGGGGGTCACATATGATTACCTATCCAAAATAAATACTCTCGCCATGTGCCTGGTCCTTTGCGGGAGTCTTCATCTATTCGCTATGTGGGAGTAGGAGGTATCACCGATGGGCTTTGGGAACCTTCTTCACGAAAGCGGGAGAAGAAAGGGTGATGATACATAGGTTAAGCCACCGTCTTCAATTTGGGGGGTTTTTTTTTTTTGGAATGAAACGTCCTCTATTAGCACGCGCCTTGCGCATTTGCCTATACTACCTACATAGCTAGGCGTCCGTCTGTCTTGTAGTAACTCGTGATGCCATTTGCCAATAGGGCTGGGTTGGGCTAGGCTAGGCTTTGCTTTGCTTTGCTTTGCTAACTTGCTTGCTCTCGGACTGGGTATCCTTCCTTCCCTCCCTCCTTATACAAATGCGTCGATGCGTCCGTCCCGTTCTGCCTTTGCGATGCTGTTTCCGTATGTGCTTTCTCTCTGTACTCCGTAAATGCTTTAGACCTTTACTCTTTTTTTTTAAGACTTTCCGCGAACGCTCTCACGCGTGGTACGTTTCTGGTTGATTATTTTGTTTTCATATACAGTATACAGGCACTCTCACGTATTTAGCAAACCAGCAATAACTCACGTAACTCACTTGGGCGCTCAACCTCGAGTCCGTCTCCTAGCGGGTTAGTTAGTAACGGCTGTAGCTATCTCGCCGACTTGGCCTATCTCGGCCGTGGCCGTGGCCGTCGCGACGGCTCCCTCTGTCGTCGGCGTATCGCGAGCGTCCGTTGGGGCCGGATGCGGAGGAGTCTCCGGGTCGGAATCGGTCGCCGCCTCGAGGGACGCCGTGGAAGATGGGCATGCCGCCACGTCGTCTGCCACCGCCTCGGCGACCACGTCCGGGTTCGCGGGCTGGTTCGCGGGCTGGTTCACGTGCCGGCTCACGTCCTGGCTCGCGTCTCTGCTCGCGCTCGCGCTGGCGCTCCCTGTGCGGCGGGCGGATGCCAAGGAAAATCTCTGGGCCTCTGTCAACGAGCGTCTCGCCGTTCTCAAAGTAGTAGCGCTTGTACTCCTTGCCGAAGTCTCGATCGAAATCCTTGGTCTTGGCTGCTGCGATGGTGTCAAGTCGTCGTCTGACCAGCTCGTCTGGGACGGGCTGGTATGTAACGCTAGGGCGCGCGTTCGTCGATTGGCCGGGCTGTTCTAGTCTTCCCGCTCTGCTCGGGTGTGATGCGGGTGCACGGGTCGAATTGAAATTGCGTGGGCCTGTGGGCGCGCCTTCAACGCCCGGGAATGGTCGGGAAGGGCCGGTGGGAATGGAAGGTTTGCGTTCGGGCTGAGGTTCTGGTGCTGGAGGTGCCTGCTTCGTAGTAGGGCCGGCGCCGTCGAATTCTTCAAGTTTGACAATTACGTTACCGTCTTCATCGTTGTCATACATGACCTCGTAGCGATTAGTCGAACCGCGCCCTCCGGTGGATGTCTGCTCCATATCAACCCACTTCGCGAAGCGCTCTGACGGAATGAAGTCAACCCACAAAGCCTTGCGGTTGGTTTCGTCGGGCCAGACGCGGTTGTGAAGTGCGGTACGTACCCTTGAGGCAGATGAGATGGTGTTGAACACAACAAACGCGTGTGTTCGGATAGTGTCAAGATAGAAGTCAACAATAGTACCTTCTTCGATGGGAGCACCCATCGGCGTAGCGAGGTCTAACAGGTGGTCCTTGACTGCCTGCGGTCGAAGAGGTCTCATAAAGTTCTTAATGTACAGTGCAGAGGTTGCGGGGTGGATGGACGGCTCTACGTCTCGTTCTATCTCAGCCGGGTGTGCGGCGTAAGGTTGTTCTCGAGAAGGCTCATCTTCGGGGGTTTCTTCGAAGGTTGCCTGAGTCTTGTTCGTTACCACTTCTACAGCATGTCCATTTTGAACGTCGGGGTTAGCATCATCTGCTGGTGTTGACTGAACGACACCGTTGCTCTGTTCGCGCTCGATTGGAGCTTCATTCTGGACGCCCTCCATCTCGATATCGGGGGGAGTCTGGATTGCGCTCTCCTTCTTTTCTTCTTGAGGTTCTACCACTGCATCAACTTTCTCTTCGACCGAGCTTGCGACGCGATCTTCCTGGCTATTTCGACTCTCTTGTCTAGCTCTCTTATGCGCTACTCCGTCGGCGGATGGCGCAGGGCTGAGAGATCTTCGCTTTCGCTTTTGTGAATCCTGTATTAGTTCGGTGATTTGTAGCGGCGTCTCGCTGGCCGGTGATTCTAGAGCGGCTTGCGTCTCAGTAACGGCGGGTGCGGATACTTCCTGCGCTGGTACAGCTTCGGCTTCGGCTTCGGACTGCTTAGGAGATTCATCAGGAGGACTTGACTCGGAAACTTCTGGAGCTTCCGTTACTTCTGGAGCTTCCGTTGCTTCAGGGGCTATCTCCACCGGTTGTGCCTCCCCATTAATTGCCTCGAGCTCTTCAGGGGCTTCATCCGGAGATTGGGAAACAGCTTTTTCGGAATCGGCAGCTTCTAGGCGTGCTACCAAGTCCGCCTTTAGGCCATTTTGCGGTAGGCCAAGACGCTTCAATTCCGACTTTAGGTCGACGACCTTGAGCTTGTTCCAATCTGTAGCCATATTGTAATAAAATAGATCTATGAAAAATTGCACATTGCCTTGATACAAATCTTCATAGAAACGAAAAGGGTGTTTGGGAATTAGAAGCGCGGTGTGTGTATAGTCGGGAGTCGATAGAAAGGACGAGAATGATGGTAAAAGTGGCTGCGAACAAAGAGAGTTGAAAACTGCAAGTTAAAAAAGACCGGAACCAGTCATCAATAATGTAGTAAAAACGAATACAATATTCAAGTGATGCTGTTCTTGAAAGTTGGTATGTTGACGAGAAGACTTAAAAAGGTGTGCGAAGTGATCTTGAATATGGGATTGGGTTTAATGCAGTTCTAAGTTGGGCGTCGCGTGTGTCGCGGTCTCGCAGTCAAAATTTCAAAATCGGGCGAACAGTTGAATTCCAGCTGTCAGTGCCCAGAGCTTCATAGGAGCTTTAAGTGCAGGTGGCACATAACATCATAGGTGCCTAGTAAGGTTAGGTAGCCTCCTTTTTTAATTGGACCTATCCCCATGTGAATATGAACTATACTACCCTAGGACTAGCGCATCGGTATTGAAGCTTACCTAAGTACATGTTGTGCAAGCCTCACCTATATGTAATGAGGTATCTTAGCTAAATCCTGTTCAACAGGTACAACCTTCTAACCTACAGCTGCTCATAAACACGTGGCGCGGCTTCCTATCCCATTCAATCTCTACCGGAAAACTAAAACCAATGTAAGTTTATCTACATGTGCCCATGTACCTAATAATTCTTGAAATGGCCGTAACATGAAGCGACGGGTAGAGAAATTTTAGAGAGAGGTATGTTACCAGTCACAAGTTCTCCGGAAACAAACAGCCAAGTAATATCCTCATATCTCACATTTCATACCTGCCCTCTCCACGCCATTATAATAAGTATTATCATAATTCGGCGCTGTCGACTCGGCCAAAGACGGCATTAGCGCTATGTGCAAGACATGAATAATTCGTGAATCCTCGTTGGTCCGTCATCAGTGTTGCCCTGTCCTTGGACTCTATCACCGTGAGAAATTCAGTTAGATGGCCGTACCGATTAGTCTAGTTCTATTCACAACTCACGCAACTCTCACTATATTCTCTTGGCGATTTCACTACGGCTTCGCAGAAGCTTGTCGCAGATCATCAATATGACTGGTTTCCACAGTTGGTATTCACGCAAAGCACCCAAAAGCAGTTCTATCAGTAATGCCAAAACACATGGCAATTTACAGACAGACAAGGTTATTCGCGGCCGTATTACCAAACCCGTCTCTAACAAAGAGAAATCATATGAACGACTAGTTAATATCAAAGATGAAGATGATACGATTGAAGATCTCGCTACGGGGGCGCAAGCGAGCCAGCCGATCGAGGAAAACGGCGAGCTTGATGAAGATATCCAGGACTCCATTGAGGTAGCTCTCGATTATGAAGAAGAGAGCGAAGGCAGCGAAGTGGATGAGCTCTTAGTGCATACCGTGGAAAACACTTCGAGCCATCTGGATAATACTGTACAAGAGACGATAGAGACGGATGAGTCGCAGACTGACACGTCCTATCAAAGCAATCCAGCTGAGTCTTCTATTGGTGAAGAGACAACTCAGGACCACGACCCAAAAGGAGGATGGCGCTATGAACAGGTTTTCCTCAACCAGGTTTTAAAGGCGCGAGATGAATACACTTTGATGCCGACGACCTGGCGAATGCACTTTAGAGGCGTTCCTCTACCCGAAGGCTTGTTCTACATCAAGACCCATGCTGTAAGTACTCGGCCAAGAATATACGCGCGCACAGATAAACTAGAATATCAAGGTACGTTAGTATTAGTAACACTAATTTAAACATGGATAATCATACTTTACAGGTGCTACAGCACTCCGCAAGCTGATGGATATTCATGGACGAGTTCGCGATCTCCGAAGGGCACAAAGGTCACATTCAGACGAACAACATAAGAGTAGATGTGGACGCAGTCTTGTCAATCATATTAAGCAGACGCTCGCGCAGGCCTTACGATGGTCTGTAACCGACGGAAATATCAGAAAATATCGCCGTGATTTCGAGCCCAACATTGTGATACTAGAGATGAATGACGAAAACAAGTCGGATATGGACGTAGTCATCCAAACCGAAATGACGAAGCTAGCTACGTGGTGGCGAGATAAACTAGCCCTTATGCCCGGAGAAGTACGGCCAGAGGCGCCCGTACTCTTTTGTTTCGTTATTTTCAAGCATATTGTGTTCATCGTCACAATGGACGCCCAGAACCCGGATGCTGTCTGTCATATTCCGTGCCAGCTGAACCTGTCGGAAGAGAACCAGTATCAATGGAACGCCTTAGCAATTATGGCTACCATCTGCTGGGCCAGAGACCTTTATATAGATACGATGGACCGTTTACTAGTGGACGTGGACTATGACGAAGGCAAGCATTCGAGCGACCCAGATGCTTAATAGGTCCGAGCTAAAAGCACAGAGACATCTCCGTGTGTGTCTGACAGATTTTACGAACGAAATGAGAAATACTGAGGCTAGGTACTCGATAAGATACCTTTTTGTTATTGTTGTTGTTTTAGGGAAGGTATGTTGAGGTTTGATCACAAGATACCAGAAATAGCAAAGGGGTGGCGTTATGTTTTCATATGCTCGAATAAAAACAACTGAAGCTATTCAAGTCGAAAATCGCATTGGAATTTTCCTTGTTCTTGTAAGATACATTACTTGCAGCCAATGAATTGACTATGTGTGCTCTCAACTACCAAGATAGCTTAAAAATACTATTTTACGTTTGATCATCAGATATGATATTTCGTCCCGTCTCTTCGATGGCATTCAAGTAGGTTAGGTACCTTGTACCTGTTATTGAAATCGTTATCGATACTAGGTATCATTGGTTAGGGATATGTACAAGTTACAAGTACGTTCGGAAATCTGGGGTACTGCGGGGCTATCGACTTGGCTAATGGCCCCTCCAAAATTCTATGCAATTGCGAATTTGCGACGTTTGCCCCGCGAACTTTTCAAACTTCGATGTTGAAAAGGGAAATTTCGTGATAACTGCGGCCAAAGATGACGAGCAGAATAGGGGAGTTTGGGTCAGATGTCAATGGGTCGGTACAGGGTAAGAATGAGCGTATTGATTTAGAACTACATATTTATGTAAATTTCTGCTTACATTACATTTCATTAGGTATTCTTGAAGTATGGCATGATCACCGACCCGCGATACTCTTTGCGACAACTGGTATTTTAGCAGTACTTTGGCTATACATAGAGTTGCGACATAAACCAAAGATCCCTACCGACACTTTCAAACTTGATCAACAAATCATAAAACCTACCACAGGCGGCGATAGTAAAGTTCCAGAAGAAGAAAGGGTTAGCTTGCCGAGAGAAAAGGCGAAAGAATCTACGACCGGACCGCGACGTATCAAAGGCGAGCTACGAAGAGCGGATACTGCGCGCAAGAATGAAGAGCCTAAAACACCAGTACAAACTCTCGTATTCTACTCATCTTTGACCGGAAGTACGGAGAGGACTGCCAGTGGGATCGCCCAGACTCTCGGGTCCTTGTTGGGAGAGAAGGTTGATGGCTCCGAGAGGTCTTTCTTAGATCCTCTCGTCCTAGATTTAGCCCAAGTGGATTACGACGAATATTTCATCAGTCCACCGAAACCAGCAGACAGCAACACGCCCATAGATTACTTCTACCTCTTTTTGGTACCCAGCTACAATATCGATTCCATCAACGACAATTTGCTTGAGCATCTAACAGAAACGCATCATGACTTCAGAATCGATACCGCGCCACTATCTGGTTTACTTGGCTACTCTGTCTTCGGTCTAGGTGATCGAGAGGGATGGCCGACTGAAGAAGAAGGGTTTTGCTTTCAAGCTAAGGAGGTCGATAAATGGATGGCTAGGCTTACGAGTCGTAAGAGGGCCTACCCCTTAGGGATGGCAGATACGAAACGAGATCTTAAGGAAAGACTTAGCGAATGGACCGATGGTGTGGTAGACATCTTGAAACACGTCGCCCGTACGGGATCTTTGGGAGACGGAGTACCCGGTAGCGGAAATGATGTGGAAAGCGAAGACGAATACGGCTCTGGGGATGACGATGGAGAAGTCGAAATCGACCAAACAGTGACGGCAAAGAAACCGAAAAAGGGGCGCCCGGGAAACATTGACGATGTCGAAGACCTCGGGAGGATCATGAAGACTTCTCGAAACGATCCAGAAGTATCCAACAACTCTGCACCAATCGCCGTGGACTTCACTACATATACCAAACCAAAATCGAAGAGACCACCCCAAACTATCAAGGAGATGGTACCTAAGAACTCGCCTACGTACGCCTCTTTGACTAAGCAGGGTTATTCCATCGTAGGTTCGCACTCAGGGGTCAAGATCTGCAGGTGGACCAAGTCGGCGCTACGTGGACGCGGCTCTTGCTATAAATTTTCGTTCTATGGCATCGCGTCGCATCAATGCATGGAGACTACACCATCGCTATCATGCTCCAACAAGTGCGTCTTCTGCTGGCGACATGGGACGAATCCCGTTGGAACTACTTGGCGCTGGGTTGTCGACCCGCCCGAGATGATCTTCGACGGCGTCAAAGCCGGGCACTACAAGAAAATAAAAATGCTGCGCGGCATCCCCGGCGTCAGGGCAGAGCGGTTCGCTGAAGCGATGCGCATACGGCACTGCGCGCTGAGCTTGGTCGGCGAACCTATCTTCTACCCGCACATCAATGAATTTCTAGCATTACTGCACGGCGAGCGCATCTCCTCATTCCTCGTCTGCAATGCTCAGCACCCGGAGCAACTCGCGGCCCTCAAGGCCGTCACGCAGCTATACGTGTCCATCGACGCCAGCAACAAGGAATCTCTGCGCAAAATCGACCGGCCGCTGCACCGCGACTTCTGGGAGCGCTTCCAGCGCTGCCTCGATATCTTGCGCGAGAAACGCTTCCGCCAGCGCACCGTGTTCCGGCTGACCCTCGTCAAGGGCTTCAACGTCGAGGATGAGGTCGAGGGCTATGCGGATCTTGTTGAGAAGGGCTTGCCCTGCTTCGTCGAGATTAAGGGTGTTACATACTGTGGCACCTCTAGCAGCGCCGGCGCGGGTCTGAGCATGGCCAATGTACCCTTCTATGCTGAGGTCACCGAGTTCGTCACGGCCCTAGACAAGAAGCTCCGCGAGCGCGGGCTGGAGTACGGTATTGCGGCTGAGCATGCGCATAGCTGCTGCGTGCTCATTGCTAGCGAGCGCTTCAGGGTGGATGGAAAATGGCATACTAGGATTGACTATCAGCGCTTCTTCGAGCTACTCGAGGAGAGGGGCGCAGATGGCGACTGGATGCCGGAAGAGTATATGGGACCCGAGACGCCCAAGTGGGCTACCTGGGGTAATGGTGGTTTCGACCCACGGGACGTGAGAGTCGATCGCAAGGGCAGGAAGATCGAGGTCTCCTAACCTAGGGTAGATGGGTAGATATTTATCATCACAGTTGAAGTAGTACAGTACTTATTTATACACGGGGGCTTGAGCAATCGCACAATAGAAAGAATCATGATCCATAATTTGTCTATACCGGCCACCAGACATTATCATGAAAATGTACAACGTAGCCACCCTTATTCTAAAGCGGAATAACCGGCAGCCTACGGCCAGCAGCCACCCAGCCGGCCGCGCCGGATCATATATCATACAAGGTATCCATGTGTGTTTGTGTGTGTGTTTGTTTGTGTATAGTACCTGGGTCGTCTTTTTAATCCGATGCTCAGGGCTTTCTCGTTGGCGGACGGTGTTTTATTATTTTTAATCAACCCCGTCTGCAGCAAGGAGCGAAACCGGGCCATTTCCAAATATATATTTGAAGTTGGTGGAGAGTGGAGGGCTAGAGCGCTGAAGCCTAGAGATGGAATACTAGTCCAGACCGGCGCTGGGCAGATCGGAGAGGTTGATGCCCCCGCCTAGGTCGAGGTTCTTGTCGTATGCGATCATTTCGGCTAGGACGTCTAGGACACGCTGGTGGGAGGGTTAGCAGGGTGTTCGCGGTTCGATGCGGGGTGCGCTCGTATAAGTGAAGTCTTCTTACCTTGTCGACAGTCTTGTCGTAGATAGAAATTAGGTCCCCGGGAGTCGGGTATACCTTGAGAGCCTTGTAGAAGGCTAGTGCGGCTTCTAGTGTGTTGGATGCTATAGGTTCGCGATGGGTTAGCACTCTTTGTCTTGGGAATAGCTTCCCCCAAGCCTTCTCGATGCAACAACAATATCCTGCCCCCTTCGCTATTCCTAATACAATAACGTAGACTGAGGTTATATGCGATGCGCATGTGACTTACGATCGGCAGCGAGTAGTTCACCCTTCTGGACATGGTCCATGAAGAACTGTTCCTTCTCATTGACGCCGGTGGGGAAGCCCTCTTCCGTGGCTTGGTCGATGGCCTTCTGAATGTCTTTGCGCTTCTGCTTAGTCTGAAATACAGCCTCTTCCTTCTCCGCGCGCGCTTGTCGTCGTTCTTCCCGCCGCAAGTTTCGTCGGAAGTTGGGGTCTGCACGACGTTGGTAGTCGAAGTAGATCGCATAGGCTGTTAGACATTATTAGTTTTGAGCCCAACGAGAAAGTAGCCGGTATGATTCTATAGTCGGCCATGAAGAGATAGAAATTAGCATATAATAATTTACCTAGGAGGCCTGTCGCGGCCGTGGCGGCGGATATCGTTAATGCGGTACTCGTTTGGACCATTTTGATGGATGTGACGATTTGAGGGTCGAGAAACAGATTTGGAGGGGGGGGGAGGGCACCAATTAGCTCGACTGGTGGGTGATGATAGGAACTGAATAGTATTAATATGAATATAGGCCAAAGAGTTAGCTAATTTTCTCCTGTCTAATTATGCGACGCAAATTGCTGAAGCTCGGTAGAGTTGCTTCGCAGGAGAGATCGTTGAGTGCAATGGACTTAAAGCTGGGACTTAAAAGTAAAGCAGCCTCTTCTGTAATTTTTTTCAATGCACCTTGTATTCCGTACCTAAGTTCGATACCGTGACGTGCAATCGCGGTTCAGCCTCGGATCCTTGTTATCGATTATCGAGTATGGCGCTAAGTATGAACAGGGGTTAGTGCATCCCGCCGTCAAATAAATCCGGCCGATTAGACATGTCGCATAGTTGCATATAGTTGCATATGCCATTAGGTACATACCTATGAAGCAATTGAATGAATGTCTGTGCTCAGCCTCAGCCGCGTCCACCCCCCCCTCGAACTTCAAGTTTCAACTGCTTATGAGAATGCTTTAAGAATAACTTCAACTCATCACATTTGTCGCTCATTCCTCATTTCAAGCTGGTCCTTGATGGATCGCTAGCTACTGCATTGAATGATATATGTAATACCTATAACGCCGAATGATTCCTAACTAATTACGTTACTCCCTTCATTTCCTCCCTATTCCATCTTGACCTAAGCGCCCACCATGTCTGAAGAAAGGAGTAAGATCTCGCTCCGAAGCGGTCCTAAGAGGAAGGGTCGTCCTACTATCAGCGCGCCTCGTCAAATCTCAGATCCTATTCCGAATGATGGCGTTCCAGTTCCTCGTAGCACCGGAGGGAGAGTTGGGACTAACGACCCACCGCCACCCCGACAGCGACAACCTCCCGCAACTGGTGGAAAAGTAAGCTGAAGTGCTCCTATATTATAGCTTTGTTCTGCTTACTAATTGTAATCCTCAGACTGGCGACCTTGTCAAGCGACGATATTCAACCCGGTTTAATAATCTCCCCAGTGATTTCGACCCAAGTGCTCCCCCGGTCCCTTCTATGCCCACTTTCGATATCTCCAAATACGATCAGCAGGCATCGCGGCCTCGACCACCCTCGTCGCGTGATGGTCCGGGTGCCGGTTTATCTAGGGGTGTGCCTCCAACCTTAGACCCGAAGGCACTAAGAGACCCGAGACTCGTCCCCGATCAATACGTCGCCAATATCCTTAGCGAGGCTACTGAAGATGAGATTAGGGACTACGAGACTGCCTTGCGCAAGTTAAAGAGCAGAGCAGCAGCGGATTTACAGCAAAGTGTCTACCAAAACCGGGCACAGTTCATAAAGATTAGCAAGGAGGCGGAAAAATTGAAGTCGGAAATGCGCACCTTGCGCAATTTGTTTAAAGAGTTGGCCACGAATACGAATGCGCTCAGGGCTGCATCTAATAACCACGGCACTCCTATGAGTGGAGAGTTCTCGACTGGCTTAAGTAAAAAAGATAGACGCAGCTCGGTGGCGGATAGAACAGTCCTTTGGAATACTCAAATGCAAGTTCTCTACAAGAATGTCGAGGGTTCTCAGAAGTTCCTACCCAATTCGATGGGGAGGCATGTTATCCAAGATGCCGGACCTTGGATCGAGCTCGACAATGCGACGTACAAATCAAGGCGATCCATGCAAATATTCCTCCTCAATGATCACCTTCTTGTCGCTTCGCGGAAAAAACGTAAGACGGACAACCCGAACGACACGCGCGGCCCGGCGACTAAGTTAGTTGCGGATCGCTGTTGGCCGCTTCTGGATGTCGAGATTGTTGACATGGCAGCAACCACCGAATCGTTCAGCGGCAGGAACAAGCTAGCAGATGCTATCATGGTTCGAGGCGTCGGCCAGGAATCGTTCATTTATAGAACAGAAAAGCAAGAAGATCCCGAGAAATCGGCCTTAATATTAAATATTCGAAAAGCGGTTGAGGAATTACGAAAGAACCTACAGTCCGAGATGGAAGCGAATAATAAGGCCAAAGAGACCATTAATTACTTCGCTTCCCGAGATCCAGGTTTATTACAGAAAACGGAACTACTTGAGACGCTTTCTGACATTAAGGACATGCTAATCGAGGTGGATGGGAAACAGCAAAATCTCCGCTGGGTGGAGGGTCAGATGGACGAGCTTGACATCGATATCGCCCTTCAGAAGTTTGATCTAGCAGTCGATCGCGTTGAGAAGATGCAGAAGCTTTCTCGTGGGTTGAAGAATAATATTATTGCGCAAGACTTTATCGACTTCAAAATCGAGGAGAGATGCACAAAGCTAGCCGGTCTAATTATACGAGAAGTTGTCGACTCGCACAGTCAGCCGCTTAAAACGAAACGTAACGTCGAATGGCTTAATAGGCTAGGATTCGAGGATCGCGCCCGAGATGCATATCTCAAGGCTCGTGGTGACTTAATTCAGAAGCGTTCAAGGCAGGTTTCTAGAAGGTACTGAAGAAGTTTTTCATATACTAACTCGACATAGACAATGCATCTTCCAAGGCGATCTTCACCTCTACATCTGGCAAATCTCATTCGTCTATTTCAGCATAATCAAAAATACCGTAAGCTGCTTCCAAAGTTGCTTCCCTCAGACGATGATGAGTGCTTGTGTGAAATGGGCCAAGGAAGTAGTGGATGCTTTCAACGTACTTCTAGCCAGGCAGCTGAGCAGCACGGAGAGGGATGGCGCCGTATGGAAACAGTGTATGGAGAGAGCCAAAATCCATGCCGAGATGCTCTCGGAAGTGCAGTTGGACTTTGGAGATCTAGTGGGCAGAGAACCTCAGGGCGCGAAAGCTAACGGTCCCGTTGGGCTTGGGTTGGCATAGGCTCTGATGTATTGCTAGATGAAGTAACCTTGCGCTTGGTCTCGCTGTTAAAGGCAACTCCCGCGCACTTTGAACATAATCCCGATCGATCTTCTAGTATTATTGAATGCGATCTATACATATATACATATACATAAATTAGAAACAATTCATTTGATTGGGGGGTTTCTAACTATTAGATGCTTGACTACCTAGGTAGTAGATAATTGCGGCCTTATAAGACTACCTACAAATATAGGGCATATAGGGCATATAGGGGGCGTAATGGGGTTGAGGGGGTGGGGTGAGAAAAGAGCCGCAATTTAAGTGGCAACTGACGTACATTCAAGTACACAATGCGGAGGTACGTAGTACATAGTGGCTACCCTTGTAGCCCTTGGATAAGGTACTTTTTGGTACCTAACATCCCTTTGTAAGGTCCAACTGGGTGGTCTTCTACCCATCCTGTGCTATTCATCAAACAGGGAAAAATCCTACTTTCGTAATCGCCCGTGACAACTCCCACAATACCCCCTTCAATCCCACTGACACGCGACAGGATACTTCAAGAACGACCACTAAATTCCCAAATTCCCAAAAGAATTATCGAGCGAGTTTACCATTAATAACTCTTTGTATTTTTCTTCTTCTCTTCTTCTTCTCCTCTTTCTCCTGCGACGATACCCTTTCCAAACCCCACTCCAAATCATACGCATCAACGAAGAGGCGCTGCGTTCCCGTTACCGGTGCCCTAAACGTCATCCCGAGTCAACTGTCCCCTTGACTCTATCGATTCAACCATCTCGCTCGGACCTCGCGAAGGAACCCGCGATCTTATCGCTAGATAAAACGGATAGAATATACCCTAGTTACCATCGTGCGACCTGACTTTGGCTCCCGTCTATCAACATGGATACCAATATGGAAGACGTCGGGCGAGTACCTGCTGAATTGGCACCGATGCCCCCCTCAGAGCCCACGACGATCCCCACTCTAGACGGTTGGATCGAGGGCCTGATGAACTGCAAGCAGCTTGCAGAAGCTGATGTCCAGAGACTCTGCGAGAAGGTGAGAGCCTCTCCATCGCATATCATTTGCAGCTGTGTCATGTCTCACCATAAAATACCATACTAATATCGTTGTATTCTAGGCGAGGGAGGTCCTGCAGGACGAGTCTAATGTTCAGCCGGTGGTATGTTGCTCTGTACTCTTGTGTTGACCCGCTTCTGCTCACATCTTTGTAGAAATGCCCGGTGACGGTCTGTGGTGACATCCACGGTCAATTTCATGATTTGATGGAACTATTCAAGATTGGCGGTCCCAACCCCGATACCAACTACCTGTTCATGGGTATGTTATTCAATAACCGGTCGAGAGTTATGGGAAATATGGTTATTAATTATTGGTATAGGTGACTACGTCGATCGAGGATACTACTCTGTCGAGACTGTAACGCTACTAGTTGCCCTTAAGATCCGATACCCCCAACGCATCACCATTCTGCGCGGTAACCACGAGTCCCGTCAGATCACCCAAGTGTACGGTTTCTACGACGAGTGTCTTCGGAAATACGGCAACGCCAACGTTTGGAAATTCTTTACCGATCTTTTCGACTACCTCCCTCTGACTGCCCTCATCGACAACCAAATCTTCTGTCTCCACGGTGGTCTCTCGCCTAGCATCGATACCCTTGATAATATTAGAGCGCTTGACCGAATCCAAGAAGTTCCGCATGAGGGCCCTATGTGCGACCTGCTCTGGTCTGACCCGGATGACCGATGCGGCTGGGGTATTAGCCCTCGCGGCGCCGGTTACACCTTTGGGCAAGATATTTCGGAAGCATTCAATCATAACAACGGTCTGACTTTGATTGCCCGAGCCCACCAACTGGTTATGGAAGGATATAATTGGTCGCAAGATAGAAATGTGGTAACCATCTTCTCTGGTGAGTCGCTATAATTTTTGTGCTTCGAGGGCAGTCTACTAATTATTCCTAGCACCCAACTACTGCTACCGATGCGGTAACCAAGCAGCCATCATGGAAATTGACGAACATCTGAAGTATACCTTGTAAGTGGTCTATATTGAAGCTCGACGAGACGTTGGAGCTTTGACTTGGAAATATATGCTTACCACTTCGTATAGCTTACAGTTCGACCCGTGCCCGCGGGCTGGCGAGCCGATGGTTTCCCGACGTAAGCTTCACAGGCCATTTCATTTCCCTGGTGACATCAATGCTAACTTCACCTATAGGCACACCAGACTACTTCCTCTAAGCGTCCAGCAAATCTTAGTGCCACGCGTTGGACAAGCGTGGGTACAAGGTTTGAAGGTGTCCGGGAGTTACGTTGAGCCTAGATCGCTATACCCCTGCCATGCCGAAAGTCAGAAGGCGACGTACGAATGTGCCCGCGCCACAAGTAGCATCTTCCAGTATGTAAGCCGCCAACAACCTCGAGTGCGGGCGGTCTTAACTAGGCCGGTGCCGATGTGGTTGGTATAGCGAAGGAAGGGATCTGACGCGAGACTATGGCGTCCCTAGTTACGATACCACATTTGGAGCCCATTTTTGGTGGGCAAAGCATTATGAGCAGCCCACTGCAGAGTAGCTACCCAAACATTGTATTTCATGAATGAAGAAAAGAGAGACTTTGGGTTCGATTGTGAGACGAGCTCGCTTTACTCGAACGTGACTTTTTTGCAGTTAATAAGAAGTAGATACAAGAAGTAACAGAAGGAATTATAATGATTGAACCCCTATAAGTATCCCAAGTGGGAATTAAACCTCGTTCGTCGCATCTGAGGTAGACACTATCACCGTTATTCGATAATCTTATTGTCTAGAAACCAACTATTCAGGTATAGGTAATCATTAAATATCGTATTGTTAAGTAGTATACATATGCACGCATCTTCTAATTCATCTTTATGCAACAACAACATCAACAACATCAACATCAACATATCCTCCACCAGTATTTCCCTCATTATAGCAGCTCCTTGACGCCAGTGATATTGGTAACAAAACAATGCTTCTCTCGCTCCCAGTATACAATATATTCCTTCCCTCCTCTCTCCCCTCTCTCTCCCCGCTCAACTTCTTCCCACCTCCAGCCAATTGTCCGGTCAGCAGAATACCTTACAGAGTCCTCGCCCGCACCCACCGCTGACTAGAAGTATAACTTCGGCCACCACCGCTCCTAATACTCCTCTCGCTACTATTCCTCTCGCTGTTCCCAGCACTTATAACTATATCTCTGCTTCCATTTTCACTATTTCCGACATTACCACTGACACTATTACTTCTACTGCTGCTGCTGCTGCTGCTGCTGCTTCCACCGCCACCGCCACTGCCACTGTAACAACTACGACTACTATTCCCACCCACACTCCCCGGCGACCCGCTCCGCGACCCCCGCCTAAACGCCCCCATCTCGAAGCCCCAACTATCCAGCGCCCACGGCGCCAACAACGTCGCGCTCAGCAGCTCCAGATCTAGATCTAGCGCGGGCAGGATCGGCGGGCCGAGGTGCGCGGGAGCCGGGGTGCGTAACCGCGACGTCGACCTCTCTTGCTGCCCTAACTCGTCCCCATTTCCGACTAGGGGCTCCGTGCCGCAGTCGGGCCCGTACGCGTCGGCTTCGCTGTTGATGCGCATGCGCAGCATGACGGCGCGGCGGGTGCGGGTGCGGGTGCGAAGCGCGGGTCTGCGCGGTTGGGGTTGGGGTTGGGGTGGGGGTGGAGGTGTGAATAGGAGGGGCAGAGGGATAGGGGAGAGGGAGTGCTGGTTCCGTTCGAAGCTGCTACTCGTCCGTACGGCTGTGTTGGACGAGTCGGTGTTGTAGGCGGATGCGGTGGTGCCGACGTTGCGGTGTGACTGCGAGGACGATGGGGATGGCGTTGTGGATTGGGGAGGAGGGGTGGGAGTAGGTGGTGATGGAGCGGGAGTGGGAGTGGGAGTTGGGATAAGAGGGGATCGTATCGTGGTAGTGGTTTTGCTGGCCCCCATGATGGGCAGCTTGCCGACGAGGTCGCTGTTAGAGGTGCAGTGCATGGATGGGGAGATAGGGGAGTAGTCTCCGGGACCTTGAGCGCCATCTGGTACGATGAAGCGCCGGTCAAAACGAGCTAGTAGGTATGCGGTAGACACGACGAGGTCGGTGACGAAGTTGAAGCTGTAGTAGCAAGCCCGGCTGTGGAACCAAGCCGGTTTGGAGCTAGGACGACCGTCGAAGTTGACTCCTACCCGAAACGCGGCGCCCACGGTAGCCACGAGCGATGCGAATACTAGCAGCCCGACTTTGGCACGCCACCGACCTGCGCCGAACTTCTCAACACGGTGGAGGCGGAAACGCCTCGCGTGTTGTGCTGCAGCAGCCAGTCCAACGACAGGTACGGGCAGGAAAGCCAGGAAGGCCAGATACGAGCCGGCGAAAAGCTGGACAGCACGGTCGGCGTGGAGGGCACGGGAGTCCAGGGTGAAGAAGCTGTGGATGGTAGCGACGATAGCCATGACGAGGCAGCACATAACACAAGCGATGAGAAACCAGACGAAGCCGCAGGTGCCGCGGTGCCAGCCGAGGCGGGGGTGATAGGCGCGGAGGACACGCTGGGCGAAAAATAAGTTGATGATGAAGATGAGCACGGAGCCGCACTGGGTCATGACGCTGGCGGCGATGACGGCGTTGACGGTCTTGGGGTACGAGGCCCAGATCATGCGGGCGACGAGCGAGATGCTGCGGAGAAGACACAGCGCGAATAGCATGCCTGAGAAGACGAACTTGAGGTTACGCTGCTTGTTGATGCGTAGGATGACCATGTGCGCTGCTGCCGAGAGGAGGAATAGTAGGAGTAGGACGACGGCGATGGGGTCGTCGACTGCGGGGGTGGGCTCGCCGCCTACGATGGCCATGGTAGATGGGTACGGGGGGCCCTGGAGCTTGGATAGCTGGAGTTGGATGTCATTAGCGCTGGCAAGTTCTCATAGGAGTAGCATTTTCGCCATGGAATACTTGACTTACTCCAGTCCCATTCCCATGGGGACCCGGGGCCGTCCAGTTCCCGGACAAAGCAGCAGCATTGTCTCTCCTAAGCATTGCGAAGCGGCGATGTCCTCAGTCCCGAGGACACAGCCTGAGCCTTGAAATTACAAGACTACCTAAGCTATCTCGACTACGGGTCTCGTCCTCTCTTATGCCCAACCACTAAATAGAGAGATGCCGGATTAGCGGTCGTAGGGCGTTACATTTGTATCGCGGAGCGTCGAGATATCATGGTGGAGAAGACAGGTAGAAAAATAGGTGCAGGCGAACTCGGTTGGCGGTTCTAAAGGAGCAAAAAGAGGTGCGAGATAACGCGTATCCCGTAATCGGGATTGCGACCTTATATCGGCTTCCCTGCGACCCTCCACGTACCATCTAGAAACCTAGACCGGCTGCAGTATACGCCACAGCGTGCGACCTCGTAGCGTTTGGACCTGGAGTCTATCGTGCTAGAGACGGAATAGGGGTCGGGGGGGTTTGTTGCAACAACAAGAAGCCTATCCCGATCTCGTGTCCCCCCCTTAACCCCCTTACCCCCTTACCCCTCCCGAGTTAATTGCAGCAGCATCGGTAGAGCAGCCAGGCCCGAGATAGAGTTTCTATCCCAAACGTGTGGCCGTGCGTCGTTAGGTAGGTATTGGGTCTAATACGAAACAGGGTCGAGATCGAATGGTCATAGAAAATGGCTCGGCGCTGTTACTCGCTGGGTAGATGATGCTGCAACTTAGTCTTGCCGCCGCGTTGCTGGATTCGCCCAGCCCAGGTTCAGGTACACATCTCTGATTCCGCGATGTTCCTTTTTTTTACGAATTCATCGTCGGATTGTATTGAGATGATTAGGTAGTCTGAGCAACGGCAACGATGAGGTGCTATCCATCAGTCTTGGAGCAGAAACGTCTCTTCTCGGACCCGAGCCGTTGCTCGTAGAGGTCGTAACCGTCATGACTAACCGCGAGGAGGGACAGTTGAGCATATGCCCGGCAACATTAGAGTTCATCACCTGGAAGTTGGGTCATGTTCTTATTATCGCGGTGAACCACCAGCCCCTTACAGACTACCTACCTACCAGGCCTTATAGCACAACCCGTTGTGACGCTTTAAGCCGCTCTAGTTTCAACGGGGATGGTTCTCAAACGAGCTATTCGCGACTAATGCCATAGGGCTGTTAATTTAATTACCCGCGAACGCTTGGCGATTAATCTACGGGCGTCGAGCTAGCCGGCTCTAATGTGTCTGGTCTGTCTAGGTATAGAATTATAAAGTTTCGCTTCTCAGGGGAGGGAGGGGCCCGGCACGCTTGGCCAGCTGGAAACATCATCGTCGCTGTGCCGAGACTAGAAGTCTAGCGGTAGCGGCTAGGTATAAGACCGGTCGCCTTTCTAGAAAATGGGGAGTGCTAAGAGTGTTGTCCCAAGATGCCGGAATGAAGCCAAGAATGCTTATGTCGTCTGCACGGGTGGTTGCTACGGCATTTCTCCTGGGATTTATTGTAGCCGGTTTTATGAGTAGGTTGCTCTCATCTTGGGATACATGTTTTGTTGTACCGTGGATTGATTGATATTAATTTTATATATGCTTTAAAAATATAGGGAGAGATATTCGTAGTTTATTTTTATTTCGTTCCTCGAGTTGCTCGACTTACATAAATATCCTTCTTGTGTGTGTGTGTGATATACTACAATGTTTTACGAGGTTTTTTATTCTCTTTTACACCATATTTAATTATTCCTATACATCAATTGATTACCTAGTGATTATTTAGAACCTCACAGTTAGAAGTGATGTGATATTATGGTCAAGACATCTCTAGTTGTATAAGATCGCGAAGAAAGGGGCAAAACAGATACTCACGTGATGTTAATAAATCATGTAAAGATATATTAATATAAATGTATTTATTTAAGTCTTTTGCACCATTACTAAGGTGGTATACCTTAAATCTATAACCATTTAAGAGTACTATGGTTGTTCTAAGACGACGTCAAGGTATCAGAACTCAAGTGGTCAACCAAGTTCCCACCCAGGTATATAGACGCCAACAAGTCACCATTCTTTCACATACGACCATAGGATCTGGAAAACTCGGGATCCCGTCCGCTCTCCCATAGATAAGCCAGATACCGCTGGATTAGTAGTTGGGTCGGTGACGACCAGCGAATCCCCAGTGTTGTATGTTTTTCTTTTTTTCCATTATCTTTTTGTTAGCCTTTTTAGCGTCTTGAGTTGGTGGTATAAGTGGAGTGTTAGGGTTGTTAGGCTTCCAGACGAGACATCTAGAACAAGGGATTCTTTTAGTAGGTGTGGCTACTGGCTTCTAAGCTACTTACTTAGTTTTCGAGTTCCACCCCGTGATATGTACGGAGTGTGTACCCGTTTCTCGCTGGCACCTGAGGACATACGACACTACAATTTAAGATCAACTTAGCTAATTTAATAGGGTGTAGAAGGTAAATAAATAGTCCATAGGAAGATGTGGGTAGTAATAAGGCATCAGTTCGTGTATGGAGATGGCCCTGAACAAGGTTTTGGTAATAATTATTATAAATGTTCCCCATACTAAAAAGCCACATCCATATATATCAAGTTTTATACAGCAGTTAGAACGACACTCTTCTCCTAACCGAGGCAGATAACGCAAGTTGATTATAAATAATACAATCTCAGTTCACACGAAAATAAGTATTCGCCGTGTGTAAGTCCTATATTGTAATTTATAGACTAACTGCATGAGACAAATTGTTGCGACATGGTGGTTGAAATGTGTTGACCTAATTTATTACACAACAACCATAAGATATCCTATTCAAACGACACCAGTACATATATCAGTCAGTCTTATAACGCTGAGCTGATCCCATCCCCAGAAAATAAACACTACGAAACCCCCCCCCATATCCTACCTAGAAGAATCAAAGTTGCTTCTGCTCCCGCTGCTACTAGCCAATATATATATTGACTATTGCTGCTTCGGTGAAGCCTTGCTCTCCCTCGGGTTATCATGATTTAGGTATATAAAAACTTTTGCCGCTGCCGCTATGCTGTGCCGGTAAAGATAGCGTGATGTTGTTGTTGTATAGTGATGAAAAGGCTAATGCTGAAGGCCGTGATGGTTGTAATGAGCAATCTCTAGTGACCACCAAGCCCGGTTATATACCAGGAATGGTAGAATGTGTCGTGCAATAGGGGATATGTGTCTCCTAGCTCAGCCGTTTCTGAGCCGAAAGAAAGGCGCGAGTATATATATCTATGGCAGTTCGCAAGGATCACCGCCCCATAGTATTTCAATAAAGCACAGAAAGATGCGCTGCTCTGGCGTCAGGTTCGCGACGGCGTATTCGGTCGCTTTCCCCGCCTTTAATACTTGCAGCATCTGTTCTGCGCGACTAGCCTGGGCCCGATGAGAGCCGAAGCGGATTTCGAGTCTTCTCTCGCCGCGCCACATCATCTCCTCGACCTCGTCGATTTGGAATTCTATCTCCGAGCGGAAAAGGGGCGCTAGAACCTCCATGCTGACTACGTGAGGTGAGCCCCAGACGACGAGGACCCGGCTGCGGTCGGATGCTGGCTGTGGCGCTGCTCGGATCCGGTGCATTCGGACCGCTGGTTGGAGCCCTCCGATGGTAATCTTGCCGTCTCTGATAAGCTCGAGGAAGTTGTCGGTTGCTCGGCGATCCCAGAAGGTGATCTTTGCTGCTGATGTGGTGAACTTATCGTTGGGAGGGTTGATGTGGGTAAAGAATATCTTGCCGACTCGTCTTATAGGGGCGAGCAGCTGCTGGATGGTACAATCCCCTGGGAGGTTGGACACCCATACTGAGGTATTCTGGGACTCGTCGATGTTCGCACTTCGGTTAAGGGGATTTTTGGGGCTTCCCCCATGGTTTCCCCTTCGGTTTCTGTTGGGATTGCCAGGCATGATGAATCTATTGACCGTATAGATCCCGTAGAAGACTTAGCGTGATGATAAAAGAGGACGAGTCTTCGGAAATATATGTCTAAAGTAGTACAGATGGAGTTCCAAGAATATATCGTTCTTTGCTTTCAATTATACGCTAGATGTATTTTGGGCGATGCCTTTCGTGGTGAATCGCTTTCGAGCGGTACTTGAAGGTCAAATTTCGGTATGAAGCAAGTATTGCGAAGACAGAGGACGGAGTTATAGGAGAGCAGCCTAGATATTTATACTATTCGAATAGAATCAAAGTAAACAGACCAAATGTAAACAAACGGAAAGGTCTGTGTTTAGATTCGACTAGTTGTGCAAGGTTTTAAATACACGAGGACTGCTATACGATGAAAATAAGCTATACCATTAGCAACGGGCCAGTCACCTATAGGTGACTAATGCCATCTCTATACCAGAATGCTAGATGTAGACGCCGTTAAAATCTAATAAACCTATCCCCAACGTCTGATTCCCCTACTCTGCCTGCTCCTATAACCTATCTCCGGTTGACAATGACAGTGCGTCGACTGCGGTAGCGGTCGTATACTTTGCTAGTTCTGTGCTGGGTCTTTTTGGAAAAGCTTCCTAGCAGCCACAAAGCTACTTAGAGGTCACTTGACTTAAGCAGGGGCCTGATTGGCAGAATTATTATTATTAGGAATCCTTTCTATGGTATCGAAGAACCAAACTTAGGGAATATAACTGAGTATCGTTGTGCTCTACCTACCTTATAAACTTAGGTAACGCGATAATAAACTAACATATTATATAGAGGTAATTAGAAGATATATTAGAACAAGACCCTATTTAATATCGAATTTGTTTTATATCAGCTCGTATCGTTTGAGAATATCGTTTGTATATTATACGTCAAGTATCCCGTTGATGGCAACAGTATTCCTAGGTATACTAGCAAAATGTAAACAAAAACGCCAATGCGTAAAGTAACTTCGCTAATAATAAGAACAATATGCCAATCAAGAATATACACAATATTAAGACCGTGTTTGACTGACTGCTTTAACATTTTCAAGAGTTAAGAAGGCGGGATGACAGGTAACCTAGTGAATAATCTAGGAACCGTGCATGTTTTTAGTTACGGGATCATCTTACCTAAAAAATGCAAACTGTTAATTTCTATAAACACATATCCTTGACATTTTATTTATTTATTCAGCAACAAGTTCAACTGCTATAGCACACTCATGTGTACATAGCCCGAGTGGGCGCTCTTGTTGAAGGGGTAAGTACTGTCTATGTGTTTTCTAGAATTTTCGTATGAAGCGTGTTTACACTCAAAGACATGTCCAATGCACTGCGTTAAGATATTCAAAAGGCTTCAATACAAACTTAGGACTAGGTAGGTATAGCCATCCGAGTAGGTATGTAGGTATGTAGGTACCACTCCCCCCTTTTCCACCACATGTGGCTAGTGCACAGATAATGCGGCTTAGGTTCGTGGCTGGTGTACCTAGATGACGACAACCCCTGGAAGAAACAGACCCCCCCCTGTCGACGCTAGCAGACGCAAGCTGCAACAACAACAACACGCCCGGAAGCTCTCCTATCAAAGGGCATGACCGCCAACCTGGGAAAGTAGGAAAAAATAAAAATTTAAAAATAAACTACCTAGCTCCAGCCTCCTGACGCAAACCTACGACCGCTCAAATCCAATAACCTACCTACCTACTTATCGACAAAGCGTCTGCCTGGACGAAGCACGAGGGCCATCTCCGCATCGTATTTTTCCACCTCCTTCGAAAGCTATAACAGACACCCCCATCTCGCGTGTTCTTTATTTAAAAAAGCACAAGCAGACAACCAAGACTACCTAACATACCTCTATCATACCAAATCAATCTACAGCTAGCTAGCTATCTGTCCACCTCCTCAAATCGCAAAGATGGATTTCTCCGACTCATTGTATGCACCAACTGCTACGCCCTACCAAACTTCCATTCCCCACGTCCTGTCCCGTCCCGTCCCGTCCAAGAAAATGTATGGATGCGCTAGCTAACACGGACTCTCTCCCCCCCCTTTTTAGTCGAATCGTCAACCTCGCGGTGGGCGTGATTATGGTGCTGGGCGGAATATCGCAGTTCTTCAACCTCGGCTTGTACGTACCTTCACTCCTCTCTTCCCCCTCCCTCCCTCCGTCTCACTAACCCCCGCCCCCCAGCCAATCCATCATAATCGGCGCCTACGTCCTCATCTTCGGCTTGGCCGTCGCCCTCCTCGAATTCCAGATCCCCCCGCAAGTCTCGCGCTACGCCTCGTTTATGTTCTCCTTCATCGGCCGCGGCATCTTCTACGTCTTCGTCGGCTCCATCCTCCTGAACAACGGTGTTTTGCGCATCATCGCCGGTTCTATCGTCGGTATCGTCGGTCTCGGTTATATCGCGCTCGAGTTCGTCCCGTCTATTGAGCCCCCTGCCAACATGCGCGAGGCCGATGCTGGTTGGGGTGCCGAGCAGGTATAATAGACACAGATGATTTCTAGGACCCCTGTCCTCTCGCCTGGACGGGCAGGGGGTGGGTGTTATCCTCTAGTCGTAAGGTGTCCATCTTGCCAATTTCTTGGTGGAGGTTGATCATGTAGAATTTGAAGTGAGGAATTCTATTGGAATGAAAACGCTTAGAAAATAAATTCGTTCGGTAAAGGGGGTGGCTGGGCCGGTAATGATAACTTATATGTACGAACAACGGCGGGGAATGAGTTCTGTCATGTACAACCAAGTCATGTGTTACGCAAGACTGGATATTTACCTGGTAGGAGATGATTAGTGAAAACGAGGTAAACATGTTAAAACACTGTTCTTCCTATACGTCTTTGTATTTCTTGCGCTGGTAGAATATTATTTATGAAGCTCGTGATTTACGCCTTGATCCTCTTGAACTAGATACTTTGGTTGAAGTTATCCCCTACCCGGTCCCATCCTTTCCGTGCCTCCTTCTATATGGTTTGTTGTGCGGGATACCATTAAAAATCAGTTGGATTGCCCATGCCAAGGGAATATTGTAACAATGCTCCGCAATTCATAATATCATGCCTCCTAACCCTCGCATGTATTTTGCGAGCTCACGATACGCCGAGCACATATGCTATGCTGCCGAAAAGCAAAGGCCGCTGATGAAGAACTCGACCCTGTGACGCCCCGTAGTGTTTGACTCGTCCTTTTGCGTTTTCGCTTTGTTCCCTTAGATTAACTCCCGTAGCTCCCAGTCGTAATTTTGGTCATCAAAATAAAAGAAATCAACGCAAATTCAGATAGCAAAGAATGCTCCCTACTTCTGCAGCGCGGCCATCTCACGTTCTTTCGCCGCGAGCATCTGACGTATTCGTTCAGCTTCTTGTTGAAGCGCCGCTAGTCTATCAGCCTTCGATTTCTCATCCTCGGCCGTGCTTTCTCTAGATTGGATCGCGGGCAATACGTTCGACATCATCCCCTGCGGGCTGGGGCTTGGTGCTGACATGATTGTAGTAGCCGGTGATCGAAGACGCAGCGCCTCGGCAGGGTTATCGGCCGGGTAAAGGTTAGGATTCAATTCCGACGCCGGGTTAAGAAGAGACTTGATAGATGATAACCTTTTGCAGCTATCATATCCGGGTTCGCTCGACGCATATTCCGAATCAGTCCCCGAGAAGGAGCGTTTCCTCGACGGCGAGAGGAACGACGCGGGGGATAGAGACGACTGACGATCACTCAATGCCGCGAGTGATTTCAACGGGGCTAGTCGATTGTCATCAGTGAGAGAATCCCGAATATCGAATTGATGAGGAGGTGCATTAGTAGTGTGATACGCTGTGAGATCGTTCGAGGATATCGGAGCCGACGCGGGACCGGACCGGACCGGATCAGGGAGTAATGTGAGTGGATGTTCGGTCTTTCGACGTAAACCGAGATTAATAGACCCGTCCTCGTTGACGCTGCCACGCTCCATCTCGAGTTCGGTATACTGGCTCTGCTGTTCAATAGAATCAATCGTCATTGCATCCTCCGACCCACTGTCCATTTGATTCGCTGGTATTACACGCTTTCTCCTCTTAATAACAGATTTCTTCATAGTAACTGGCCGGTGAACTCCGTGAAGTTTGTAATATAACCCTACTGCGATTAGCCAACACTGATCATAAAAGTCAAAGTATACACATACCGCAGGCATTGCATATGGTATGACCTGATTCATCACGACGCCACAACGGAGTTATTGTAGTACCACAATTTTGGCAGGCTATTACCACGGTCGTATTCTGAGCCGCGGCTTGCTGCGCATTTATGTCTATCGGAGTTGGCCCATCGTCTGGAGGGGGCCCGCTTGCATTGCCAGATGCCCGATTTTGGTTCTGGAGCTGAGCACTCTTCGCTACTCGGTTATTATACGCCGGGCAGCCACTACATCCCTCTGCGCCGCCGGTACCATTGCATCGTCCCCCACCTGGACATGATCCATTAGGCATTTGATCCGCAGCGACGTATGTGGCCCCGGGAATATTTGCGGAGTTGCCTTGAGAACATGAGCTAGAAGAAGTCCTCTCGGGTGTCCTTTTCGGAGCAGTAGATACTGTCGATGGCGGCCGTTTTAGATTCGTTGGGCGCGACGAATTGCGCGCCTTCAGATAAAGTCCACATGCGTTACAAATTGTAGCACCCTGGGGCGAACGCCTCCATAATGGCGTTCTCGTAGTACCACAATTACTAGAATGGAGTTAAAACCGACCGGAAACTCACCAAGAAACTGATCGACTTACCTGCACACCTGTCCGCCCTGGTTAGACGTGGAATTTGATTTCGTAGTTGCCCAATTCTCTTGATGCACAGGATCAAATGGAGAAGGACTTTTTGAGTTGACTCGCTCGGATCCCTGTATCGACGGGCTGGGTGCCTCCGAAAAGTCACTCTGACTTTGAGCCGCAGGACTCCTCGAACCAACAGAGGAGGCGATTCGAATGGACATAGTTTCGGACGGTTGAGTGCTTTCTCTAGAAACGGTGGGACGAGTAGGGAGTGCCGTCCTGGTAGAGTTTGGTTCTGACCTGGCCGGTTTTGCGTATGAGTGAAGGGCCACTTCCATCATACTCTCCGTCGTTGAATCCTTTAGAAATTCGTCTGACTGTGAAAGCTGCGGCGATCGTCGCTTCGGTTTCTTCCTTTGTTCTATGATAACATGGGAATCTAGGCCCGAACAAAAAAAAAAGAGGAGACAATTCAGAGGGGCAGTTGATGGGATACCGATGCTCGACAACAAGAACTGTTAATGTTCAAAGTATCAACAGTTCAATGAAGGCTATTGCAGACCAACTAACAACTTTGGACCAATGAACCGTTACAAGTGCCACTATATCGTGACAGGCTCGTGTTACTTGCTAGCTCGAACAGTGGCGGATCAGCAGTCAGTGACAAGATCTCTGTTGCTCCAAACTGGGCTGCATGGGGATGTAAGTGAAGGGAGATATGGCGATGGGTTCGACCGCAATTGACTGCGAAGCTAGGTGGTCAGAGACGGGGACTATGGGGGCCTCGGATGCAAGGGGCAATGTTCCTAGAGGCTCGTGGGGATTTCTAACAGGTCTGGATCAAGACAGGTGAGCGTTAGACGCTGGAGGGTGGAGAGATCAAGGTTCGACCTGAGGGTATGGTCTTGTCCTTTTTTTTTTTTTTTTGCTTATGGAATAGGGCATGCCCAGATCACGAGGACGAAACCCGTGTACGCAGCCTGGCAGCGCAGGTTGTGTGCTTAGGTTAGGTAGGTAAGTAAGAGGTATATATGGTATGGTATGATATGGTATGTGGTATGTATGTACGTTACGGAGTAACTGCAGGGCTTCTTCCTTGTATCTGTAGTAGTATGTAGTATCTGTACCGTGTAATCTGTACCGCATGCATCACCTTCACCCTCGCTGTCAAGAGCCTACAAACTCCGCCACGTCGGGATTGGACCCTGTATCGTGTACCGTGGAGATAAGATCGGAAAAACCAGATGAAGGCGTAGGTCAGCGACCCAACGTTGTTGTTGACGGAGTGCTCGCCTGAGTCCGAGATAAATCTCGGAGATTCGAGGAAAGATAATCTTGATCTGATTGAGGCGGTGGATGGGGGTTTAGGAATGCCACATGGAAGATGGAAGGGGTATGGAAAGGGGAGAGGTATGTAGAAGCTGCGCAGTCAGCAGTTAACACATGACAGGTAACTTGGCCTAGCAACTTTAGCACCTTAACAGCCTAGGCAAGAGCCCTGTACTTGCCTGTACTTGCCTATCGTAATTGCCAATACAGTATCATTATACATTGTACCCGATGCATCGAGTAGGGAGGTTCCTATTCCCCACAAGGCTAGTGTAAAACTACTACCGACTAGACTTGCTAGAGCAGTACTAACATGGGATCTACCCTTTTCCAAAAAAGATAATGGGTCCCCTAGAGTCCCGACCCTCGGCATGCCGGCTGAATGAGGATCGAGCAGATTATTATTAAACCTCGTCTCATTGGCTCAACTGTTGATTGGATTTGCTAATATGACAAGAGAGACCTTGCTCAACAACTTCTTTTTGTAATGTTCACCTGACTATTGGCTAATGGGGTGATGGCACGTCGGAAGGCGGTCTGCCAATTCGACATCGCATTAATCAATTTCGTAGTGTATGTATTCCGTATACCTACCTAATGTGAGGTACTTGGTCTATTTCGTGTACGCATCCGCATCCGCATCATCGTCATCTGATTAGGTGATATCTGCCATTCTGATATCAACCATCATACATACAGTACCTAGTAAATCATAACTTACATTTTGAGGTGGTTGGAAATCTGCCCTAGTACCAGTTGCACAGCGCCGGTAATGCGTACTAGCTACCTATGCTATGCGGCGGTCTAGGTGCATCCTTTTTTTTTTTCTCCTTGATTAGTTTTGCCTCCAACCTCCGGTCGTGTTCTAGTCTTACCTACTCCCGGCATCGCTTGCTTGATGAGCTGTGCGTATCCGTTTAATAAATACCGTAAAACCTCCTATTAAGAGTCATATAACTATATGTACCTACATATATATTATTTGTTTAAATGGTGTGTCGCTTACTTGCGTGTTTCGAAAGGTGCAGGGGAGCGAGGGAATAGGTATAAGTTAGGTACTTAACTTAGGTACTATGTACAAGTACAAGGGAGACTTACACTACGGAATACGGAACACCAGCAGAAACGCTAAAAACAACGCCTACATACGCACACTAATGGTTCAATCATCTCTCACCTATGCCAAGCTTTTTTATCTAACCTTGTCCCATCTCCTTGCATGCTGCAAGTCGCGAGCTACCGTGGTACGTACCACCGCTTTAAGGTTTGGGAGGAGGGGAACTCCGTAGATAAGATGCAGCATTATCTCTTATCATAATTGATCAATCATCAATCACGAAATCCTGGCTTGTCTTGTCTTAGATTTACGCGTACTTGAATATTCGCTTACTCTTACTTTTTATTTTTTATTTTTTATTTTAATAGCTCGGAATATTTCATGATTTCGTAAAATCCTAAGAGGTCCAAGCCGTTGGTATTCTGCCCAACGTGACAATTATATACCTCCATAAATTGACAGAAATCTCTTCCGGCCTATGTGGAGGGAAGTATATTCTAGACAACACGCTTGGAAATACCATCTTTTTGATTGGATAGTAGGGTCATGGAAGCTTGCATCATTGGAGCCGCCTGGCCGCTAAAGCAATGCTACTCTATGATAGATCATACATAGTGCTCCGTACAGTACGTGGGAAATGATGTCAGTACCCGACAGGTTTCTTTATTTTGACGAGAAGCTGAGTAGACATTTTTCTTCTTTTCCTTGTGGCCTTAAACCGAGGCGCTCGGTGATAACTACTCGAAAATAAGGACTAGGTTAGACTAATACAAAAAGTAATATTCCTCTATATTGTGCTCACTTGTGAACTGCGAGTGCGAAAGTTAGAAGGATTATGATTATGAATTTCATTTGCTCAATCTGATTTCTTAGCATAATGTAACTAATAGCTAATAGCTAATACACATGCCTTCCACAAAGAAGAAAAACTGATAGTAATCTAAAACTGAATAGGGGTATCGGGTATGAAGGGCTGTAATCTCGAAGAAACTTGCGGACCAACGATCAAACACTCCAAGAAATCAACATCCACAGATTTACATATTGCACCTAAGCCTCAGCCATAAGCTGCTCTCCCTCGTCTAATAATTCCGTCACTTTCTTCAGGTTTTGTATTAGACTCCTGCCAAGTCCGACCAAAAGTAGCTTCTCTGCGTTTGCGGGCAGTCCAAGATAAGTTGGCGGCTCGCGCTCGGGGAGTTTCTGGATCCACCCCATGAACTCTTCCAGTGAAGTACCCGAGGGTACTACGAGGCTCGTCTCTTGTCCATCCTTCTCAGATCCCTCGACTAATTTATGACCAATGTCGAAAGCGGATGGTGTAAGGGATTGATCCACTAATTCTGTAAGGCGTTTGAAATCGCCTTCATCATCAATCTTACCACCGTAAGTCTCACGGACTAGGTAGCGGATCATATCCCAGGGGATGTTTTGCGGATTAATGTTGGTACGGCTTTGTGCCACGGACTCGATCCATGTATCGACAATGAAGGCTGAACATTCGTACTACGAGAATGTAAGGTTAGCTGCTATCAATCATATAAGTTGTGGTGTTACTTACATCGCTGTCGTTAAACTCCCAGAAGCCCTTCCATCCTAGATTTGGTGCGTATCGTAGACGTTCTTGTACCACTGCATGTAAGAAAGAGAGAAGCAAGTAAAGCCTGCTGCGCTCCACGGGGCTCTTGGTAGCTCGGTTGGATAGAGAGGACATCGAGTCCTTCATATTGGCACGCACACCGGCCGGCTGTTCGTACATGAGTACGCGAGATGCGCGTAGTAAGTTTACAGGAATCTTTGGGCTGGATTCCATCGATAGGAACAGCCTGAAATCAGAATGTGGGTTGAGAGATTCCATACGCTTCTCGAGAGATTGTAACCAAGTAGGCGCAAGATGAACATTCTTGACGAGAACCCAAGACCCAACCTGCGCTGCATTGCTAACTGCTTTGTCGGCACTTGCAAGACTTTCATTTGATCCCATAGCGATATTGGTGCACCTAACACGCATTCGCTCAACCAAGTTGTCCACCTTGTAACTGGCGTCAAAACCAGGGGTTGAGACCAATGAAATGGGACGAGTTGAAGGGACTTGGCTAATGGTTTCTTTGAGATCATCCACAATGTCAAGTAGCTCAGCCCCGAAGACCGAAGTTACGAATCTTTCCGCAGTTGGGACAAAACGGTCGAGGCGGAAGAGTTTGACTAAAAGTAACGAAAGCAATCCTTGATCAAACGGCTCCGTGTTTGCGTCCCAGATCTGGGGGATAAAGTTCTCCGCAAGCTCTTCTGATAAGAACGCATCCCATACATTGGCCGGTACTTGGTCGAGCTTATCCTTCAATACGGCGAGTCTCTTGGCACGATTAAAGGTCTCATCCTTGGCGTCGATTTCGGTGGAGAGATCCTTGCCTTCGATACGATCGTCGAGGATCACATCGATCAGGCTCTTATCCATCTTGTAAGGTGAGGCTTGGGCGAGGAGCATGGCAAGAGCAATTCGGTCCTTCTGGAGGAGACCTAGGGCAGTCCTCTTGAAAGTTGTCACGAACAAGTCCTTAATGATGACATCTCGGCGTTTATTGAAATCTCTTTCGCCTGCTAGGTTCTTATTACCGTGGAGGACAGAATGGAAAATGTCAAGGAAGTATTGCAGAGAGAACTGATAGAAATGGTTGAGATAATGCAGTTGCTCGAGAACAGCAAATACGGCACTGCATGATCGCGCAATGATGCTGTACTGCAATGTGATCTCTTCGACTTCAGCCATTACTCCTTCGGTGTTACTCATCTTAACCGCAATCTCGCCGGCTTCGGTCTTAAGGGTCTCAAGAGTCTCGATGACATTGTCGTCATCCAGGATGTTACCACGAGATTCGTTGAGGGCTTGCAGGAGACGCTTCTCAAGTTGTCGAAGATGAACCTTGAATTCGCCTTGAAGCTTGATGAGATTGGATCTTCTCTCGTCAACGTCTGGTCTCTCAGACTTCAGAACATCATTAAGGGACTGAGTCTGGAGACTGCTCTGTGTAACTGTAAAGTTGACGAATGTGGTTCGACTGCAAATATCCGGTGGGAATGTCGCCGATGGATCTCTTGTAGATAAATAAATCTTAAACGCAGGTGAAAAGTCAATTTCCTGCTTGCCGAGTTGGATGAGCACACGACCGCCGGTCTTCTGGTACTCCTTGTTGAGAACGTGGTTGAGGATAGGGTCTAAATGTTCGGCATCTTGGATAAGAATTGGGTTGCCGAATCTGAGAGAACTTTCTAGCTGCTTAGTGAAGGAGTCATCCAAGAAACTTGTCACAGTAAGACGACGATCTTTGCATTCGCGTTGAAGGAACTCGGTAGCCCTGCCTGAGGGATCGATAATAAGTGGGTAGCGGTTAAAGCGCTTGAGAATAATAGCGTTTTCTGTACAGAGATCATCGACGGGTAGGGTATTCTCCTGCCAGCTGAGTCGTTCATCCGCAGTCGACAAGTATTCCGTGACGGGATTATGGGGTTTGAAGTTGATTCCGGAAAGGTGAAGTTGGTGCAACCAGTCTTCCATCATTGATTTTCGGAAGGTCTGGTCGTAGAGACCACTGTATGCCAAGAAAGCCGCAGCAACTAGAACATCTCCGACCAAGGTGCTGATTTGTGTTTCAAACGACTTGCTTCCATCCTCCCAACGAACACGCTCCGAGGAAAGACTATCGAGAAGCCTTACGCTTCGGTCGACCTTGAATTGGACACGAGACATCTCAGCCTTGATAGCTTGGGTCTCACTGATGAGGGCTGCATATTCGGTCTTGTAAGTTGCGATGCTCTGCTCTAGACTAGTGATAGTATTCTCAACAGCCTTTGCCTCAGCCTTTGTCTGAAGAGCTTGTTCCTCAAGTTGGCCCACTTCGTCCCGCAGAGGGCCGACTCGGTCGAGGATTTCAGAATAGTTAACTTGGGCTTCTACCCATTGGACCAGAGGACCACAAGCCTTGCTAGCACGATTTACCTTTTCGTATGTGAAATCCACGTGGTTTAAGAATTTGGTTCGCATAAGGGTCCGTAAGGATTTGGTCATCTGTTTCTCGTTATCGAAGTTGACGATGCTCGCAATAAAATTATCTTGTCGAACTATAGCTTGGACGTTCTTCCACTCCGTGATCTTGTGGCCTAGTAGTGCGCATACAGACTCCATTGCGAGTCGGACGCCCTGGGGCGGAGAACCCATAGAACGAACTTCGGTCAAGTGCTGTCGCTTGATGTTGCTGACACTAGCCTTTGCTTCTTCGACGGCCGGTTCGGCCCTTGCTAGGTCATTCAACACAACCTCCCGGCGAGATGCGACTTCGGCTTCTTGCTTTTCAAGAGCTGCCTGGATCTCTAGAGAAGTATTCTTGCGCTGTTCAGCCTCACGTTGATCCGCAACCATGCGTTGCAATTTCTCATTGGCTTCGGCATCTTTTGCTTCAAGTTGGGTCTTTTTCTCGGCCAAGCTAACCCTTAAGTCGCGGACTTTCTCGACCGTGTCTCTCAGTTTGTCTAGACCAACGTTCAAGTGGCGCTGTTGCTCTTCTAAATCTTCCCGCTTTTCATTATACAACTTGACATATTGAGCAACAAAGTCAAGGAAGTGACGTGGGGTGAGGAACGTGACCTTGCCCTGTTGCTTTTGGAGCTTCGCATTAAACTGTTGGAGAGAATAGTGGATGTAGACCATGGAGTTCACGATCGTTTCTCTGTGAGAAGGAGGCAAGTTGAGACCGCGATAAGCAACGGGAATCGAATCAGGGGCTAAGAAGTTAGGCTTGTCCAAGTCGATAGAGTGTGTCAACTCGTTAGCAACTTGGAAGAGCGCTTGGTCAGACCAGTCACCAAACCAATTCAATACGCAACGATTGAACAAGGCCGGACTAGTAGCAGCCTTCGAGGATAGTCCATCTTCAGGTGGATTCATAGTGAAGACGACATGCAAGTTCTTAACGATTTGTTGCGTGAACCACTTATAGAGCTCTTCTTGAGAATCCAGTAGTAGGCCCTGCCGTTGTGCACCTTCTTTGCAGGCTGTCATTAGAGAGGCGAACTCGTCTCCTTCAAAGAGACCAGGAACTTCAGCGTTGGCAAGTAGAGTATTCATGCGCTCTAGGAAACCCGAGTCAAGAACATTAGATTCGTCCATGATGAAGCACATCTTCTCGCCTTTGCAACCGCAACGACGCAGAACTTCTCGGAGATCTTCGTCAAAGTCCTCGGCAGAGTACTTCCCATGGACCTTGATCTGGAAGACTTTTAGGCCATTCATCCATGCAACAAACCTGGAAAGTGTGGTCTTTCCACTTCCACTAACACCGATCAAGATCAGATGACCTTGCGGTTGTCTGAAGACACGATCAATACGAAGGACGTGTTCAAGTACATCGTTGAACAAAATGAGCGGAACATCCACTTCCTCTTCGCAGAATGTCTTCAGGCGGGCCTTGACGAAGTCTCGTAACTGTTCTCGGTCAACAGGGACGTAATTCTTTGACAGCCAGTTGGAGAACAGAATTGGTCCGCCCAAAGCTTTCTGCTCATCGATAGTAGGGAAAAACTCTAATGCAATTCGTCGCACAGCTTCATCAGTCCATTGTCGCTCATCCTCTGCAACAAGACGATCCTGGAAAAGTCGTAGCGCCTCGTGCGCCCAGATGCGGATCAATCCTTCAATAGACAGAGTTTCCAATGGACGGATGGCCTCGTATACACCACGAACCCATCTCGTCAACTCACGAGGACTGTAGACATAATGAGGTTGGATCTTAGGCGTGAATCGTTGCTGCGACTCCAAGTAGAACCGAACCATCGATTGAGTAAGCGGCTCGGAGTATCCACGAAGCGCCGGAATGATTTTGAGAATAGCAGAGTTGAAAGTACCATAGATTTGAAGCAGAGACAACTCGCCTGGATAATCCACCATAATAAGAGGAGCATGTCTAAGGAATCTGGCGCCCATAGGCGTACGACCAGCATCAGTTGGAGGATTGCAAGCTCCCACAAATTGGATTCGATCAAGTGTCACCCAAGATTTGTCTGATGTTCGCCAGAAACCATTATGTTCTACTAGCTGACGAAGGAATGAAATTGCCCGCTGAGTACCGTACTTGTCTGGTGCTGGTAAATTGATCTCGTCGCAGAAGATCACGAGCCATCGTCCAATTTGAGTTGGTGATAGCATCACGCCGTTTAGTGTCTTCTTGTATTCGCAGTACTGCTCAAAAGTTTTGATGAGGAGATCAGGGGTAGTGGCACTAGAAAAGTTCAGACCGACAACTTCCATATTTGGCAATTTTCGAAGTGCGCTGAACAGAGTCATTGTTTTACCGGAACCAGGAGGACCACACAGCAGAAGGGGCTTGTGTTCTGCGAGCCAAGAATAGAGCACATCTTCGTGGCGAACAGTATCCAATGTGGGAATGACGACATCTGTTTGCGTGATAGAGTGTGTGTTGACCTCGATTGTAGGGACTTGATTCTGCCATGGTGTCCACTCGGCCCCAGGAAGAGTAACATCGAAGTCTATAAGGGAGCTTGTACCATCAAGAGGTGGTGATCCAAAGCTAGCAAGAGCTCCGACGTTGTCTCCAAAAGCCTTTCGATCATTGAGTGGACAATCACCTGTCAACGCCCAGACTAGAGCAAGTAATAACTTCTTCGAAACATATGCTTCGATCTGCTCTGGATCTAAGGGGAAATCGACATGTGCTGCGTTGTATTCGATCATGTCCCGAACAGACTTGTTTAGTAAAGAGAATAGAGTTGAGAGTACACGGGCGATAGTAAACTCCATGATATGATTGTAGGTTTCCGCCTGCTTGAGGGCATCAATGATGAAGTTGTCCGTAGTCAAATAGGCGTGTAGTAGATCCGCAACTTGACCTTGGATTTGAAGGGTTTTTGCGGGACTCTGGCCGGCAGCAGCAGCATCCTCGTCCAAGTCTTCAAAGGCTACTGCCCTCAGTCTCTCAAGGTAATTGGCGACCATCATGCTTGGCGTAACGGTATCTTCGCTGAACCAAACCATACCGCATCGACTCACAGTTGCCAGAGTAGCATACTTCAGCGTCTCGACTTCGAACATGATTCGGACGTTAGGGGGTAGATTGAGACGCTCACCATTGGGAAGTGTGAGTAGCTTATTATCGTCGAGTACACTGTTCAAATTTTCAACCCATTCTGGATCGACATCACCGTCGAAGACAATCCAATGACGCTTGGAGTCTTCACCGCGAAGGTTATCAACAATCTTCCGTAGTATGCTCGTGAACAGACCGTCAGTCCATTCTCGAGTGGTCGAATCTAAGTTTCCGTATAAAGCCTCCTTCGACATAACCTTCGAGTCAATGACATGAGAGACGCCTTCAACACTCTCAACTTGCTGGAGCGCGTCTAAAAGGAGCCTCCATGCGGCAGATTTTCCGGTTCCCGAGTTGCCTACCATCATTACACCATGGTGGATATTTTGAATTTGGTAAAGCTGCAGAACCTTGGTCATCCAAATATCGTTGACCACGAGGTGTCTCTCCGCTGCTAGGCGACGAATTGCAGCCTCTAGTTCTACCAGATTGGCCGGGACATACTGGACACCAGGGAAGCATTCGCTTTCAATAGACATCATGATCTCAACATCGTTTCGGATCAGCTTCGGGGCGATAGTTTCTCGGACACTCTGCACAATAATCTCAGGTTCCACAACTTCCTCAGCACCAATGCCGCCTTCACTGCTAGTGAGTCGGGCACGTTTGAGGCCACCAGAACTGACAAGGACACTTTTCAGGGCACGCAGACCAAAATCGTAGTGCGCTTGCTTAGACAGCCTTGCTGAACACTGGTCAAAGAATGGAACTGTCTGTTTCGAGAGTTGCTTCGCTTGATTGAATCCTTGGGAGTAAAGCATGACTTCGGCAATAAGTTCTTTATCCGGTTTCGACATGGCGACACTGCGGAATAGCTTCTTCAAGTTATCGGGCAAGTTGGAACGGCCGGCATAGCCAGGGTTCATGGTAATGAAGATACCCGTATTAGCGTTGACATGAAGCTGCCGCCCAACTAGTTCGATCTGAGCCTTATCATCTTCGACACCTTGCTTGAGACCGAGCTGAATGTTCTGAATCTGCTGTGAGACGGCAGAGAGAATCCTCTCCTCCAGACGATTAAACTCGTCGAAACAGCCCCAAGCTCCAACTTGGCAAATACCGAGGAAAATTCTACCCATTGCCTGGAAATCAAAGGTGTCGTCACAGCAAAACACAAGAGTGAAGCGACCCAACTGAACACCAAGTGCTTTGACTGATTCTGTCTTTCCAGTACCGGCAGGTCCGTAAGGCGAGCCACCAAGTCGTTGACAAAGAGCTTGGGTAAGGGTTCCAAAGCAGCGATCGGTAAGAGGAGTTCGAACCAACCTGTCGGGAACACCCAGATATTCGAAACCGTAGTTGAGCTTTGCATTTGCCATCCTGATAAGTAGCCGCTGTAGGAAATCCCCTTCAGGGGTGTATACGTATCGCATCTGTAGCAGCCAGAAGTAATGTGTCGGGGTAGTTGCGTTGAATTTTACCAGTTTTTCTATTACATCTCGCTGGTGTACGCACTCTGTAATAAGGGCTTCGCACTTCTTCCTCTGTATTACCTCTAGGTCACCAAGAACAGTCTCCGCAAGAAGCCTCAAAACCCCGACTTCTCGCTCGAAGAGAGATTGCAGCGTGCTGCCTCCATTATTCAGCGACTGCTCAACTGCTGTAGTCCAAACCACCTGGGTAGCAAGTACTACGATTTGACTGGGGAAGTTGCTCATAAAATCATTCATCGCATTCTGGCTGATCTCATCCGACTCGAATATCGGTGTATATACCTCGACAGCTTCAGCGAGAAGTTCAGCTAGGGTAGCTTTCATGCCGTTCTCGAGCAGAGCAAGCCAATCATTGATCTTGGGGACTTTGACAAGTGAAATCTCTTTCTTCAGGCGTACAACTTCACCCTCCTTGGAGGTGAAGCCAGAAATGATCGATTCCTCGTCCATGACAAGCCCCGTCAAGCCGGCAAACATCTTTTTGAAGTGTTTAGCAATGCGCAAAGTGTCGTTACTATTACCGATCATTTCCAGAAGATCTTCATCACCGACAAAATAGAAGCGAGGAAACGACACTCTTTCTTTCTCAAGATATTCACCAAGTGCCTTCTGTATCTTGTTGAGTAGCTCAGCAAGACGTTCCAGAGACTTTTGGACTCCAGTGATGCCCAAAACGTCCATTACCATCGGCTGCTTGTAGACTTTCTTCATTACGGTCATAAATTCGCTGTTGATGTTCTGGAATCTTGAGGACTCGATGGGTAATAGATGTTTGATATCGGCATTTCCGGTAAAGACACCTTCCAAGTAGACCCATTGGCGTTGGACATCGATCCAAACATCGAACAGTACATGGACACGATTCAGCTTGTCTTCCCAAGAAGATGCCTCCTCTTCGAACTCTTTGTAGTACGGCGAATGTTTCATCGCCTGTAGAGAGTTAAGATTCTCACTACACTTAGCAAAGAGGTCATCCCAACCGCGAATGAGACGGCATTTGTTCTGATAGGGTACGAGATCTAGTTGATAGTTGTTCCAGGTCTCTTTCACTTGCTTCAAAAACTCCTCCAGTGCCATTTCACCCTGAGCTTGGGTGATAATGTCTCGGACGATCACTTCTGTGGCGACAAGGTTGAGGTCCCAGACATCTCCTAGTGTCATAGACACAGGCGAATACCGCCGTCCGGGTTTAATCTCTTTCCATATCTTAGTCCAGTGTCTATCTCGAATAGCCTCTGACTTTAAGTCGTTCAGTAGACTATTCACCTTCAAAAGCTGACGGAGAATGGTCTGAACATGCTCAAAAGCAGCATACTGTCGCATTCTACTCGGCATTTCCTTCGTCATCTTGATGAGACCATCAATGCTACTTCGGATTTTCCTAGGTTGAACACTACTCCATAAAATCTCACGGAGTTCATTCAAACTCTTCCAGATTGTTGATAAGCCAGCCCATACGGATTTGAAATCCTGGACCTCTTCTAGGATAATTGAAAGAGACGATTCGGGACTGGCTGGGAGATCAAGTGCTTCCTTAGCTTTAGAAACCATGTCGAACTCATCCTGCAGTTTCGTGATGCGAGATTCGAAGGAAGCGAGTGTTGCGGACGCAACATCAGGTGCGATTGTCCCCGAAACCGGTTTCTCATCGTTCCATTCCGTGGCGATGTCTGTTATCTTATCCATTACAACCTTGTCCTCTGCTACTATCTTCGCCTTGAGGGCATCGGTCTGGTCTTGGACGATCTTCGCTTTTCTGTTCAAGAGTTCGTTGAGTGCCTCCCATGTTGAATCGACCTGTTGGACGTCTACCCAGTCGTGCGGGAAATTGTACCGGTTTCGGACGAGGGTAGACTGTCCTTGGCGGAAGGTCTCGACTTCAGGAGCCCAAGCCTTGACTCTACGCTTACAGCTTTGGACGATCGTGATGAACTGGACTGCTTGTGCGGTGGACGTGGCTTCAAGGCTCTGACCTTCCAAGTCTCTCCGGGCCTTTTCTATCTCGGCATTGACTTCTCTCATACGAGTTCCAAGCCGCGCAGCAAATTTCACCAATATCTCCTGTTGCCACTGGTCATACTTAGAGTTGACCTTCATCTGTACTTGCTCATAGTCGATTGTAATATGACCAAATGAACGGCTAACTTCGGTGGTGTCGAATGTCGCACGAGACTTCCGAATCTCTTGCAGCAACTGTAGCCATTTGGAGAGCTCATCGCCCAAGAGTTCGTATACCTGTTCGGATTGCAAGTCCCAAAGAGATTGGAACTGAAGCCATTTATCAACATACTCACCAATACCCTGTAGCTTCGTCTCCACTGAGGTATAAACTCTACCAAGTATGTCGGTACAATCACTAGGAATATCGTTGAAACGGGCTTCCTCTTGGACAACGGTACTTAAGGTCAAGCTCATTTGGTATCTAGAGGCCTTGATCTTGGGGAGGTTACAGACAATACCAATCCAGCTGTGCAAGTGCAAGAACCAGCTAGCTCTCGCAAATTCGAGTGGTGGATCAAGGTAGATGACCTGGTTCCTCATAGTGATTTCATGGATCAGGTGCTTCATGAGAGGCGCGTCCGACTTGAGAGGCTCCCCTGACGCAGCAAGCTGCTTTCTCCGACTGTTCTCGATTCGATCGATAGGAGTGTCGTCTTCAAATGCCTCAATCCACGTTGAGACAGCATGCTGAAGACGGGTAAGCAGAGTCAGCTTGATCCGTTCATTCATCCTCTCCACCCAAAAGCCGAGGTTGACATATTGCTCAAGGTTTAGTTGATCAACAGCCGCCTGGATAACCTGCAGACGCGATTCGAACTCCGACGCCTCGTACGGGCAAGTGGCTAGCTCTGTCAGAGCCTTTTGAACATTCAAGTGTATGGTTGCGAGAGTGGCTGTTTTTGCCTGAAGAAGAGAAGCAGCCGCAGCAAATTCCCTGACAAATAAGACATGCTTGGTCTCACCGCTACGACCAACCGTATGATCGAGGGTGCCATTAGCGAGCGTCGGCTTCTGGTATGATTCCCAAGTGTTCACAAATGTTTCCCACCTCAAAGGTACGCCCTTGGCGATCAGGGCATGAACTTCATTCTGGTAACCACTTAGTAGAATAGAAACCTCGGGTAGTTCCGATATCTGCCGAGTCGTCTGAGTAAAAGTTCTGACGCTTTCCATCAAACTAACGGCGTACGGGTACACCCTTTTAGCATCCTTCGCAGTATTATTTACGGCATGAGGAACGTTGAAGTTTTGCCAACCAAGGTTGCGAGTCTCTTTAAATAGCGCGATGATTTGTGCATCGAAGTTCACCGAAAGGTCTAGCGCATTGTTCGCGGCTCTGATCTTATTGATGTTGAAGAGCCGACCAGATATCGAGATATGCCTGCGCTGAACATCCTCAATCCAGGCTTTATAAATCGCTTGCGTATTCAGTTTCTTTCTAAAGAGCTCGCTCTCAGTCTGCAATTTTTGGCCCTCGGTATGAAGGGCCCAGTCGGTACCCAGAATGTTCTCGACCTTCTTCATATAATTATCAAGTTGGCGCTCGATCTGGCGTGCCCAAATAATGGCACCGGAGACGGGTGGTAAATCGTGTAGCTGAGCCATAGCATGGGCCTCTGAGTGGCCATATTGCTGTTTGAAGCGCTCGTGAAGCCCCGAGATGGCTTGTTTCACATTATCGATGAGTTGATTTTGATACTCGGCGATAGCACCCCGGATCTTGGGTCGCACGAAGAGAGCGTTGAACTGAGAGAAAACACGAAACATTTCATTCGCATTCTTTGCTGTTGCAAGGCGATCACGCAATCTGGCAATGATCGAGTTTTCTACCCGCGAGGTGCGTTCATTGTAAGTGTTCTCAGCCTTGACCCATCGTTGGGTACCTTCGGGAGAAACATCGAGCAGATCAACATTCTTCAATGCTTCCCAAGCTTGCTGGACCTCTTCTACGGCGTCTACATCGCCTATCTCCTCAACGAGGGCAACGCCGTTGGTCGTTGTCTCTTCGGGAACACCATTGGCAGTTGTCCTCGGGCCGAGGACATTAATGATCGTCTTCTGCAGCTGCTCATGATTATCTCGGAAGTTATCAATATACTTCAGTCGAGCCTGTAACTCGTTATGCTTCGGGTTGACTTTGATCGGAATAAACCTCTCTTGCCTTCTTCGAGTCGTCTCTCGAGCAATGTTAGTGAAGTCTTTGATCTGAGCGTCCCAAGACTTGAAGATCTCGTCAGCAGTAGTCATGAGCGTTTTAAAATCCTTATAATCCAGATCGACTAGTTCGGAGCCCGGAAGAAGGCGATGCATAACGTCCTCAAGATCCGCTGAGATGGCTTCGACCAAATGCAAAGTTCGCGCTATGGGGTAATTACTGAACCTCATCTTCTTGTTCATATGGTTGAAGATTTGGCCAATGGCGTCCTGAACCTTGGGCAACGAAGTCGCAGAGAGTAGTTCATCGAGAGGGAAATCTCGCATAAGTTGATTGTACTTCTGAACCATCTCCATAGCCTCCTTCAGGCCAGTATCAGCGGTAAAACTAACAGTCGCCTGGAAACGCTTTGCATGCTTCAGGATCTCTAAAGTCAACGTAACACCTTCACTCCTCAGCTGAGCTTCAATTCCTTCTAACGCGGACTCCATAGACAACCAGAAATTGATCTCCTGCGTCGCCGTCCTCGTTACGGGGTCTCGGGTGAGTTTCGTGATAGTCTGTATTGATTTAATCCAACTATTTACTGTCGACTGCAAGTTATTCATAAAGGTACTTTCTGAGAGAAGCTTAGCATCTATCATATCAGTAGTCGGTCGCATACTGCGTGAAGCAGCGTCGTCCAATACCCCCTGAACAATCGGGTGAAAGGAGAGTGATAATTCTGGGATCTCGACATTCTGCTGCAGATGGAGCAAGCTCAATTCAAGCTCCGTCATACGCTTCTTGGTTACAGGAATTCCCGTTTTCGCGTCGACGTCCGCCCGGTTCCTAGCTCCATTTGCAGTTTGCGAGGTCTTGGTATTGGCATCGAAGTAGGGCGCCAGCGCATTATGAAGAATAGAGTGAAGTATTTCAAAAGGAGAAGCAGTAGGACCTTGTTCACTAACGAGATTAGCAAGCGAGGCGGTTCCGGGCAGCGTTTGTATCTGGATCTGCGATGATAACGGTAGCGAAGAATCGAGCGCTTGAGGGCGTTTGAGGAGTGCGAGATAGGCTATCGTCGTCGGCGAAGAAGATATCTCGGATGCGATTGTGTACGTATACGTGACTGGAACTAGAGCAAAAGTGTTAGCAATACTATTCCGGAACTATGTAAGCGATTATGATAGACCTTCATACCATTATCGGTAGGACCATCAGGGATATCGTCCGACGGCTTCACATCTTTCTGGATATACAGGGCCACCTGGGCATCGGTCGCAAAGCGAGTACACCTTTGGACCGTATCGTCGTAGTTTTCTTTCGACAGAAGGTTGCCGGGCCGCTCTAGCTCACTGCGGGTAGCCCCGAGGGCAATAGTGACTACGGAAGCCAAATAATCTACCACCAACGCCGGATCTACCATGACAAAGGGGGAAGGCGACAAGCCGTTCGCGCCAGGACCTTGTAGGCCCAAAGGAGAAGCCACAGCCTCCATCGTGGCAATAACAGTTTAGCGATCGATCGACTTGTTCAGAGCCGGTGGCATCTCTCGATATATTAGGGGACGTGTTCGGTTTTCGGTCTTAGGAGAGAGGCACAGGCTCCGAATAGAAATTAAAAGATATCTATGCGGATTAGATTAGGTAGGTTATAGAAAAAGGACAGAGGCGAAAAGAGCGTAGGGTCTGTAGAGAATGTCTTTGCCGTTTTGTCCGACCTGTATCGTGGTCGAATTTGTTTTATTGGGTGGTGATACAGCTGCAAAAAGAAGGGATATTTTGAAGTTGTTACCAGTCATTAATCATTTTACATTAATCATTTTACATTTTACGCGAACTACGGCAAACGGGGTCGCGACTACTTCATACACAGGTACAGATGCAGAATATGGGGGGATAATTCCCACCTATCTAATCGGTGCCGTTTTTGATTGGGCCGTTCGTCCCCCGTGGCGTGGGGCTACTGGACCAGCCGTACATATGCATGTACGAAGTACACACGTACATAAAACCCCTGAGACATTCGGGACCAAGTATCTTTTCCAAATGTAGCCCCTGTTTCACCAGGCAGGCAACTTGAAAGTGTGCTCAACATACGACTAGGTTAAAGATGTTTCGTTTTCATTCAAGCCGTAGAGAAAACCATGTTTAATTTATTTCGTACAGCTCTACTACCTTTTCATAAGATATCTATGTTGATAAGTGTAATACGAGCATCGCAACAAATCAGATAAGAAATTTAAGACGACGTAGACTACGTTGAAATAGTTTATAGAGTCGACTTTCAGGATGCATAAAAGACACGATCCTAAAAGATACCCCCGTCACAAGGAAAGTCCTGGGTTTGCGACACAAATATTTCGAATTTCAACTCCAGAAATTGAAACCTTATATAGGATACGAGACGTTTCTCAACTTAACAACTTGTCGCCCTAACTATGTTAAACTAGTTACACTAAAGCTTCTATGTTATTATAATGCCGGTTCTTTATACCCTTTCAAGAACTTAACGGTACAATACTACGCATTTCCTTGTGTGCCTATCAGAAGCAGTAAAAGCGAGGAAGTCATAAATATGATTGCAACAGCTACAGTAAAAAAGATGCTGTCATTAGATTTAAAAGAAGCAACTAGTAAAGCCAAAAGATGCCTGTCATATCATATAAGTACATATTCTATATGTTCAGCAAGCCAGCAAAAGCCACCAAGTTACAAGAAACATTACGGAAAAAAACTACCTAACATAAAGCACTTAGTAAAAAGTCCCCCGATAAATCCAACCACAAGTTACTAACATAATCCCGTCGCCTTAAACCTCTTTCCAGGATAAGCCCTAGCTTTCTTTTATCTTACACCCCTTTTCCTCAGTTGAACTCCTTAAAGTTACTTGAACTACCTAATAATTTTCAAGACCATCGATGCAGTAGGCAGCATTGCAGATAGATGACTTACAGAAAAGGCCAGTTGATTAAAGGTAGGTACCTACTCCTCCGCTTTCCCCAACAAACCGGGGATCCACTTTGCCAAGACGGATCTCCGACTGTGACTACGGGAAGGCTTCCGTGTAGCATCGTGGTTTCCTCTGTTTACGCGCGGAATGTATTGGCAATTTTAGTTACATAGATAAACTTAATTCGAATCCCAAAGCTCCGGTTAAGAGATCCTCAAAGTCCCTAATAAATTCAAATGCATTGCCGGTAAGCTCAATTTATACTAACTTCCAAGCCGTAGCTTCTTAGTCTAGACTATCAGACTACGTCCGAGTTTATATAGGTAAGTTCTCTACACCATCCCATAGGCCCGAGGGTGTAGACCTATACATCTACATCTTGCTAAACTAAACACGCGAAATCCACGATTCCTTACCTGACCGTAGAAATTATCTCATCACATTACTTAGCAATATTGTATGCATATCACCACATCGTATTATACCAATACAAAATGGCATTGCTAAAGGCATCTATAAATTCAAGGAACGGGGCGGAATACATGATAAATGATAAATCATGATAGAACCACCCTCGTCCATATTTTTTCACTGAATCCGATTTCCGTATCAATACCCCCAAGTCTATATTTTCCATGTCCAGTACTGGCATACCTTGCGGTTCCTAATCATCAAGTCAGATGCAAAGTTGACATCCCGTTGTATTCCCTCGCGAATAAACCGCAAACCCCGTATAACTCCAGAACCCCGCTATATGCCATCCGTGCCAGTCGTAGCCCTCATGACGCCGATGCTTCCCTCGAAATAAACCAGATCCCATCCATGCGTGTCTCATTTTAAAAACCCTTTTAGTCATGTCCCTTTAGTTATTTGAGCCTCCTGCTCCGCCGTTGACCCCGCCGGTATCGTTTAGTCTCTCCCTCTGTACCATAACCCGTTCGTTACATATGTCGATAAACATCTCGAACTTCTCGATCATTTTATCTTTCTCCCGTAGCTTCTCCTTCAGCTCTTCTACTTCTTTTCTGCTGTCTTCTTTAACCCGGGATAGTTCCTCCTTGGCCCGAGCGAGCTCTCGCCTGAGGTCGGATCGTATGCGTTCCTCGGCGGATGGGGCAGGCTTACTATATATTGCCGGCCGCTGTTCTGCGATACCTGCCTCCACTTTTTGCGGGTTTCGATTTATCGCAGCACGCGCATTGTAAATATCTCTAGGGAGGAGAGGTACATGCGGGTTCTGCTGTTGTAGAATTTCGAGAGTTTGAGTAACGCCAATACCTAAAATGAGTCAATACGATAGGTACGACGACTCGAAGCCCAGACTTACCAGATTCCTTTAAGTTTTTAACGGCAGCAACCATCTCGCTATCTAATTTCCTCGCAGCTGGGTGGAGAAGCGGGCTCTCACTAGGACCGTGATTATGATGGAGGTGGGTTTGGTCGGGACGGTAGCGAATTGTCCACTGCGTTCTCTGTTCGATAGCGAAGAACCCAAATTGGCAGTTACACTTGCGAGAAGACGTCTTCCGTTTCCTATTTTCAGGGCTTACCCGGCTTGGAGGCTTTCCAGCACGGTCACATACGAAGAGAACCTTCTTTAGACCCGGGACGGTCTTTTTCGACCGTCCGATAACTACAGCATATCCCACCGATGTGCAATACGCGAGCACGTGCTTGTGAACAGCATCAAGACTAGGAAAACTACCCCCTTCAGGCGGAGCGGACATCATCGTGCCCATCGGCGTCCTCGGTACGAAGGGTGTTCCTTCGATGAGCTTAGGCGAAATGTGACTATCTCCCTCTCCCTCCTCCCCTTGACTGTCCATATCCATATCATCATGGTGCTGAGCTTCCTGCGGCGGGATGCTTGGCTCTGGCCGAGGGGCTGGCGGCGGTTGGCTCTGCGTTTGAGGGGTCGGCTGAGGCTGCAATGGCGGCGGAGGTTGCTGATGAACTTGAGGCAGAGGCTGGGGGAGCGCCTGCTGGTGTACTTGCGAATGTGCCTGTGGATGTGCCTGGGGATGGGCTTGGGGGTGAGCTTGCGGATGGGTTTGCGGATGTGTTTGCGGATGGGCTTGCGGGTGAGGTTGATGATGCGGAGGGTTCGGAGATATCAGATTGCTGTCGTTCGGTTGAACCGGTGGGGTTGGCTGGACCTGTTGAACAGGTTGCGGCTGAACTTGCTGTGGAATCGACTGAGGGTGCGGCATCTGTAGAACCGGCTGGGGCACTGACTGGGATACCTGTTGGACGGATTGGACAGGCTGGTTCATGGCTTGCTGGAGATATGCCATTGTGGTTGGGGGTCCCGGCTGTGATTGCATCTGACGCTGTTGGCTACTCCGTTGGTGCTGAGAGTGCTGGTGCTGGTGTTGATGCTGGCGAACGGCCTGCACAGCAGCTTGGGCATGCTGAGCAGCCTGAGCAGCCTGAGCCGAAACGTGTCTCGAGTTGCCATTTGGTAAGTTAGGTAGACTGGCGACGTTGGGTACCGGAGACGGGGTGGTGCTCTGGAAGAGATGTTGCGGGTAGGCGGCCTGCGGGGGTTGCTGGGGAGTATATTGAGCGGCTTGGTACGGGGATTGGTGTTGCTGAGGCGTGGGAGAAGGTTTCGGCGGCGTGGACGAGTGTGAAGATGGATATCCTCCGCGTCTGTTGAGTCCGTTGACCTGCGGGAAGGTCAGGCCCGGATGGGTATGGGAGCTGGACCCGGGCTGGCCCAAGGCGGACATGACGGAGGGGAGGAAAGACGTGGGAACAAAAAACCACTACAAACGCTCCAGACTAAAAGACAGGAAGGCGAAAGGAAGATTCGGGAGGACCAAAAGGGCCCAGAATACAACGACAACCGATAACGACAACCGACAACGAGCCTAGCACTAACGAACTAGGATAGGAACGATGTGATGTCAACCCTGGCCGTTTGGCAGATACAATATGTAATGTATGGTATGGTATGTAAGGTAAGGTAGGGGGAAAGAAAAATATGGCGGGTGTGGAAATATCACGACACGATCAACATGATAAGGCTCAAGGCTTAGCAGGGCTTAGCAGGGGGTAGAGGGGGTAGAGGGGGGGAGGGCAGGTAGTTGTAAGCACGGGTGTGGTTGAAGAGAATTGGTGGTGGATTTCCAGTGAATTTTTCTTAGTCTCATAAGCGGGAAAGAGAGACTTTTGGTGGTGGGAGTAGTGGGAGTAGTGGGAGTGGGTGAAAGATCGATCTAGTACTTGTTCTTGTTCGAGGCGCACTAAGCTGAACCGAGTTAAAACAAGGAAGGAGAAATCGAGGAAACGGCGAAACGGGGGGTGTGTGAGAGAGAGGGTGAGAAAAATGAGAAAAATGCAACAGCCCTCGCCAAGGAAAAGGACAACACAAATTTCTGCAATTCTGTAATTCTGCAATTTTGTAATTTCTGTATTTCTTGTACTTTGTTGTTATTTATTTTCGCTTTTGTTTTTGTTTTTGCTACTAAAATTTAAAGGACCCGAGGCTCCGACATTGAATGAACAGACTATTCAAAACTACCTCACGCGAAGCTAATAAATAAATAAAATAGCAGCAGCCCGAGTACCTTAAAATACCTACCTACCTTAGGGCCCTACCTTACGAATGTTAGGTACACGTAAGATTTGGGTCCCCGATTGTCATAGGTCGACTTCACTGGTAGGTATTTTTAAACAGCGGGTACTAATATAATATGTACATGCGTTTGCAAAGCCTAAAAATTGAGACGTGCAATACTACTTGCACTTTGACCGTTGATTAAAACTGTCGTCTAATCTATAATAGGCAATGAAATGCTAATGCGACCCTACCTAACCTAACGCTAATACAGGCGAGACAGGGCTAATAATAATACAAAGCTAATACAAGGTACATGCTGAACGTTTATGCACAAAATTGCACTTTACCCTTTTGTCTTGCATGGGCAACGGTTATGTCTGCTATATACATGTATTAATTATTAATTCAACGTGCACAAGACAACCTCAAACGTGCAAAACAATACGTAAAAAACCTCCATCTCGAATCAATATAATTTTCAATTTCAACCTCAATCAATTCTGATTTCTTACCAGCCCCAACTGATGTTATTCTTAGCATCCATTCATAAGTGATCACGAATATCTTTTCCTATCAGACCCTTCTGCATAGGCATACGGCAAGGTAGCTCAGCTAGCTGATGTGTCCGCTCTCTCCTCTTCTACCTAGAATACCTACCACATGTGCGGTCTGTTGTTTGCTGCTGTCTGGTTAGTACACGTCGATACCATTGGCCCCAAATAGTCGATTCCATCCAATCCAGTTTAGGTGAAACATCAAGCGGTGCGCATAAGGTCGCTGTACATACATGATGTATTCCGGGATGGGCTAGATGGCAAGATGGATACAGTGACAACAGTCGGAAAAGAAAAAAAAAGCGACTTGTCAACATCCCATCAACGTGCCTAATCACGTCCACACACATCTGTCCTGCGCGTACCCGCATGCTACATCGCTACCTTATTAGAAGATACTACCATAGAAAAATAGGTGATGACACTTCCAGAAATACATAACAATTGTTCTAGATTTTATCATTGCTCTTTCCTTCCTTTTCTCCATAGGCTCATTTTCCAGCTCCGCATTGAACATTTCTCCCTCCCAGCCTTGTGGGGAATCGAACATTCTCGACCGACGCAGTTAAGAAATCAAGGAATCGACTTGGGACCGAATGAAAGTATCGTTGTATCTATCAATCATTTCGAGGCTAAGGTGAGCAATTTCGAGGGTGTATTTTTGACATGTTTGTTGGTGTCGAATTGAAATCGCCTCGGGGATAGTTTGCTTCGGATATCCTTCTCTTACTATGTAAGTTTCTACAGCTAGGACCATCTGATTCGAAACAGTGCTTATGCATTTGTCTTATGCATTTGCAGTAAAAGAAAGGCCCTCAAATTAGCCCAAGTAAAACTTAAAAAGGTATTGCATATGCGTGCGTTAGTGGCTAGGCTGAGGCTTGCTATTGTCGCCTTCAAACTCAAGCTGCCTCCGCTATTGGGCGCCAGCCTTAACTCTCAAGACCTCAAACTCCGGTATTCCTTCCCGTAGTTGGGCATAAACAGCATAAACACAAACAATACACAATACGACAAGGGTTAGATGTCGTTTAAGCTCATCCGGGTTTTCCCCATTGTGTAATACGGCATGGTCGTCATAGCCAACTTTAATTCTAGACTTTCTTTAATCTCGCCTATCCCATCCTATCCCTCGGCCCCCCTCACTCTTTTACAATGGCCGGGTGGGAGAGCCGCAAGAAACTTCATGAGTGGAGAATCATGCAATATCGAGGCCGTAATAAAGTCCTAAAGGCATCAAAGGATCCTATCGCACGAGCCCGGCTCTATGCCGAGATCCCGTCCCCGAAATCCGCAGGACTCCACATTTCAGAGTCGGATCGAATTTCGGCCTTGACGTCCCTTCCGGCATTTCTCTTCAACGGCCCCGCAGTAGATCCCGGACGATCCCAGATCACTAGTCAAGGGCATCACTCTTTCCTTGCCACTTTTCCCGCCGAGGTCCGGAATATTATGTACTACTACGCTATCGGCTACCCTACATGTCGAAGTCTATACGACTACTACTACGACCAGAAGGAAAAGGCTAAGTCTAAGATTGAGCTACGACCGCGCTCTGCTAACACCAAAGTATCGCGCCACTCCAAGATCATTCTTCGGACGCCTACCATCCTCCTTCTCTGCAGGCAGATAACAAGAGAAGCACTCAGCCTTCTGTGTTTCCAGCCCTTCGTCATCGACCGCATCCCGCCCTGGATCATGGGCAACTCATCACCCCTCTCCATAGTCAACTTCATCAGCAGAGCAACATTGCAAAATCTCCGATTCGTCCAAATCAAAATCTCGCTCGGTGATAGTAGTGAGTTCGGAAGCGGGAAGGTCTGGCTTAGGCTACTGGACGACATACTGGAAGCCTGGTCGGAACGCAATTCCCTCGTTCGATTAGAAGTCATGTTCAAGCTCTCGCATGTTACCAGGCATAACATGTGGATCTACGAACTGGACGATTACGAAAGGCTTGTGGACAAGGCAAGTGCCCCCGTGCCCCAGTAATGACAACATCTCTGACGTGGGCTTACGATTCTCTAGCTTAGTTACTTCGAGTTCAAACACGGATCAAAACCAGGCTTGATTCGTTGGGAACATTGGGTTATAGATTTCGACTATGCTTACCGAGTCGGGCATAGAAGTAAGTCGTAGAAATGATCACCCTTTACAGACTCGTAGGTAGCTAACTGATCGTAGATCCCTTGGTTCGAGTACATCCTGACCCATACATATGGCAAGGGAGCGTTATCGAATGGCTCTAAGCAAGTATCAGACGCTTAAAACTACGGCTATATAGCCCATAATGAAGTCCCTCGTTATCAAGAGGAATACGAACATCACGAAACGGGGTAAAGGCAAGAACGAGTGGATTTTACAGACATATCCGCACAACCATACGGCGTTTGGAAGGCATATACCCAGGTTACGATTTGGTTTTTACGGAGAGTTTTTCTCTTCTCCAAGTAATCTTATAATATTATCTCGATGAGATTCCATAATTAAGAATGATTTACTTTACACTACGCTGACGTATATGGTTTAATATTGATATTGGAGAACCTATGGAAATATCACAATACGTCTACTATAGGTCTAGCGGCTTAATCATATCGTAGAAAATGCTAAATTCTAACCCGGACCTTTTAAAGCCAGCTACCTACCTACAACCCAAAGTCGCATATTCCTGTGTAACGACCAACTTACCAACAGCACCCAGCTTCTCCTGTCCATCCATCTAAGAAAAGATCTCGTTCCTCCCGAGCGATCCCTCCAAGTCCCTACCCCTTCAGCCGCAGACCCTACGTAGGTAGATAGGTAGCCAAGACCACAACATCGCCAATAGCCTTTCATCCCCCGCAAGGAAACCCAGTCTTATCCCATCCCATCCCCATCCCGTCTCGTCCAACCCTGCCCCGCGCTCCTCGGACGACGCCGAGCGGGCATGTAACACTGCGCGTACACCGCACCCCTAACATACCGTTTCCGGTCCCCGAAGGAAGCGATCCCGCGTACGTAAGCCCTGTCTCCCCCCAACGCCATGGCCTGGGTTTCCCCGCTAGACGGCGTGTAATTGGGCGGTGCTGGGATTAAATATCTCCGGTCAGCCTTACGAAAGCAAAGCAAAGCATGGATTCCTAAAGGAAGCAAGCGCCTAGGTACCACATTCACCCCCCCCTCCCTCCCTCGCGATACTACCTAATCTGATCTGATAGCGGGACCGCCAGACCCTAACCCTATGAGGTAGGTATGCACCTCGCTTAGTAAGGGATGATTATGCCGTGCGCTGAGAGACTAAGGTGTGGCGTTTCCCCCCTAACCCCCTAACCCCTTATTCTGCTGAGCACAGCAACTGGGTCTAATCTCAATCCCGTTCGGACGCGTATTCCGAATAGTGCTACTATCTATAAAAAATTTGCGAAGGAATCAAGTTATTCATTGGCCTTTCGAATGTGTACATTTATTTCACACAGCAGTCAATATAACAGATATTGTGCAGAATAAACCAAACGCGCTACTTGGTTAAACATGGGCATTGTAGAGTATGAACTTCGTAATCGTGTATATCCAGCCCAGCTGTAATCACATCCTGCTGGTGTAGAGTGCCTTTTGGCCTAGATCTATCTTCTATATACGCAGTGGTATCTCTAAAAATCCTGTCCTAAAGCACCTAGCTAACGGCGAAAAAAAAGGTAACAAGCGTAGGGTTTAGGGGAGAAGGAAAACGACGAAGAGCCACCCAAATGGATCGTGAACCTGGACGCCTAACTAATGCAGAATCAAATGATAGATTTATTGCCTTTCATGTATCATCTCTCACGTCCTTGGTGTATCTACTCTGCTGGAGAGTACTTCTTTCTCTTACTGGGTCTCCGGCCTGTCTCGTCGCCAACGAAGTGATTCTTGTCGATTTGGTGCTGGCGTAGGTTATCCTGGCGGTTCTTGTATTGACTATTACATCCAGGGAAAGGGCATTTATAGATTACTGGCGGTCCAGTTGAATGCTGCATCTTCTTGTGCTTTGCCATACTGCCTTTGAACCACTGCGGGTCTCCCTTCGGGCGGTACCCACAGATGTCACAGGGGTCATTTGCTTCCACTTTCTGAGCCGAGGAGGATATCGGCTTCAGTGGTAGTTCGACGTGGGCCGGCGACAGAGGCTTCGGTCGAGTGGGAACAGTAATCGGCGGTGAGAAGCCAGTCGAAGTCGCAAACGAATTGTCGGGGGTCCCGGTGTGTGAGGTGGTTTCAGCGAAAGCTTCGGTGGCAATCGTCGGGGGTGGAACACTGGTACTAATGTCTTGAAGGTCGATGGGGCCAAGCTCCGGATTAAAATTCGGAGTACCAGTGAGCCCCGTTTGACTTTGCTGAGAAGGACCTGTGCCAAGATTCACGAGGAATTCCCCTTCAATACCAGTGGTGTTATCAAAAGGAAATGTATCGAGAAATTGGTCGTACGTTGATTCAGGTAGCTCTAATGAAAACCCGGTAGGATTTCCTTGAATATGTTGGGTGTTAGACGCAATTGTTTGAACAAGAGCTTCCACCAACGATATTCCCAGAGTCTGATATCTTGTTCTTGATTGGAGTCCCTGTTCAGAGTAAATCGGGTCACAAAGTCTCCTGACTCGTGGGATGAATTCGTTGAAGAGGTCGGAAGAGCCTAAAGAGTTCTGTCGTCCTTATTGTTAGCTAGTACACGAAGAGTAACTCGTGGCATATTTCGAGCTTTTTTATAACGAGAGCAACCATTCCGACTGGCTCGAGCCAATCCATCTGTCATTTTTATCTAGCATGAGGGAAACTTACTTTGCCGGCTTGTAACATCGCAAGTTCGAATTTGCGAATGGTGGTGATCTCCCCAACACGAACCTTTTGCCCAATTTCGCCGAGTCTTGGTAGTAGTATTTCAGAATGCCCGAATCCCGAACTTAAGCTTTGAATAATATAGTTGGCCGTTATTGAAAAAGGACTGTCGTCTAAAGAGCCTGGGTGGGTTTCCGCTACATGGGTGGAATAAAGGTGAGATGTGAAAACCTCATCTGATTTTGGCGGGCCATTGGTTATGACGGAATTTTCGAGGTCTATTGGTGCGGTTAGCGGGATTGTGTAGATAGCACCATAGATGTGACTTACCATCAAGGAAGTTCTGTCCTACGGCAACAAGAGGATCGGCTTCCAAATCGATCCTCGAGCCTGTTCGATACTCGGGTTCTTTACCCTTGGAACTTGACGATCCATCTGTACGGGCTCCTCTAAAGACATGCGATTGTTCCTCTAGTATCGGCTGCCAGATTGCTACTACGATCTGCATATAATATTCGCGATGGGTCGGCCCAAGGAAGCGTCGGTAAGTAAGAGCTTGTTGGTACAGTGCGTTACAACGAGTTGCAAGTTCGCTTTCGTGGATTACGAGGGAGAGGGCGTAAATAAGATGTATAAAGCAGATGTAATCAAACGGGTCTGTAGGATTACCTCCCTGCAGCATTCTCCTCAGGCTCGAGAGACCATTTAATGCCACGGCTTTTGGTGACTGTGTTTGAAGTTGCTCGACTAACGGATTTCCTTCGACGTGCGACAGTTTATACCTTGAAGATGCGATATGTTCCTGTAGGGCGTCCCATACTGACTCAACAAGGGTCCTAGTATCTAGGCTGCGATCTGATGGCTCGAGGAATCCGGACGGCATACTCGTGGGCTTGGTATTAGGTCCCGTAAACATCATATTGACGGAAGGCGAAAGCGAGATCTCTGTATTTACAGACTGTATCCATGAGTAGTTATCCTTAGGCTCAAAAGAGAACATCAACGGATCAGAGAGTCCACGGGGTATGGATAACAAATCATCACCTGGTAGTTCAGACATGTCGTCGACCATGTAGTCACACCTGTCGTGCGGGCATGGGGATGTGGGCTTTGCTGTATTTAAGATGTCTTCAGGCCGGGATGCTGGTAGAAAGTCACTTGGACTCAAAGGTGTTATTGGGGATGTCATCGCGGTATCAATACTTGAGCCCATGGTCCAGGCTCCAGAACTGTTTGAACCTGCGCTCCATGGAGTAACTGGTGAAATGTTATGCGAGCTTTTTGTTGATCGAAGCGATGAACTCGGAGAAAGGTGTTTCATACGGGGAACGTTCCTGTAACGGTCTATGTGAGTATCTAGGGCTAATGACGGTCGATTACCCCCTAGATTTGTATGTGTTAAATTAGGCGGAGGCATGGATCCGTCTTGATGAAGTTGTTGCGTTGAGTAGGGCGCTAAAGGCTCACTGTGCCTCGGAAGTATGGTTGTTTGGGAGGGTACTATAATCCCCGGTGTAGCATTATGCTGTTGATCTGGGGTCGTGGGGAAATCTACGGGTTGTGTGGCATAGTTGATAGGATCGAGTTCAGCTGTCGGCAGCATCTGTCTAGAGTCTAACTCATGTATTTCTGTACCATTTAGTTCTATCTGGGGATGAGGCTGGGGTCGCTGGTGCTGGGACTGGTCTTGGTACTGCTGACGCTGCAGCAGCTGTTGCCGTTCACTTTGCTCTTCTAGGTCGATTACGAGAGAATCGTAGCTGGGGGGAGGTACTGTAATATCTTCCTGGAAGTCAGAATGTGGTACCTTTCGTGTCTTATTGCCTATATTCGAGAAGAAGTTCCTGGCTATGTTGATAATACGTCTTCGTTTGGTCGGGTGGCCTACACAACACCGACATTTCCCATCGTTATATCGTTCGATTTTCATGCAGTCGTAGCATACGTATTCACCAGTTTTGAGGTGTTGGCATTTAGTCAGATGTCTTAGCATCGCTTCATGGTTGTCGAATCGCTCTCCGCACAAGAGGAGAGGACATTTTAGACGTTCGCTTGCTGCCATTCGAACCGATTTGTTTCGCTTGACGGCTGCCCATACGATAAATCTCTGTAATGCACATTCCTCCCCTGGAATCTCTCGAGTCCTTGAGAGGTTAGTATATTCAGAACCATGGTAATATCCCATCGCTACTCACGCGCATGGCGATGGTGCCTGTGGGTTAGATTCCGATCGCAGGCTCGAGTTCGACCGTCGCCTCGAGTCGAGAGAAGGGGATCGTACCGTGGCATCGTGCCCGACCGGCGGGTCTAAATCGAACAAAGCATCATCAATAGAGGCCGACTCAGTAGTGGCAAAGCTCTTTTTCGGATCCATTGCTGCAACAGAGGTCTGATCTATAGACTAACACTTGGACGGAATGAGAGAGGTCGGGGCCAAGCGGATCGCCACCGATCCATGACTTTATTTTGAAGGATCTAGAAAATTGTCTACTACCCTGAATATGACGATGTAGGACTTTTTGGTACTGGTGCAGGTGCAGCAGTACTTGTACCCTAGGACCAGCGGTAACGAAGACCGACTAATAAGAACAGATCTAGCCATTGGTGACCACTAGCAGGCTCCCTCAGGACCTCCCCTTGTATTTACTATCGGCAGTGCGTTTATCTTACCGTTCGCGGCTCACAGGGCTGCATGAGAGTGCAAGCGATGGAGTTGGGGTCCAAAATCCGACTCGGTGAAGTACGCAGGCAACAAGGCAGAATGGACCCCAAATTACGCCTTGTACTCAGATGCAAAAGCCAGCTGAGTGGGAATTGCTTGCTGACTGCAGGACTCGGGCGTGGCCCAATTAAAAGCACAGCGTGAAAAGACATAATTGCTTAAGGATAAAGCCAGAACGCGACGCTATTCGAGCTTGGAAGCTCTAATGCGAGTCGTTTCATCAAACCTCTCGGGTTTAGACGTATGGGTGCTTTAGTAAATATCGGGAGCTCCTTGGCAATTATCTTGATGAACGGGAAGAGTTCTCGAAAGGCAACCCAAGACCACGGAATCGTGGTAGCACAACCTACCGGGAAGCTATTGCGAATATTCTGCATTTCCGGGACATGAACTTGTGTTCTCAATCGGTTTAGGGTATCTCGGGGATCCCATGATCAATAGCTTTCGGCCATGCACGATGCCTCAGTTCCAGTTAGATAGGTGAGAAAACGGCAACCGAACTCAACATGAGCCATGTTTATTGCATCACTATAGGTATTCTAGAGGAGAACTAACGGATGCAGTGTCCGGGGGTGGCTTGATATGGTGAGATGGTGATCCATCACCGCCTTGTAGGGCTGGGAAAAGATGACAAAAGCGACATGGGGTTGACGGGGATAAGGAACATTTTAGGAACATTTTAGGAACATTTTAGGAACTTGTCGTGGAGCTTAGGCCATGCCCCGGACTTGTTTTGTTTCTTACGAGATATGTGGCGTGATGTGGCTAGTCAGTGGCTGAGACGGCTGATTCCGCAGCAGAAAGCCCTTCCTTCCAGAAGTCATGAAGGATCAGGTCCTTGAGAGGTAGGTACATATACCTAGGTAAGCATTGAGGACATAAGGTCTTGTTTACATAAGGGGTAGGTAGGACTTACAAGTTTTAGACCTACATCATTATGCAACTTCACTTGATCAGTAGAGATGGATATTAGCATAGCATAATATTGATATTTTATTGAAGAGTAAATTCCATAAGTGAGCATCGGCAAAGTTATTCGGTATCCGATAACTATATTTTAACTAACCTAGTGTATTATTGATACATTAGCTGATTCAATAGATGTATCCATATCCGATGCATCGTCACCTTTCAACTTCTCCTTTCCACGACAAACATACTTACTCGAATACTGGCCAATTCTATCCCGTCTTGATATATATAAACCTCGGGGTATTCACAAGCCACACGAAGAGAAGGATTTGGTGGCTTTAATATTGGAATTCCCGTCTCCTACATTATTGAAGTTATACTTACCGAGCCTTAATTCGGTCGTAGGTACGGATCCGTGGTCTTTATAGCGTAACCGAAAGGTCGGCTTCTTATGTTGCATCTTTTCTACGTCGCAATACCGAGCGCATATGCAAGCGGGTCCGTCTCATTTATTAGTAGGTATGCAGTCGTAGAGATGTGTGCCGTGTCATTGGACCTGTCTACTATGTATGTAGTATTCCCCGTCCGGCATCGACTAGTTTGCAACTCCAGTTGCGCAATTTTTTGTATTTTATAGAGGGCCGACCTTGCTGATCATGACGCATCTATTGGGGCTCTCACGGGGAAAATGGGGATTGTTGGTCTCGAGTTAATTCGCTACCAAATATTACGCGTTCAACGTTTCAAGAGACGCAACCCAAGTCTGACATCTGCTTCTCGTCTGGTCCCCCCGCGCTTTTTGTGCTGGGGTCAACCCGTTTCTTATCAATGGCTATCCTCTGAATGGATCTTGGCACTGCCCGATGAGAATCATGGGATTCACCATTCCACCCCACGAGGAAGAGCGAGTTTTGACAGCTCTCGTTGGCTTCAAATTTGAACGCCGGACACACCGGGGACGGCTAGACAGCCATTGATCTTCCCAACTAGCAAGGGACTCCCCATCATCCCCATCATCCCCATCTACGATCTGGAGTGTGATCGACAATATGTCTGAATGCTCCAAGTAGACGAGGGACCCTAAACTCAGCTAGGGGACTTAGGGGACTTAGGGGACTGAGTGGACATGGTATACGACAACGTGCCACACAACGAACCATCTTAAAACTTAGCTAGGGATGTTCTAGGCCCCTCTAGTTTCGTCAAGTTTTGTCTCAAAAGAGCTGTACTGCTGTATAACATGAGAAAACCCTCTCGCGACCCATGGCTCTGGTGCACTTTATCTCACGAGGACTGCCACCCAAGACGAACGATAATGGAATAGGCAGGATTTCGTGCTTGCGACAATCGATATAGTGGCGTCGTCTATAACTCCTATTCGACCATCTCATTCGCCTACTTAACTCTTATCAGATAACCACCGGGTGATCGACTGGTAACGAGCGTTCCCCGCGGGACGATGTCATCAGTGCAGCAGTCCTTATAGGGAAACGGAAACGGCTTTTGGTTTATCTGCGAAATATTTTGCGACAGCCCCAAACATATAAGCATTCCAGCCAATACTGCACCTCTTTGTCAATCATATTTCTTGTCGTTTCGTCTCTTCATTGTTTAATTCTCAAATCATCTCAACTTATCCGTAACCTATTATTTCTTGACATCGTCGATATTAATAACCCCAAATTACCTCCCCTCCACCTCGTCTTGGGCCCGTCGCTTATTAGAGCTTGTCGTCATTTGTTTTTATGTTTATTTTTTTCAGGGTCTAAGACCCTTGGAGTCCCAAGCAGCTGGTAATTAAAAACTACATTTTTAATTACTGTGCCAAAAAAATATTATTTGTTTATATTTACTCCCAAAGCAGGCCACAAAAATTTTTATTGTCCGCCTCAAAGCTGGGCTAACCACACACAACGTCGAGATGGCGCACGTGGCACGAGAGTTAGACCTGAATGCCTACTATGGGCCCGGCACCGTCATGGACAGAATGAATGCGGTGCCGGGCTTAAAGACTAGTACAGGTCAGTAGACGATAGTCTTTTCCTTTAAATACCCTCGATTGTATAATTGTCCTCGATGTTGGTTCCTTGCTGCTTCGTCTTCCGTTTGTCTCGAATTGAAAGTTCAATCTCCGCCGTCTCATTCCATGTTTTTTCATGAGTGACATGGTGTAACCTTCACCTTGCATCCGTAAGTCGCAAAGCATCGCATGGGTTGGACGAGGTTGGAAGCAAAACTCAATTATTCGGCTCGGGCGTAAGACAAGGAGAGTAGAGTTATTAGCATCGGCAAAGCTGATCAGCACCTTCGGCCAACAGCATTCTTCTTCTTCCTACGGGCGAATCTCGTCGTCAACCCTTCAGCAATATCAACCCCGGATATGGAGCCGGCACCGTCAAGTACGCTTCCGCCGCCTTCGCCGTCACTACTTGTGACAGTTGATCCGCCTACCAACCCAATACCGCAAGATCTACCCCCGCTATCTGTCGGCATTATAGACGGTGAAACCAACAAGCTAGATGCGCTGAATCTAGTAACGGACTCGATAGCCCAGCAGCGGCAGTCATCCTCGTACCATTTAATTTTCCACCCGTACTTACTAGCTATTCTAGCCGTGGGCCTCGGTATCGCTTATCAATACTCCTGGCGCATAAAACGGGACCTCGGTACGGCGCTGATGTTGCATTCCGGGGTGATCATGACTTATTTAATGACCATTCGGTATTTTACGGGCCAGTACATACAAGTAGCCGAGAGCGTGAAATGGAATTGGATGGTATCCGAGGATGGCGAGGAGGACACCGTCATCGGCGTGCGATTTGGGAATGATCTGATTGGTGCTCTGGTATTACGACTCGAGCCAAATCCGAGTCTAGCCGGGAAGAAGCGGAACCGAAATTCGATGCTTAAAGGTGGGAAGGGCGTGATCCGAGCCTGGACGGTCAAGTTGAAGTATCGACACAAGGGTGTCGGTTCCGATATGCTTCATGAAGCCGTTAAAGTGACGAGGGAAAGGTGCGGCAAGGACGCCGAGGTTGGATTCGCGAAGGAACACGCTAACAGCACTATGGTACTGCCCGAAGCTTTCAATGGGCCGTTTAGAAAAGAGGAACAAAGAGCCGCAAAGGCTTTAGAAAAAGTTTTGAACGAATGGGAAGGCAGTAAGCGAAGACGGAAACTATAGAGGATCGCAGGAACGGTCGGTTGGCGTTTGGCGGTTATCTGGTTACAATATACCCCCCGTTCGTTTAGAGTGTCTCAGTCTTATAGATAATCAATCGTTTCTTCTAGTTAGAGACTTTCTTTGAGACTTGAATTCTATGTTCCGAGTAACCGTGTACTGTCACATTCCATAACCTCTTAGTTGAGAGCTAATGTTCCAACTAGCTGCGTTCAAAGAGCAGGAATAAACTCAAGCCATAGCCATCCATACGCCAATAGTCCCGATCAGACCGTTAAAAAAGTCAATTTTATTCGTTCCTTCCACTATGTTGTATCTTAACTTGGACATGCCCCTGATACAAAAGCCAATCTTCAGAAGTTTACCGCTTTTTGGGTGGACCGCTGCTTACATCGTCGAAACCGTATATGGGCCGGCCTATTCGTTTCAAAGAATGTAAGACCTGCGATGAAAAAGGTTGAGGTCAATATCACAAGATGGCAGGGTACCTGATTTGGAAGATGACGAGTAACTCACATCGTTGATGGTGACCGTTTTCCTTTGACGGTATTCAGTGTATATCACGCAATCCCGTATGATCTGTCCTCGGACGCGGCGTTTAGTACAATGCAAGCAAGCAAACAAATCGGGGGTTACGTCACACGAATTATTGCATGCATACCTCTTCGAGCCTCGCTTTCAAGGCCACTCGCACTTCATCGTAGATCTGTGCTGATATCCGCTTGACACCACCTCTACGGGCTAGTCGTCTGCCATGAAATTAGAAAATTAGATTCAATTCATCATAAGGACGAATGCCGTAGGAGAAGTGTAGTAAGATGGAAGAATGAGACGGGAGTGGATTTGAGGCGTTTGGATGTGAGTTAGAGACGTACCTGATAGCGGGCTTGGCTGGAAATCGGATTACACGTTAGCGACCAGTTGACCGTTGACCGTTGACCATTGAATTGAACATTTCCCCGACGGATAAGCCACTTACTAATTCCCTGGATATTGTCGCGAAGTATCTTACTATGCGAAGGTTAGCCACGACAAAGCGCTCACTTGCTTATACGCATGGTCTAAAATACCGGTGCCGCTTGATCCCCTGCAAGCACAGCGAGTTAGCACGGCACGCACGTCCACGCCATCGCGTCTAAAAGATTAGAACTAGGGTAATTTACTCCCTTCCCGCCGAGGCCCTTTCCGCCTTTCCCTCCCCTAGTGATATCTTTGCCCGGCATACTAGATGGAAGTCAGAATGGCTGCACCGGGATTGAAATCGACGTAGAAATAGGAATGGCACGCGCTATGGCTATGTGAGTTACGAGTTACGGCGCGTGAGACAATACATGTAGGATGTGGAGTTGGGCGTGGGGAAAACCAACCGACAACCGTAAGGATATTTTGAATCTTAGCGCTGAAGCTGTACGTATCGATAAGACGCTGCTGCCTTCCACTATATGTACATTGTAGCTGTTGCCTCAACCATCGCCTTAAAATGATATATCAATATAGAGCGGGGTAACTACCTCCTACCTTAATGTAACGGAAGGTATGACACTTTAACGTCTCAAATATTAAACTTGGCAGATATTCCTCCAGCTCTTTGTCACTACATGTAATTTCCCTACCTAACTGTCGTTCAAGTAATGCCGCATACGGTTGTCGATTCCAACTCGAGTATGTAAAACAGTACGTAGGTAGCTTATGGACATAGAAAGCATTCGATTCTTATTCTCTTCATTAAATATCTCATTCAGTTCATATATCAGAGAATGATCAAGGTTGATAATAAGGTAGAGATATATGTCTACCGCAAGCTTACATCTTGACTTGGGTTATACTCCTTAATAAACTAATATTTCAATACTACATGTCCTACCTACCTTACTCGCAGTTAGCAGAGTCCATTTTAATGCTACGTTCTTTTGTCCTATGCAAGACTCCCAAGAACAACGATTGTATTTATGAGGAATCCTTATTAATGCAACCTAAAACCTATAGATAGTACATGATTTCGAATGGTGGAATCCGAATATAGTTTACACCTTGGTATCTCAACGAGTCATCATGTACTTCTATGAACTCTAGTATCCCTAACTTGTTCTGATGCAATATCCTGAACGTATGCTAACTGGAGGCAAGCGAATATAGCGTAGCCAAACCTCTCTGCTGGAACGGAGCGCTTAAACCAAGCATCCGCATTCTAAAAGCAATGCTAGTTGCTGCTCTGCATTATGCTTCATTTTAAGCCCTAGTGAATTACTCCGTTGCGGATATGAAAGTTGCTTCGCTGAACAACTGTCCCTCTTCGGTAATCTCTTGATCCCCGATCTTGAGCTTTAGCACAGTAGGGATATTGTGGGGGAAAAACTGCACACGAAGTTAGAAATGAAACGCATTCTAAATGGTTACACCTCTGTAAACTTACTTGGTAAATGTATGGCTTAGTTCCCGCCGCATTGGCGACGATTTTCTTGACGAAACCAGGAACTTCAGCCATGACGTCAATCCTATCAACTCTCTCGCCCATAGCGCATTCGATAACGGCCTCGACGGGTTTTCCGTCTTTTGTAGTGCCGGACCAGGTAAATCTGATATCGGTGGGCTCGGGCCAGTCGTTCTCGGTGTCCTGCTTCGTCTTAAGGTGTGTGGCGCCACAGTTGGGTCCAGCAGTGATAATCTCCCCTTCCTTGGCAATCCCGCCGACGCCTATGACGGTCGTCCCATACGATGGTGGCGTGGTGAACTCCATCAGGATTGCGGAATATGTCGGTCCTTGATAGTTGAGGAAATTCCACCGGGCTGCCAGATGGTGAGGCTTCATACCCTGCAGAGCGTGGGAAAAGAACGCCTTCCCTTTGAAGTCGATGGGTCCATTCTTCGTCATGACGCTCCCCTCAGCTGAACACCTTGGCCAGAACGCATGTCGCATGGAGCCCCACGGGTGAGATAGGTCTGTACCGAACAAGGATTTGCCATTCTTGCCGACAACGAAGCCAGGCGCCACCTTTGTTATTTTAAGGTTGACGATACACTGAGGATCGTTCATCGACTTGATTGTATAGGAGTTACCATCCTCGGATAGTTCTACGGCGCAATCGGTGGCAAAAAAGCATGTTTTATCTTCGCTGAACTCGGCGTGGCTCAAGGGCGAAGAGCTCCATAGGGGTTTCGAGCCGTCTGTGTAGAAGACCTTGCAGTTGAACTGGCAAGTGGTGCGGATGCCGCTTCAAGGAATGTCAGCTAGTTCGAGAGGCAGCTGGGCGGTTGAAAAGTCATACGCCACATTGCTGTAAATGACCTGAGCAAAAGTTAAATGGCCACTGTCCGCCATGAAATAGAAGGTTTGGCTCTCGACACAGGTCGATTCCATAGCCTCCCATTTCATGTCATCCCTGGTTAATTCCGTATACGGCGTCGTTTTGGCATCTTCGGCGACTGATCTTATGGCCGAAGCGCCATAGATGGGCTCTTCCGTGCCCACGACATTAGCCAAACTAGGTAACCGGTTAGCTGAGTACTCTAGGTACGGAGACTAGAGAAATTTGCTGCTGACGTTTGTTTTGCCCAGTTGAACATGATGTAGAAAACGGGATAATCTGTCTAGGTGTTGATGATAGATAAATGGAAAAAGGAGATAATATAGGCTGACTAAGGGGGGTAGGAAAAGAAGGAGAAAAGAGCGGTGATAGTGGTGGTTCTTTAGGAAGATATGTTGTAGAGAGAGGACCGGAAGTAGCTCAAGCTGTTCGACATTTGGCGGGGTCCTCGAATAGAGTTTACACTAGGTATCTCTGTACCTGACACTCCACTATTTACATACATGTGCCTATGTACACAGTAGGCCCGTAAACCGGATTTGAATTAAGGTTGAGGCGCTCTCAAAACTCAATTGTGGCTGATGTACTATGTAGAATTCTTGAACTTCCACCAACGAAATTGGGGGAATTTTTTTGATCTAGAACATTAACGATCAACCCGCCCATTTCCTCTTCACATAACTCACGCCCGACAGTTCCAAGATGTCGAAGGCGCGCTCGGCTGCCGCTGGCGCTGACCAGATGGTTAGGCTCATAGTGGAAGCTGGAAAAGCTTCCCCTAGTCCTCCAGTTGGTCCTGCGCTTGGAAGTAAAGGTGTTAAGTCTATGGATTTCTGCAAGGTAAAGACAGATTCAGTCGCTAATGTGATGCGCCGTAATTGATAACCATGCGTACCTATATAGGAATTCAATGCGCGAACGGCACACATCATACAAGGGACGCCTATGCCGACCCGAGTAACGGTACGAGCAGACAGATCATTCCATTTCGACGTTCGAACACCACAGACTTCGTGGCTCCTCAAGAATGCGGCAGATCTACCAGTCAGTAAGAAGGGGAAGAAAAAAGCTGCGAGCCAGCCGGGACACGAAATAGTAGGCACGGTTACTCTAAAACATATTTACGAAATTGCCAAGATAAAGCAGACCGAACTACGGCTCTCCGGTCTTCCGCTAGAGGGTCTTTGCAGGGCCGTTATTTACCAGGCCAAGTCAATGGGTATCGCTGTTGTCGCATAAACGGAGGGCGATCCCGATTTAGTCGCCTTTTGTAACATCATGCGTTAGAGCGAACGGGACGGGGTTGATTATCGAGTTCGGACCCTCTGTTATGCTTGTACAAGCGAGCTTTTGGCATGTATCACCAAAACTGCACGAAATATACGGATCAAACGCAGAGTTCCTGATGTGCGCCTGCATGTGGTGCCTAATGCGACGGAAACGTTGGAAATTGCCTCCCCGAATCTTGCGACGATCGGGAGTCTTAGAGACTTCCGCAGAAAGATAAGGTATTGCTGCACTCTGGCGTCTACTAATATGTCGCTCCCTCAGGAAAATTTTGTAATAGTCTATACCAGAATTGACAATCTATAAAAAGGGCTACATGGAAATTATATCGTTGGTTGCTTATTAGGTGAAAAGTAGTTAGAATTACCTACCTCTCTATGTATGAGGGTAGTATTGGTGCTCCAAGACAGTTGTCAATGTGCTACCTACCTAAGCTATAAAGCGATCTCGGTTTGGCTTACACAAACTTGAAGAGGCATCGATGAGGCGAAAAGTCCAGATCTTCAGGTTTAGAGAAATCTCATCGAATGATGTACCAATTGAAGAAGTATTTATCCTATTGGATATATAAATGTTAGTTAAAAAAGAATCGAAGCAATTATCAATGTGTACATCCTCGAGATACTTTTACGGGCATAGTGGTTGGCTTCCAAATATCTTCTAGAATGTCTAGAACGACGTGGGTCGTGGAATAGCCTGGCCAGCCAAGCTTTACATGTGAGCAATAACTAAGCTAACACAGGTAACAACGATATCACAAACTTTGCGCAACATGTCAGTCGCACCGCGCATACTTAAATCCCGTATTCGTACGAAGAAAAGCTTGGTCTGAGGGGTTTATTTAAGTTGGCTATTTAGACCTCACTGAATTTTGGATCGCGCTGAACGGTCAATGTTAAACACGCTATATTTCTTCAGGAGAAACAACGATCTAAAGTAAACCGCGCTGCCGGCTCGTGGAACATGTGGTAGCCATAGGTACCCATCAGAGTGCTGCTCGGACAGATGTCTCAAACGGATTCGTCTTCAAAATTTGACATTCTGATAGGTCATAGACAACAAGAGTACCTATATTGGTCGGGACCCAAAGCTATGGGTATACCGTTTGAGCAATTGGCAGAAATCTTGGCCCTGATAATGCATGGCAGATCACAGTCCCGCCGCGGACGGGATGCTGCAAGCTAATCAATTCCAGGCACACATAGCTTTATATCGGTGTTATTGGGTACATATAATGCAAGGTCGATGTTACTGAAAGTTTAGGACAACCCTGGCAGCCTGGTCAACCCGGTACACGAGCACCGCATTTATTTGTGTATAATGGGTGTAATGGGTGTAATGGGTGTAATGGGTGTAATGGGTGTAATGGGTGTAATGGGTGTAATGGGTGTAATAGGAAGAAGAAATTTTGTGACAACGGATCGGGTTTGAGTCATGAACTATTATTAGACCGCTTAGATCGCTTAGGTACGAGAAAGCTACTATGTAACTAACCAACCGGGCGGGGATTTATCATTTATGTGTGATTGAAGAGCGGAGAGAGAGTCGAGAGTGTTGAATAATTTTTCATCTTTTTTTCCTGTTGGCCATTTTGGGATATCCTGGCGATTATGGGATCGTTTGTCATTTGTCAGCCTGCGTCCCGACCTATTATGTTGCTAAATCTCTCTACGACATCTAGACGCAAACGGATGGAAACCTTTTTGGTCCCCACCCAACAGGGATTCATGAGTGACCCCACATGGTCCACTCTCAAACCTCTAGCGACTCTAGTGACTCTTCAATCTTTCTTTTCTACCAACCCGGAACTGCGTCTGGTGCACTCCGGGTAAAGCGCCGAGGTAAGAGAGCCCAAAAGTACTTAAAGCAAAGTACTTGAAAGTACTGTACCAGGTTTACTTCAAACTCGTTACCAAATAGCCGGATTAGTATATACAATTCGAGCCGTAAGATACCTCAAATCCTCTATAGCTCAGCCCGGTTGAGACGGCTGTCTACTCTGCGCATGTACAGTACATCATATCAATAAGATCCATACCTAACGATTTAATTCACTTAGTTATGGTTACCTACTTTAGTCACTTTGGTCACTTTAATCATTCCAAGTCGCACAAAGTCATATCACGTCCCCATATCTCAGATTCTTAGGTAAAAATTGGATCAAAAGTTCGTTCTTGCCGAGCAAGTGGGCAAGCAGGCAAGTGGGCAGCGGAGAGCGGAGAGCAGCTACCTTCTACATACAATACCTACATACACTTACTTACGTGCAACTTCCTACGTACTTTAGAAATTGCCCCACCATGATGGACATAAGTCAGTTCTCCCACAAGTTTTGAGAGAGATCTTTTAGACCTTTTACAAGGTCTGGCACATCATATCATCATCACTTAGCTTCTTTTTTTCTTCCTTTTTCTTTTTACTTTTTTTCATTTGCTCTGCTCGCTCTCTTCGCTATTAATTCGCATTACCTCTTGGGGGCCATCCCTCGGCCCAGCTTGCTAGTACCTCTTTATATCTTAGTTAACATTTAGATTCTATTGTTATCTAGCCTCTCGGTATCTCGATTGCCATGACAACCCCGAGCGATGCTGATGATCGCCACCAACTGGAGCCGTCGCAAGGTAATCACGATATTTTCTCTTTATAAACCGGCCAATAGACGTTCTTTATCATGTCTTACCTTTAAAATCAAGTTTCAATAGCTTAATAGCTAACTATGTATATTTCCAACCTACTAGACAGCTCCAACGATGTATCCGAACGTACCGATGCCATCGTAAAGCCCTCAGAGCGCGCATCGGTACGCTTCTCATCGATAGTTGACGAAATCGATCCTCCAGTCTCAACCTTCGGTAGTCCGGAAGCCCGAAGGGAGAGCTTTGCTAATCCTGATATAATACGAGCTCTGACCAATTCTATCCATGGCGCCCAGCTTCAAGAGCAGCGATTGATGAAATATTCGTTTGATCCAGTCTCCCTTCCGCCTTCTAGGGTACGCTATTTACCATTTGCTCTCAATTTATTTTTATATGATATTCGCTCGCCCCCAACAATGGTTGCAAAATTCGGATGAAATTCTCCTTTATATTATTCACCGCCGCGCCTCATTTCCCGTCCCAGACTAAAGCAAGGGCTGGCGCCTTAGTATACATGTGGTCCCGATAGCAATCATACGGTTTTATTAGATCTGGCTCTATGGGGTCCTCTTATAACTAACAGTATGCCTTCATTTAGGTTGCGTCTAACGAGACTACTCCCGGCGCAACTCCGCAGCATAGCCATAGCCCCATGGGCCATCCGTCGCCCCGATTGAGCCCTAAAGCTCCCGAGTTGGTATCACCACCACTTACGCCAGCTGGGACTTCCGCAGCGGAATCTTCTACACGGAACGCAAAGTCTGTGCGAATTGCCAGTTCTGATGGCGGGTACGATTCTCAGGCGATAACACCACAAGCATCGGGACAAGATTCGAGACCAGTTTCGCCTCGAATGGGTCTACCGCACCGACCTGCCTCCACCGACAACATATCTCAACGGTCGACTGCTGTAGACGAGCACGATGGTGGTGTCCGCTCGCATCGAAAGGGGATTTTTAGCATCGGGCCCGGAGGCCAATCTCTACCTGTGTCCAGGGAATCGAGTCCCTCGAGAAATGCCGCATCTCAGTATTATTCGCGGCCCTTTACTCCTCAAGGGGATATCAATGATCCGTATGCTGCAAGTAAACGACCGATGCAGAACAAAGCAGGTGGCAACATTGACCAGCGATTTGTTTTCTCCAGGAAGAAGAAACTTGGCTCCCCCTCTGCATCATCAACAAACCTAACGAGGACAGATAAGCAAGAAAAAAGACACTCTGGACTATTCGCAAATAAAAATAAGTCGGTTGATCTTCATCCGACAGGATCTAGTTCAACAACACATAGTACACACGGATCTATGTCCGATCTCAAGCGGTTTTTTAAAGTGGGCGTCAATCTCAAGCCCAAGAAGCCCGCATCACCATCTCCTTTGGGGTCTAAGCCAGCCTACCAGGTCCCATTCGCCGATGATCATGGCCTATCATCCAAGTATGGGAAGCTGGGCCGAGTGCTTGGATCTGGCGCTGGAGGCTCTGTCAAACTTATGAAGAGAACCGAAGACAATACCGTATTTGCGGTGAAAGAATTTCGCCCTCGGCATTCGTACGAAACTGAAAAGGAATATGTCAAGAAATTGACAGCCGAATTCTGTATCGGATCTGCTTTGCATCATGGTAACATTATTGAGACGCTCGACATTGTCCAAGAAAAGGGGAAATGGTACGAAGTCATGGAATATGCCCCATTCGATCTCTTTGCCATTGTTATGACTGGAAAGATGTCTAAGGCGGAGATAACATGCTGTTTTCTACAAATACTGAGTGGAGTAACCTACCTTCACAGTTCCGGTCTTGCCCATCGGGATTTGAAATTGGATAATGTTGTTGTTAGCCAGCATGGTATCATGAAAATCATTGATTTTGGTAGTGCTCATGTTTTCAGATATCCATTCGAGACCGAAATCGTCCTTGCTTCTGGTAAGTCAGATGTCGCCACAGTTGATTATTCGTGGATCTCTAATAAGTCGCCAGGTGTTGTTGGGTCGGATCCCTACCTTGCTCCAGAAGTTTACGATGAGCGCAAATATGACCCTCAGGCGGTGGATATCTGGTCCCTTGCGATCATCTTCTGCTGCATGTCACTTAGAAGGTTTCCCTGGAAGATCCCGCGCTTGTCGGATAATTCGTATAAGCTTTTTGCAGCAGATCCGTCTCCCGGCCACGATCCCAAGAAGTTAATCCTTCCTTCGAGGTCCACGAACGATCTCTCGAATATCCCACAACGTGACATTTTTGCGGAAGACGATGCGAGGCAGCAAAGTTCCAAGGCCAGCGAGCCCTCTACTCCTAGTAGTAACGGCACTAGCACCCAGGAAAAGAAAGAGGTCATTAAGGGTCCGTGGCGTCTGTTGAGGCTACTTCCTAGGGAGAGCAGACATATTATTGGGAGGATGTTGACGATCGATCCCAAAAAACGCGCTCAAATGCCAGAGATACTCGATGAACCTTGGGTTTCAGACACGGTTATCTGCAGGCAGGTTGACCATGGACAAGTCATCCATGCGGACGATCATACACATGTCCTTGAGCCGCCAGCACCACCAAGTAAGTAGAAACGCCAGGGGGAGTTTCGGCGGCGTATTGAGCGCATATTGCGATATTTTAGGCGTAGGAGCGGAACAGTAAGTTCCCAAACGCGGCGTTTACGGGGTAATATAGCTTCGGGGTCATCAACGGCAAAGCGGGAGGGTGCAAACCATTCAGGTTCATAGCGGTATAGAACTTAGAGTATATGCTATTGCGTATAGAGGTTTGGGTAGATAAGATTCTTGTCCATTTTACGACCGTGCCGTTGGCGGACCGCGGCATAGCTTAGGTACTTAATAGATGTAAATTCAATTCTATTCCTATTAGAACGCTTCTTTAATTGTTTGGTGTTTACATATGTATTTTATATGTGTACAAAGAACGTACAAATACAATTTTATAAGAGGTGCATATACCTAATGCGGCTTACATAACGAATCGATCGGGATGATGTACGCAAGGATCCGGCTGGCCCCGGATAGGCGGGTTCTAGGCAAAGGTAGCCCCGGCATTCGGAAAAACCGAGGAATAAAAAGTTTAGGTCTATTGGTCACTTGAAGCTTCCAAAGCCTTCCAAAGATCCATCCAAAGATCCATTCACCACTTGCGATAGCTTCAAATTTAGATCTTCGAGCTCCCAATTCGTTGCAGTTCGTCCAGAAAAATTCTATCCTTTTGAATTCACGAATTTCTCCCTGTATATACTTCACAATGGTATGCTCGATTTCTAAATTATTGCATCATGCTATGACGTGCGCTTTGCAATCTCGCACCCGTCACCCCACGCTCGTCTTAAATTTTTCGCTCCGCTCGTTTATTCCTACGAAGCTTAGCTAACATGTAAACATCACAGGCCACCGCTATTCGATCGATTAAGTCCCTCGTCCCTCTCCTGGACCGTGTGCTGGTCCAGCGAATCAAGGCTGAAACTAAGACCGCCAGCGGCATCTTTCTGCCCGAGTCCAGCGTGAAGGAGCTCAACGAAGGCAGAGTTCTAGCTGTCGGACCCGGCGCATTGAACAAGGACGGCCAACGTTTGGCTATGGGTGTGCAGAAGGGAGACCGGGTGTTGATCCCTCAGGTAAGTTAGGCTAGTCTATGTGCTCGGGTCGATAGGAGAATTTTTGCGCCCCCCTCTACATATCTATAGAAATTTTAAACTAACATGTATATCCAGTACGGCGGTTCCCCCGTTAAGGTCGGCGAGGAGGAATTCCACATCTTCCGCGACAGCGAGTAAGTCCCAGCGCGCACTCATCCTCGAAGGCGACGCACCAATACTAACAATACTTTCTAGGATCCTGGCCAAGATCAACGAGTAATTATAACGATACCCACGATTGATGACACCGATGTACCATAGCATGTATGTACAACAGGAGGCATAAAAAGAACTCGGGTCGGGTCAAGCTTTGCATAGCGCAACGTGATTTGGCGGCTGGGTGGGAAAGGCGTCTTCGCGGACCGTAGGGTAGTGCCTAGTCTAAGAGGTTCAACTTTTGCGGTTTTGAGGTGCAGTTAATCTCCACTCTTCCCTCCGAAATATGTTCTTTAGGAACTAGTGACTTTCTATTCATGAAATAATATGAATGACAATTGCAAGTGTTTCCCCTGGTACCGACCATTCGATGTGATTAGTCTAGTTCTCTATCTGTGATTGAAATAGGCACGGATGAGCGATAGGGCTCCTTGCCCCTGACAGGAAGATTGCTCTTCAAGAGGCTATCTGACCTGTCTGTAGAAACTCCATCGACATACTGTCTAGTATACGTCCGTGCCTGTCATAAAGCCATTATGATTGTGAGACTCGTTGGGCCAGCTTAGGGGGGTAACAATGAGTCTAAAACGAGAGGTCACAGGCAAGAGGGAATAGTAACAGTTGAAATGGTAGTGGTTTGGGTCCTTGAAAACAAACACCAAGTTTAGTGTCCTCGTCTTTGACATGACAAATACCTTTCGAGGCTAGAGCTCACGCAATCTTAGATTTCAAAGTGTAAATGGGGTGGCTATTACTTAATTACATATTTAATCTACGTCTACCCAGTCATCAAACAGCGATCCCTCGTTAGACAGATTGAACCATGGCATTTCTGAGATATATAAATTGCATAGAGACGGGTAGGACAGCCAGATAGCCAAGCAGATGATATTGTCAACTTAACCGAAAGCCAAGACGCAAACCACGACGCACAAGCGCCTCGGAGAAGCCCGCATGCAAACGCCAGGGGCTTACGTTCGGGTGCATTTTCGGCATGTTTCGTTTCTTCCACCATTTAAATTTTCCACGAGAAGACTAAAGGGTTGGGGCGAACACGTTTCAGCTTCATTCGGTGCGTCCCGGGTGATTGGCTGCTGTATACCCAAGGTGGTGTATATATTAATGCAGCCTCCCACCCCTTGCATCAAGCCGTACCTCGTCTACCTATTCGACCAATTCCCCGGATTCCAACAACGTCATTTCGCGTGGTACCGTTGCAATATATCTAAGACCAAGGGATCAGGGTCTATGGTAGCTTAGGTCTCACCCCTGAGGGAGATCATGGCCACTTACAAACACCCGCTCTAGCGCTCTTATCTGTTGTTGGATGCAAAGCGCCTTTGGAGCGGACACTTGGCTGGGTGTGTAGCTGAAAGGGAAGCTGTCGAATTATCCTCGAATCATGCTTTTTTGCGAAGGTATAATTGCTTAGATGTGATTTGATGTGTCATATTGTAAAATTTTCCCTCGGTGTATAGGTAATTTATAGGTAATTTAGAGCCTTTCTCTCAGTTTGTTTGCTTTACAAGATAGGAAGATATCTGTATTGTCTCCTACTTCCGTCTGATGCTGGGTATCTATATATGAGCACCTAGGGATACTCGTTTTCTATCGGTGACTTATTCGCTCCATTCGCTCATTCTTCAATTCTCGTCGATATGTTCATTCTCTGACCCAAATATACCTAAAGTCCAAAGGGGCATTATATACATTCGTTTTCTTAGCTGAGCTAGTCTATTTCTCTTCGATTCGCCTGGAGCTTGAGTATCGCCTCCCTTTATTTAAGAAGAAAAAAAGAAAACCTCAGTGTCGTTGATTTATTCTTCAAGATGAAGTGCTCACCCTCCTTTCTTGTGGCTATAGCCACTGTTCTCCCTACGGCAGTAGACGCGCACACCATATTCACGACGCTTTTTATCAACGATGTCTCTCAAGGAGATGGGACCTGCGTCAGAATGAGCATGGATCCCCAACACTGCACCTCCCCAATAGCCGGCTTAGACAGCGATGATATGGCCTGCGGTAGGTTATTGACCTCCCACATAACCACAACACCCGGCTAACTATCTATTAGGCGTCGATGGCGAGAAGCCTGTTGCTTTCACCTGCCCCGCGCCGGCCGGTGGGAAACTTACCTTCGAGTGGCGCACATGGGCCGATGCTGAGCAACCCGGATCTATAGATAAATCACACAAGGTATATCGCATCTGGAATGACCGATGATGTTGAACTATGCTTACTCTGGGAATTTAGGGGCCTTGTGCCGTATATGCTAAGCAAGTGAAAGACATAGTAACAGACTCCGCTGCTGGTCCTGGCTGGATCAAACTCGTAAGCGTTTTCTTAAAATATTCTATACACTACCGCAGAGTTCCAGTAACTCCCCGCCTTAATATTTTTATGAGGTTTAGAGCTCAAAATTACCCCATTCTCTTTAGATATGGTTCTCTACTAACTCTATACGTAGTGGGAAGAAGGCTACGATGAGTCGAGTGGCAAGTGGTGCACGGAGAAGCTGATCGATAACAATGGCTTAATGTCCGTTGACATTCCAAAGTCACTTCCCGGTGGTTCGTGGCTCTTCAGGCCCGAACTCCTAGCCCTTCACGATGCAGATAAGGGCGATCCGCAATTTTACACAGGATGTGCACAGGTGTTCATCGACAGCGGAAACACGGCAGCTCTTGATGTGCCTAAAGAGTACAGTGTTAGTATACCAGGCTACGTCCAGGTTGGCGAGCCTGCGGTATCTTTTAACATCTACCAGCCGCAATTCCCGTATCCAATGCCCGGACCAAAGGTCTACAAGCCCGCAAAATCCAAAGGCATGGCGGGTTTTACCTCGACCTCAACCTCGTCCAAGGCACTAAAGCAGACCGAGGGCAATATCCCTTCGAACTACCTCATCAAGAACGCAAACTGGGTTGGAGTGGAAGTATCCTCCTACTCGACTGAGGACGGGTGCTGGAAGGCATCCGAGGAATGTTGGAACCAGGCTAAGGATTGCTACGACTCGGCACCCCCGACGGGGAGTGCTAACTGCCGAATCTGGGAGAGCAAGTGCGATGGCATCAGTGATGCTTGCAGTGCTGGGGACTTCAACGGCCCTCCGAATAAGGGCCAGAAACTCCAAAACGAGGACCCGACACCCCCGGAGAATATTCCAGGAGCCGCAGATGGTAGTGGCTCTAGAAAAATGCGGGCACGCCGTGCACTCTTGAAATAGGGGGTTTATCATACCAACCCAATATTTCTACAGTTGAGAACCCCTGGCTGGGTTTGACGACATAACGTAGAAGTTTGCGGGATATTTCTAAGTACCTATGTGGTAGAAAGGGGGAGAATTATTACACTCTGCTTGCGTCTGTTGCAACATGTACCTGAACGGCGCAAACTCATTCCCAGGTGATTGCGCCATATAAGATAGCTTATATTTTCTTGCTATTAGGTATAGGTAGTTAGTCACCCCGGGTTCCCCGTATTTCAAAGTATTTCTAGAATGGTCTTTTCCAATGGTTATTGTTACATTGTCAGTACTATGGGATTTGTAAAGAAGGTGGCATTGATAAGACGGCTGTCGGCCTGTGCTAGTTGATGGTGGCGTTGTACTGAGTAAGCTGGTAAGTCAAGTAGCTCTGGTTCACTATGTGATTGATGTATAAGCTGATCTAGAGCTTTGGACACAAACTGAGATTGTATGGATTGCTATTAACATTATGCCGTATGTTTTGATATAAAGATACTGGTTCAAAAAAAAAGGTATAAAAGATATATGTAGTGTATAAACTCGGTGGAGTAGGAGAGTGTTAGGTACGTAACTAATACCTAACAAATACCTAACAAATACCTCCTATGGTAAACAAACGGGGCCCTTCGGCAGTCGGAAGCAAGCAGCCAGGGCAGTTGATTAATAAAGACTCCGAGCCGGGTGGATCTCATCATGCCGCTGTCAAATGACGAAGTTCGGAATAGAATAATGATGATGACAAAACAAATGGTCTAAACTAAGGGTCAAATGCCGTAACAGAGCCTTCTTCACCGTCACTTGTAGCTAACAATGTCTAAGCTTAATATTCACACTAATTGTCCAAGCCCGGTCCTAATCCAAACTTTAATTTCTTATAAAATGCAGGTACTCTGCTCAAGCGGTAGTTGGTAGACAAAGTCTTCTCCTTTATTTTTTCTTACCATCAATCCCAAAGTAGTCCCAGGTACACCATCCCCAAAAATAGAAATAGAAAAAACAGGGCCTAAATTAGCCATTTCCACTCTTTTTCGCTTCGGGTCTCGACCATTAAGGACCTCACAAGAAGCTCATCAAAAAAGGGAAAGAGAGAAAAAAAAAAGTTGTTAGACTAGACTTGTCGCAAAAAAAAAAAAGATTTTATTTCTTTGGGAAGTGTTACTTGGAGAAAGAAACAATTGGCTGGATAGCGACGATATTGACGAATCATTTATATATCCCACTCAGCACAAAACGCACAAAAACGCAACAATGACGGTTCCTATCGATCACATCATCGAGACCCCTCCGCGGGCACCGTCCCCTGTCCACGGCTTCGGAACCCTTGCTGTCCATGCCGGTGCCCCCCACGATCCTACAACCGGCGCCGTCATCGAGCCCATCTCTCTATCCACTACTTTCGCGCAGACTGCTGCCGGAAAGCCTGTCGGCTTATACGAGTACTCGCGCAGCTCCAATCCCAATCGCGATAACTTCGAGCAAGCCGTGGCCGCGTTGGAGCATGCCAAATACGCGCTCGCCTTCAGTAGCGGAAGCGCTGCCACTGCTACCATTCTCCAGAGCTTGGCTCAGGGTTCCCACGTCATCAGCGTTAGCGATGTCTACGGCGGTACTCACCGGTATTTCACCCGAGTCGCTAAGGCCCATGGTGTTACTGTTACCTTCACTCCGCAGATCGAGGTTGATATTGCAGAGCACATCCGCGACAACACCAAATTAGTATGGATTGAGTCGCCTAGCAATCCTACATTGCGCCTTGTAGATATTAGGGCCGTCGTCAACGCAGCTCACTCGCGGGGTGTCGCGGTTGTCGTTGACAATACCTTCCTTAGCCCCTACGTCCAGAATCCCCTCGACCATGGCGCCGATATCGTCGTCCACAGTGTTACTAAGTACATCAATGGACACAGCGATGTTGTTATGGGACTGGCTGCTTTCAACTCGGATGAATTACGTGAACGTATATCCTTCCTACAGAATGCCGGCGGCGCTGTACCGTCGGCCTTCGACTCCTGGCTTGCCCATCGAGGAGTCAAGACACTGCATTTGCGAGTGAGGCAGTCCAGTGGCAATGCCACGACTGTTGCGAGAGCCCTCGAGGCTAGCCCCCACGTCATTTCTGTAAATTACCCTGGTCTAGACTCTCACCCGCACAGACATATTGCTCTGAAACAGCACCGAGAGGGTATGGGCGGCGGTATGCTTTCGTTCCGTATCAAGGGAGGCCGAGCCGCAGCTGAACGGTTCTGCCAGCTGACCAAGATCTTCACGCTGGCTGAGAGCTTAGGTGGCATCGAGAGTCTAGTCGAACTGCCGAGCGCAATGACGCACGCCGGCATCCCCCGAGAACAGCGAGAGGCCGTGGGCGTTTTCGACGACCTCGTGCGTGTGAGCTGCGGTATAGAGGAGCCGGAAGATCTGCTTCGTGATGTGCAGCAGGCGTTGGAGAAGGCGGTGTCCGAGACAGCTGCTTCGAGCAATGGGATTAATGGCGTTAACGGACACGAATCAAATTAGACGCTGGCTAGAGAGCGGTAGATGATTATCCAACCCGCCATCGTCGAAATGACGAAGCGATATATCGAAACCGATGTTATTATCTGTTTGGCGTTATGCTCGTATCTGGTCGGTAGCATATGGTGTGTTCCAGGCCCATAGGGGAGTCGACAGCACAACCAATAGACAACTGCATTTTATAGTGGGATCAACAACGTGTCAGCACCTCGGTGTGCAAAATAGATCGTTTTGAGTTTTTATGGACAACTGGCTAGAATAGCGCAGGATAGTATATGTCTAGCTTACGCAAATCTCATCTTGCTATAGACTGATAATGATCTCTCCTTATACTTGTGATAAAGTCATCCACGTCTGTGTTGTAATACCATCACGCTAATTGGAATATGTAGGTGTTAAACAGGTAGGCAGCGATTAATCTAGAGCAGGCTGTACTACAGTCAGTATATTTAGACTGAGATATAGGTGAAGCGACAAAACAATTAATACTCTGAACTACTAACCCCCTTGAATCTTAGGATCTTAACTGGCTAATAGAGGAATAGAAACACACCCGAAGCTAAAAGGCTAAACCGGGGAACCGAGAGTAAACGATATCCCCCTAATTAGGGGCACAATAGGGAGAGGAACGATGTAGACGACCTCGTATACCGAGCAAACCGCAAGATCAATATCACGCCCATACTACTGTGCTCTGCCGCCTTATTAGAAACGATCTTCATTATCCTCCGTATTCGCGGATCGGAGAACGGGACTCCTAAGATTATTAGTCTTGGCACTGAATGAATGAACAGTCTGCACATATTGGAAAGTCAGCACATGTGACATTGATTTTCTACGTACGGTCAAGTTGACATCTGCTCTCTTTCATCCGTGTCAGCGTTGCACCTTCGACTAAATTTCCGATCGGACTATGTAAATCCGTTGGCTGAGGTTCAGCACGGGAGGAGACCTAGTACTGCCCCGGGTAATACAAGACTTGAACACACAACAACGGAGTATGGTGATACGATACGTTAAGAGTGGCAGGAAAACAAGGCTCTGATCTGACTTCGCTTAGGACATGTAAAACGTTATTCTCCACTGTCCATGAGAAAAGATTTGGAATTGCTCTTCTGCCAGGGGTGACGACGATGATTGATTACCCGCGCCACTTGCGGCGGCGCAGCTCCGGTTAGGGCTGACCTAGCCGTTGTCTGTTAAGGGGCTCCACGTTAGATATCTGACGGACTACAATGATTAGAGGACGGGAATATCATCACGTTGGTTTGGTGGGGGGAATTAGGGTCACCGCGCCACGATGGTGTATTTGGAATTGCATTGATATTTCTTTTTCAAACGAGATATCGGGTCTTTGGCGTAGCTGTATAAGAACGGGCTGGTTCACCTCTCTTTCTCTCTCTTATGACGAACGACATAGCTTCACCAGCAAAGTCTTCATCTTCAAGTTCAATAATACAACAGTCGAATTCAAAATGGCCCCAGCAATCCTATCCAGCCTCCTTCTAGCGAGCCTCGCGGCCGTGGTCTCGGCGCGCAACTGCAAGAACCTGAAGATCCCGCTCTCGCTCTCCTCGCAGAATATGGACTTTACGTTTAAGGCGCCGACTAACGATATCGAAGTGACGAACTTCGTCTTGAACTCCGGTCAGGCGGGTGTGAACTACGCTGACGAGATACTAAGCGAAACCAAGGTGAGTGTCGGCTCTATCTCTTCAACATCACCCTTGCCTAGACACCACACGCTCCTATTACAAGTGTAAGTGAAATGAGTAATCTCTAACTAACTACTCCCTATTAGTACCGAACCGTGACGGGCAACTACTCCATCGCCGCAACCTACTGCGAGCCTGACGCGGGTCCAGGCCGCACGCTGCAGATTCTCACTCGGTATGTATATTAATATACGCAAAAACCTACCCCTGAAACCTCCTTATCCGCAATATCTAACACTTCGCAGTAAGCAAAACCCCTTAGACCTTTCTTCCCAGAGAGCCATACCAGATCCTCCTCCAGCAGACAAGAGCTCCAAACCCAACCCTAAACCAATCTATATATATATATATATGTATATATGTGTATGTATATATAATGGGGCGAAAAAATAAACGTTAAAAGTATAAACGCGAAAAGTTGCGTTATTTAATTTTAATATACTTTATTTTTTTAATAATGGCTTTTACACCATTATTAAATTTTAAAAAACTTAAAAAACATTTATTTTTTTATAAAAAAACGAAAATTAAATCTATATTTGAAACAAGCTTTTTAACTAATTAAATTAAAGTAATTAAAAGCATTTTAATTTAAAATTTTTATTAAATTAATATCCGATATAAAGTTTAAAAATTAACCGTTTTATGTTTTAATTAAAAACGTTATTATAAACTTAAATTACGGAATAAAAAACATATTATTCGACTTATTAATTAAAACCTTTTTATTTTATTTTTTTAACTTTTTTTCGAAATTGGTTTATAAATATATAACCACATTATTATAACGTAATTTTAAAAATAAAGTATAATGTATTATAAAACGTTTCGTAAACCGAAATTATTATAAAAATACGTTAATAAACATTTAACTTTTATCCGGAAACATGTAAAAAAACCTTTTTTATATTAAAAACGTTAACTTTTTTTAAACGAATTAACAGTAATTTAAAAAAAAAACAAGTAACAAACGTAAGTATTTTGTTAAAAAATAAACCATTTTTTAAAATTTTACATTTAATTTAACTTATACATAATTTAATAAAACGTAAATTTTAAAACGAAAAATTATTTAAAAAACACGTTTAATTAAAGGTAAAACCAATAAAACATTTGCAAATATTTTAAAGTTTATTTAAATAAAAAAAACAAGTTTTATTAATTAATTTATACAAAAACCTTAATATTAAACATACCGGCGTTATAAACTTTATTATTTTAAAAATTTTACAAGAAATTTTTTTATAAATTTATTAATAAAATAATATATTTGTTATAAATAACGCATTTATTTACAAAACCCGTATAATTATAAATTAATTACGTAAATAAACAAAACAAAAAAAAATTATTTTAATAAATTGGCCTTTTTATTTACCCGATTTTAACTTTATTAAAAATTTATAAAAAATGCTTAAAAATAAAATTTATATTAAACATTTTAAATTAACGTTAATGTTTTTTAATATTACTTTTTTAAAATTATTTATACATATAACATTAAAGGTATAAAATAAATTTAAAAAAAAGATATTAAATAATTTAACTTTTATTATAACTAAAAAATTAACCGTAATCATTAAAACAAATAACTGGTATATTAAATATTAATTACATAATATATATATTATATTAAAACTTTATTTTTAAACTATTTATTTTTATTTTTATTAAAAAATTAAATACAAATTAATTATATAATTAATTATTAAAATAAAAAGGTAATAGTATAATATTTTCGAAATAACAGGGTAAAAAAACATTTGACGTTTATTTTTTCAAGTTACTATACTAACACCCCCACCCCCAGACGGCGCCGCCTTCAACCAGACATACTGGGACTTCCCCGCCCACGCCTTCAACTACAGCTACGCGAACGCGGCCCTAGCGCGGAACTACAGCGTATTCTTCTTCGACCGTCCGGGCATCGGACAATCCACCCACGGCAACCCCGTCGCCGAAATCCAATCCAACCTCGAGCTGGCTGCCCTGTACGCACTAACCACGAAGCTCCGCCGCGGCAGCATCCGCGGCATCAGCGCTCGCTACGAGCGCGTCGTCCACGTCGGCCACAGCTACGGGTCCGCGCAGACCTACGGTCTCACAGCCGCGCACCCCGACGACGGCATCTCCGATGCCATCGCCTTGACGGGGTTTAGTCAGGGGCTAGGGACGTATGTAGGGAACTTCCTGCTCGGGGGCAACTTCGTGCTAGCGGGAGCTGGCTACGGGCCCGGGTACATTACGTGCGGCGACGTCTCGGCCGTGCAGTCCAATTTCTTCGCCCCGGATAACTTCGACCCGAAGATCCTGGAAGCAACCTATGCGACGAGTGCGCCAATCGCCGTCGGTGAGCTGTTGACTATTGGTAGCCTGACGACTACGAATAATAGTTTTACGGGGCCTGTTCTTGTTATCACGGGAGGTGAGATGAACCCTTATTAACCGAGTCTGCTCGGTCATGATGGAGTTGAAAAGCTAACTTTCTATTGTAGAGCGCGACGGTGCATTCTGCGGAGGCAACTGTTACGTGTCCGAGCCCAGCATCCCTGAACAGACAGGGAAATCCTTCACCAATACAAGTTCTTTCGAGGCTTTCGTTGTTCTCGGTGCTGGTCACGGCCTAAACTTGGTAAGCATTCATTCTCTACTATGAAATGTCGCCGGATTGGTGTTAACTATGAATAGGAGTATACCGCGCAGGCGACATACGCGAAAATCCTTGACTTTTTTGACAAGAGCGTCTAGAGTCAGATACATGTCGCTTTAGCATCCCATGGGGGATTTTATTGTCTATATAGAGTCATAGAGAGTTCAATTAAGCAAATATGCTACCACGTCCATTTTCTCCATTCGGTAATCCAGGGATTGCTTCTGAGTCCAAACGTACAGACAAGGCATCGCAAACTAGAACAAAGAAAATATCTTGAAGTCCATTATTAGATACCCCACTGTCTCAGACTCCTAGAAATTGTCGATACTATCGAAAGAGCTCTACTCATCATCAATATCATCGTCATCTGTGCTTTGAAATTAGCAAAATGCCAATGCCTACGATTCTTAGTGAATTGGTGATATTAGTACATACCTTCGGATGGTGAAGTATCGCTGTCCTCTTGCATATCCTGGTCAGGAGGCCAATTGATAAACATTGAGGCAATCAATTCTCCCGAAGAACGCTCGACTATGAGATTTAGAGTTAGCCATTGCTTGCCTTTTTAGTATTCCCGTAAACAGTCTTATGGATACTTGAAGCGTAAGGGATAATAAACATACAGTCATTGCCTGCCCATTCCGTACCATAATTCGGAACGCTTGAAGTTTGGTTCTTATCTTTGAATTCTATCGAATACGCGGACATGGAATGTATCTGTTTTAAGAAGGAGAGTCGTATGACGGAGAGATTGAATTTGAGTTTCGCCATCTGCCCGAAGAATGAAGCCCAGAGGTTGACCCTGTCCGCGACCTGATTTTGCGATTCAATAGAGAAGGTGACCTTGTGCAGAGAGATTATGCGTAGACTTGACTTAAACCTCTTGTAAATGTTGAGAAGGAGAGATGGCTCGATAGTTATCATTCCAATTTCAAGCTCCTCCAGATGCTGAAATGCAGGGGTCTGCGGTATCCGTGGTAGTTTTTCTTGCATCTTATTTACTTCAATCCCTTGGTGTTTTGAGCCACTCGGAGACTCAGGCGTACGGATCAACCACTGAAGGAGGTCCCTCGTTTCATCTTTAGCGCAGCTCCGGAAATTCAATCTCAGGTGTTCTAGAGATGTCGTTTTCGACAGGAATGTCACTAGAGTGAGGCCAAGATAACCCTGGAAATTTCCCCCGTTATTGATAACCAGGGTAGAAAATGATGCAGGTCCCAAATCTAGGAAGAGCGTCTTGAGGTCTTTGAGAAAGGGCGTAATCGTCGATTCAAGATAATGAGGCACGTTGAATGCTAGACTCGGGAGATGACAATTTCTAAGGATTACCTCCAGCTGAGTAGGGCTATGTGTCTCTTTGGCCTTGCCTAGGGCTCGGAGCATCGTCAAGAACACGTAGGAAACGTATTGTATACGAGATTCTACCAAGCTAGAGTCAAGATGGCGGCCGCCGAATCGTGGTTGATCAAGGGGAAAGTTTGTCTCCCAGAGGAAGGTTGGGGCACCGTAAGCGTGCCAGGTATTGTCTGCCCCATCGCGATATCGGCCAGAAGAGTTGAAGTCACGTAGTCCGATTGTTTTAAGGTTGGGTAGATTGCAAAGAGCTTCAGTGAGAAGTTGGAGGTCCCGACCTGTGGTGATTAAGGCTTGATGGCTCATGTGTTCTTCACGCATCCTATTATACCGCAGTGCTTGTTCAACATCGGAAAAGACCTGCATGTGAACTGGTAGACTAGGTGGTATAGGCGGACGCTCAATGCTAATGATTAGATGGGACAGACTAGGCGCGAATCTAGACTTAGAGATGTCTACGAGCGCGCCAAGACTGAACTCGCTAATCATGAACTGCCTCTTCGTGAAGAACTCGTGGGTGAATGACTGGAGGAGAGACACCTCCAGTCGCCGACAGACATGGCGAAGATTTCCATAATCCGAAGTTGTAAGGTAGGAAGATATTTGGAGAAGCACTTCAAGAGGAATATCTAAGAAGGGACTCATATTGTCAACCTCCATAGTCTGAAACCTATGGCCGTGATGTCGTAGTGTTGACAAATTGGGAAATTAGGAAATTGGGGGCGGGATGAATTAATGATCGATATGATCGATAGGTACCGGTGGTGGTAATTGGGCAGGCGAGAGGGGTAGAACAACTGAACAAGTATGTAGATGGCTTGCTTGAATTGCTTGCCTGAATTGATATTTGAGAAAGACGGGAAGAACGAGAATGAATTCAGAAATGAACCCGGGTTGTTTTTAAGTTGTTTGCACCTTCGTCACTTCCAGCTTCCAGGCAGAATGGGGGTTGATACCTCTGTAGAGGTAGGTAGGCGTCTAGGCAGCTGCTAGGTTAGGAACGTACCTACCTAGTCAGCTAGCTGGAAGGTGAGGCAGCACTGTACCTGCCTAAGCGCAGAAGAATGCAGACGGTTACGATTGGTCCAAGTGTCTTGAAAGGGGAACGGCCGTATGCGATCCGTGCATAATATGCACTTACATGTAGCGGTTATTTTTCTCAAAAGCACAAAAGACTTCGCCAACCACCTGCACAGATACATGTAATGTAATAACTAACCTCACGTACAGGAAACTTGGGACCGTGTGAATTATCTGGATATGGTTCCGACGGATGTGAAGGCCGAAATATTATGTGCAAACTTTTCCAGAGGGGTAAGTAATTTATTTCCCCTGAAGCGGTATCCGTAGATGACCGCTGTGATATTGCTAACTACCAATCCCTTTTATGTCCAAAAAATCAAAGCTTCATAACCCTCCCCGATAACCCTCCCCGATAACCCTATCATACCGTTTTTTGATGATTCTTGTCGTACTTGTTACCAATATCTGCCTCCTCATCAAACTCTTCTTGTTGACTACTACTGTGGTCGTAGGCAAGTCTGACCTCATCAATCTGGTCACCCACTTCCATCCATGTATTGCTGCAGGCTGGTACGGGGAACACCTTGCATAAAGCCCAGTACATCCCCCCAGAAATAATAAATCCACAGAAGAAGTTGAAATTATAGATGTAAGTTGCTCCCATAGGAACGTTGCCGCCATTCACCGCCCCGGCGAATCCAACCACGTTGATGAGAATGCCACTGATATATGCAGCATAAGCTCTCCAATGAAAGCCATAAGTAAAGTAGTACGGTCCTGTCTTGCGAGCGTCGTAAAGTTCCCTGATTTCGAGATAGCCTCTTCGGACCAAGTAGTAATCGCTACACATAACGCCCGCTATTGAGCTAAGAAAGACCGAATAAGATGAAAGATAGGTCGTGAACTGATTACTCGATGTGAGCAAGTTGTAGGGGCACATGGCTAAGCCAACAACAGCACAGATATAGCCACCACGGCGAATGTTGATGAACCGCGGAAGTAGTGCCGTCATATCAGTTCCCGCTGAAACTGAATTCGCTGCGATATTGGTACCCAACTGAGCCAAGGCAAAAGCGAAAGAGATAACGAAGACGCCGAAACGTTGGCCGGAACTGCCATCGTCGACAAATCTCTCCAGTAGGTCAAGGGGGTCCCAGATCGGCTCGCTCCCAGGGTAGATGATGACCGAGCTAGATGAGACCAATATGCCGATCAAGGAGGTGAAGGCGAAACCAATAGGGATAGTAAAAAGCTGCGACCAAAGAGCATCACGGGGCTTAGTGGAGAAGCGAGAGAAGTCAGGGTCATTTACAATGAGTGTTGCGAAGTTGGCAATCGAACTCATAACACCCTTGATAAACTGCCATGCAAGGTCGCTACCTTCTATCTTTGCTCGTTGTCGAACAATAGGACCCGGGCCCCCGGCGCGAACAAGTGCCCATATCAGGAAAGCGATGCCGGCACAAGGAACGAAGTAAGCTTTGACGGTGAAAAGATGTCGAATTTGATGCACGGGGAACCAGATTGCCGGTAGCGACAGGAGCCAGAAGAGGAAAAAGGAGACATAATCGGCGGTTGTAGTCCCCGAGTCCTCCGAGAACGAGTTCGGGATAGTTTTGCGGTCCTAAAAGGTGTTAACAATTCAACTTCTCTTTAATACGAGTACAGCAAATCCAGCCAAACTTACCCAACTAAGCCAGATAGATCGAATCATGAGATATACGCAGTGTCCACCAATATACGACTGCACACCGTACCAAATACACGCCATGGCAGCACGATTAAATACGGGCCAGAGGCAGCCCCATATTCCAAAACTCGATCGGTTCACAACCGGGAAGCCGATATGGTACATAGCTCCGATGCGACCGGTCATGCAGATGAAGCATCCAGCGATTGCGTATCCAATCCATACGCAGAGCCATGACTGCCACCACGAGAGTCCGCCCACGATCATGGACGAGCTAATCATCCACGTGTTGATGTTGAAGGAATCGGCAACCCAAAAGCCAACGAAGTTCCACGCTCCCCATTGGCGACGCTCGGGCTCAACAGGTTTAAGATCATGATTTGTTAACTGATTGGGTTGGTTAGTGCTGCGATTGTTTCGACTGGCTACTTTTTCATGGTACGATATCGGATGCTGAGAATAAGATGGGTGTGCGGATTCAGCCTTACCATCAACTGGGCGACTGTGAGACCATCTTCGTTATCTACAGCGGCCTTGTCCATCCAACTATCAATCCTCGAATTATAAAGCCTGGCCATCGCGACGACCAATCCAGCAGACCCTGGATTAAATGGTCGAAGGGGTTCCGCTGCGTTTAGGTAATTGTCGAGTAATGGTAACTAAACGCACGTGTGTCGATTTCTCACATGTATGACGCGCAAACCCAGCCGGGACGGGTACCTAGGTAAGCAGTAAGGTGTCGTATTAAGTTGTAGTATTAAGCATTAGTTAACTATACGTCGAAACTCTAGGTTTTTGAACCTTGAGTATGCGATGCTAACCCCAACTTCAACTTCAACTTCAACGTGGGAAGTAGAAACGGATATATATTCACTTCCAAGATAAACGAGATTGGAAAGGGAGGAAGAGTAATAAGTATTACATCCGTCAAGCCACCACGATTACCTAGGTAGGCAACTAATCCCTACAGTACTTGCGATATCTGACATAGTACATACACGTAAAGTACGTTATGTACGTCTCCAGACCAGGAAGACTCCCCCACACTATGTACAAGCCTCCAAATGCTCATCTCATTACCCTCCTGGTATCGTCCCGTGTGCATGTGGCTGTCCGGCTAGGTACATTCCTTTGGTAGACATAACGAATCCATTTACTTACTTCGGTGTCGCCGCCAATAGAGATAAGCCAGTTGAAGATAAGCAGCTGATTGGCCAAAGACGATTGGAATGGCGTTGATTGGACACTCGATCGTACTTGATATGGTCGTTTCAGGTTTAGCGGTAGCCGGGGCTTAAGGGTCACCCTGGTCTGCAATGGATCAGCCCCGCTGAAACCCCATGCGTCCCGCTAATTATCTGCTATCTGCAATCTGCAAATTATCTCATCTCATCGAGCAATTCTTTCCAAAAACCCCGCCTAACCTTCTTGGCTTTCCTAGCTCTTTTTATCGTCCAATCACCTCGCGCGACAGCCCCACCAGCCTCAGCATTGTCGGATACAAACGTTTATACTTGTTGTTCTAGAAGCTCTTCGTTCTAGATTTTTAACTTCCGGTTCGATAGTTGGGTTATAAATGAGGAGTAACTAATACAATTACAAGGCTAGGATATCTCACACAACCCGATGTTAAGAACCCTGGTGTCTCCAGATATGTCCGCATAATATCTAGGATGGACAAGAGGCTTACCTTGAGACCATCCTAAGACACCATTAAAAAAAGAGGGGTCACATATATATAACCATGGTCCCAGGCAGTCAAGTTTATATTTTCTACCCTCTATCCCTATATCGCAAGGTAAACTTAGGAGGCACGGAAATAACTTCGTTGTCCTGTAAAGAACTCTAACCCTAGAGTATGGAGACCAGTGACTCTACATACTAAAAGCACCCTTATTTCTAGATATCTCGTCTTGAATCTTAACATCATATTCCTAACCACATAATATTATCCATGTTAACTTAATAGATATGGCAACTTTACTTACCTCGTCAATGAGATTATTATACTCGAAACAGACATTTAGATTAGCAACAATCAAACCGATTAGAAACTACCATATTGTTCTTGATACAGCCACTGTGTTCTGCTACATCTGCTCTGTATCATTATTTGAAACGAGGATATATTCTTGATGAATTCCCTTGTAAAAAATATTTTCTTCTGCGTGAACCAAACATTCTCAACTAATCACATATTCATATCTCAAAACCGCAAAAGCATCCCACAATTAGCTTTACTTGGCAATTTACCAAAGTTTCATTGATAATTGCAATGAGCGTCATGAAGGATATCGACGAGTCACGGTTGTACTGTGAGAAGCACATGCTCATGACTTGTAAGGTATGTTTGCATAGTGTCAACGTAGCCAACGACGGTACAATCCCAAAGAATGCATCTGGCCTACCCCGTCTTCATGGGGTTTACGTGGTTAGACCACGATTTCAACTTGCCCACACACATGATATTGATAGATTGGGATATGTAGATGGCTTATACCCAGACAAAGAGAGAAAGCTGCCTCGTATTGATCTGCTAAAGGCCATCAATAATGGTCATCCGTATTACGACTGCAATGCATGTGGTCTTACTTTCCTCGCAGGTGGTGGGCCTGGGTCTTTTGCTGCACATCCCTCTCATGTTTGCTCGGATGGACAACGATATTTGATAGCTAGACTATCTGTATCAAAGTTTACCTGCGACTCAGGGAAGACTGTATGCCATGGATCCTTCTTTTTCGGACACAAATCCCCCTCGAACGTCCATTACCAGTGTATAGGAAAGATTGATACTAGAAGTGCAGAATGGAACCTTGACAATTCTGAGCTGGGGACTCTAATCGAATTGCTACTACACGTGGAAAAGGATATTTTCCCCCACAGGCGAGATCTTGTTGACGAACATGTCTACACGAATAGCGCCTACTTCGCTGGGCAAGCTCGACGATTCCAATTGATAGTGATCACTACTCTTAGTGAAACTCTTCTCAATTTCTTGGACAAAGTACAGACCTTGAAATATAGCCAGAAGAGACAGGCTTACTATGAGAAAAATAGGTTTGGAGTTGTCAAAAGAATGTATCCTGCTACCGAGGAGCGACGTCGCCTAATATCAAAGTTCATCGCGGGGCTTAAGAGCCTGGCTAAGCTTGGTATACCAGTGCATTGGTGTCCCGGCTCAAAATCTATGTATGAGAAGAGAGTCTTCCTTAACGAGTCATATGTACTCCCACCGGCACTGAACGAGTCCCAAAACGACCCACCCGCTGAGAAAGATGTGGAACCGGGCGAAGACGTAGATGAGGACGAGTTGATAGAAGGTGATTCTCTTGAGGGTATACCAGACCACGACCAATGCCAGAACGTTGAATACGTTCCGGGTCCCGAAGAAGATGCTGAGACCCAGGATGCTGTTTGGGATAGTTTATCTAACCCGGCCAAGTAGCCTGGCTGATGCACAGCCGATTACAGCTTTCCCTTAACATGGGTCGACGTAATATGTATTAGTATAGTTAACTATCTAAAAGTATAAAGTAGTTGCTAACTATAAATAAATAAATAAAAAAGGGGTACCTAAAACAGCCTTAAGCTCATGTGATTTATTTTAAAGTAGTTTTATGTTAAATTTTTAACACCGTAATATCATTAAATAACTGGGATTTAAACTTATATAATGTTTAAAGCTTTGTTATACCCAGTTAATAAACAACGGCTTTAAAGTCACTTTTACTTTTATAAAAAAAAGGCTTAAGTTTACCCACTTTTACGGTTGACCAAACAAGGTATTATGTTAAAATGAAAAAAAATACGCAAATTAAACTTAAATAAATAATTAACCATAAATTTATTTAATTAATTTAATATTTTATACTTTTAAATAAAAAAAAGCTTTATTTTTTTTTAAATATATATTTTATAATTTTATATATAAATAATAACCACATAATTTAATTATATAATTTAACCATAAACGGGTATTACGTAAAAATTACATAAATATTACATATATTTAAATATAATTTTATTAATATATATATATACTTTTTATACTAATTACACGTAATATTTATTTTTTTAAAATACACGTTTTTTAATTAATTAATTAATTATTTAATTTTACATATATATTAAAAATCATTTAAAAAAACCTCGTTAACTTTTTCCTCGAAATAATTATATGTAATTAAATAAAAACAATATAATTAAATTAAATTAATTAAATTAAATTAATTTAATTAAATTAAATTAACTCGATTAAATTAAATCGATTTAATTAAATTAAATTAACTTAATTAAATTAAATTAACTTAATTAAATTAAATAAAAAATTATATAAAAAAATTATAAAATAAAAATATTATTAAATACGCGGTATAAAATTTAACCAATAAAATAAAACGCATTTTATAAAAAAACATTTTAAAATATATATTATTAATTTAATTACTTTAATTAAATATTTACATTATAATAATAACCGTACAAAGTTTAAAAATATATATTAAATTATAACCCGTGACCTTTTACCAACTTTAATTTAATGCGTAATTTTTTTTTTCATTTTGGCACAGTACCTTGTCTGATCAACCGTAACTCTAGTAATTTTCAAAGTCCTGCCAAGAATTAAAGAAGCTATTTAGAACCTTATCTAACGCTTTTGGGCTCCAGGGTACGACGTACGGTACAGGGTTCACAGGAGATGCACTCCGCAATTCCAAGAAGCCGAAAGTGGACCAAGATCGTATGTACTCCTCACCCTCCATCGCGCCGTAGCTTGACCCCGCAATCTCTCTCCTCGCTTTCTAACGAATGCTAGGAACTATTTCCCCCCGATACCCGATATCCACACCTACATATACCGAGGGTTTTAACCCGGTAGCTTAAGAGACAATCCCATGCCACCCCCTTGGCAATCTACTCGTACCTATCTTAATTAATTAATTAATTAATTGTCTCTATTAACACCACCACCAAGCAAAGCAATCCCGTCTAGACATAACCATGCCGCCGATCCCCAAGAACATCATCGTCACCGGCGCCGGCGGTTTCATCGGCCCCCTGCTCGCGGCCCGTCTGCTCAACGACCCGGGGTACCGGGTGGTCCTGACGGACCTAGTCGAGCCGGTCGTTCCCTCGGGGGTCAAATACCCGCAGAACGCGACGGCGCTCAAAGGCGACATCTGCGACCCGGCGTTCGTGGCGTCCCTGCTAGATGCCGCCGCCCCGCTCTCAGCTATATTCATCTTCCACGGCATCATGTCGGCCGGGTCGGAAGCTGACTGGGACCTCTCGATGCGCGTCAATGTGAACAGCGTCAGGGACTTGCTGTTGGCGCTGCGAGCGAAGGACCCCGGTGTTCGCGTGGTTTACTCTAGCTCCCAGGCCGTGTACGGGCAGCCGCTGCCGGACGGCCCTATCTCGGATAGTGTCACGCCGACGCCCGAGGGCACGTATGGTGCGCATAAGTTGATGACGGAGGTCTTCATCAACGATATGCATCGACGGGGCTTTATCGACGCCTTCAGCCTGCGGTTCCCGACGGTCTCGGTGCGGCCGGGCCGGCCTACCAACGCCGCATCGTCGTTCCTGTCCGGCATGATCCGGGAGCCGATGAAGGGCGAGGAGAGTGTCATTCCGTTGAAAGACCGATCGTTCAAATCGTTTCTTACTTCCCCGGGAACCCTGCAGGAAAACCTTATTAGAGTGTTGAACATGGACAGCTCGAAGCTACCGAAGCACATCCGCCATATTAATATTCCCGGGATCTCGGTCTCGATACAGGAACTGATAGATGCGCTTGCTAAGTACGGAGGGGAGGACAAGTTGAAGTACCTCAAGGAGGAGACTAATCCAGACCTCGAACGGATATTGCGAAGCTGGGCACCGGAGCTTGACACAACTACGCCGCTGAAGCTTGGGCTGGCGAAGGATGAGAGCGCGGAAACACTCGTCAAGCAGTATATCGATTCTCTAAAGTCGTAGTATTTACCTGTAATTTCAGATACTACGAATACTCATAAATATGTTATTCTTACAGGTTTCAAAATGGAGTCTAATTAGCAAAACTTGTGATGGATTACGCTGCGATCAGACATCTCCAATGTATCCGCCCCCTGAAGCCCCAAGAGTAGCATAGTAGAGATCCTCCTCCGCGAGAATGACCATTCGCCCGTCACCGGCGAAGTTGAAGTTTGCAGACGTCTTTCCAAGAAAGATCTTTCCGATGAGCTTTCCGGATGGGTTCCACACCTGCACACCGTCGCCGCAACCAGAGTAGACATTGCCATTACTATCGCAGTGAATACCTACATGATTGAGTGTACTTCATTAGTCTTGGGACCTCTTAGGGGGGGTAAGTGGTTCATAATAACGTACCGTCTGGAACACCGGTGTCGACGTATGCAAAGAGCTTACGATTATCCCAGGTCCCATCTTCCTGTACATCGAAACGATAACTGCGAACATATTAGCTGCTGTTCAATTCGGGTTTATCGGCCACGATCGCATACATGCTGGCAGGCTCACTAAAATTCCAACCCAATACTACCTTATTGACCCCAGTATCAGTGACGTACGCATGTGAGCCGTTGGGAGAGAATGTTAATCCTAGGGAGTGGACACGCATTAGAATATGAATGCTTAATATATATGATAACCCCATATAATACATCTTACCGTTATTAACACCGAACCCATCTGCGACTGCAGCGACTGCACCAGTCTCGGGGTTATATCTATATATCTGAGTCCGGAGTCCCGGTGCGGGTCGGAAATCCTGTAGATATCCGTAGAGACTATCGCTGAAATATAGTTCCTTATTGCGAGGGTTGACCGCGGCATCATTTAGGGAATTGAACTGGCGTCCGAAATAATTGTTGAGGAGTACTTTATTGCGAAATATTAGCTAGCTCTCTTCGCCGATTAGACTCCTGTACTTACTAGTTGTATTATACGGTTCCCTCGGATTCATCACGACCAGCTGGGACGTAGCATCATCTCCCTGGCCCTCCGCGGCGAATACAATTTCGCCCTTATAGTTTGTTCCACCTAAAGTAGATTCGTAAGCCGACAAAGTAACCCGGATCTGGAACTAGTTGGTCCTACCATTCGAGTTGATAATGGCGGGTGCGTCAACAGTCTGAACGTTAACGGATCCTGTTGCGTTACGAATATTCGATACGGCCGCAGCTTCTGAAAGCGCGATTTTAAGGATGATATTAGACTTGTTTAGGCCTGTGCCCGCGGCTGCAGCTCCAGCATTTTGCACAAAGAACATCTCATCTGTAGGCGGATACCTAGCGTCGACCGTGTTAGACTTATTTGTGTAAACTTATATGTTCCCTACAAGCATACCAGACGGGGGCCTCGTGAAACATGGGATTTGTTCCCGCGTTGGCGATGAGTGTTAATGTAGGGTTGGGCCCAATCACATCGTAGAACTCATCGTCATAAATGTGGAAAGGCTTTTCCTTCAATGACTCTAAATCATGTCCCGGCGGTATGAAGAAAAACTGTTCTAAATTAGCTTCTCAGGCTCCGAAGCGATGCACGAAGATGTGGTAGAATTTACCGTGGTAGCATTAGCTACTGATGGGGGCGAAACGGTTGGCAGAACATTGAATGATTTCCAGTCAATGACCTGAGCCTGTCCTGGGACCTCACGTTTCAATAGTCGTTCGTAGTTAAATGTTGAAGAGCTACTATAGGCTTGAACGAGAATTCCTGCTGCTAGAAGAACTAGCGCCGCTGAGAAAGATGTCATCCTGTGAAAACTCACACCGTATGCTATTTCGGTATTCCTGTGTTTGGGGTCTTGAGAGGCTGTTGTCGGCACGGGACCTGTCATTTTGTACACCCCCAATCCCCCGAAAGCGTACATGCAGTTCCAGGAACGGTAAGGGTCTAGCTAAGTCATTGGCTAACGATATGCCTAGGCCAACTCCCGGAAAGCTTGATTGTTTTAATTGACGAGGTTGGTTATGCGGGGAACTGACCTCACCAATTTTTCACCGCTTTATGTCAAGGTATTATACCGACATATGCTCCACCTTACTTAACTACTCCTATTCGATATAAGTCTTCGAAATAGCAAGGTTCGTCTAGGAAAGGTTTAGAACCAGATGAATGAATGGGGACCCCGGTTCCGGTAGTTCGGGATGCGATGCGGAGATACGATGCGGAGATACGATGCAGAGATCGGAGCGGGGAAGCGGGGATGCGGGGAAAGTAGCTGATTAGTCCGCTTGTACTGAAAGACATCCTTTTCATTAGATGGTTTTGGTTTTACGTCGAAGAAAGACGTATGTACTTGTTAGACTTACTATAGGACTAACATACTATCTATATCTTTAAAAGCTGAGTACCATAGGGGAAGGTATGCCGAGATAATGTTGTACCCTCAGCTTAAACTCCGCTATTATGTATTAACAAATGAAGTCTTCTACATAAAAATCCCTAATTTCATTGTAAATCCTAGCAAATTGAGGTTATTAATGGGCTCTCTTATATCCGTACATGGGTGTTTAACAAGAACTAAGATATGCTTCGGATACAAGCGCGGTATGAAGTAGCGAGAAGATCCTGTTGTAGGTTTGGAGAACTTCGGGGCGGGTGCACATTCATGCCCGGGGAGGTTTATTACCGCCTTGATTATCAAACTGGTCATGACCTTGCTGATGACTACCTAGGTACGAGGTCAGGTGGGAGGACGACGGCATCCAACAGAGGCCAGCTGACGTGTGCTACGATTTCAATTTGAGAGCTGATCCGTCAGTGAGGATAGCACTGCGGAGGAAACCGTGGCAGCGACCTGAGCTAGAAGATAGTCGATGCCTACTAACGTAATATCGAAATCGAATTATAGTGAGGGAGGTCCTCCATCTGAAGTTACCTGTATCTGAGTTGACGATAAGTTGACGTATAATCTTGTACGTAAGTAAGTAGGGGAGAGGCTCTGAGAAGAGGCGTTTGGGCAAATATGAAAGCGCACAGTGTTGGTTAGGTTAGGTACCGTACCTATATTTAACACTGGAAGTATTGCAATTACAAGTTTACATCTTTATATTTCTTTATCACGGGAGAATACCTCGGTGCAAATCATGGCGGTTATAGAGATGCAAGTCATCTCTGACATCGTTTGCGCAGCAAGTTCTAGCTATTAATGTCCCTGCTCTATTTCTTTTATCTCACCTTTGGGAAGTGGTGCTACATTGCCAAGCGCAACCTCGACACGGCCATCTCTCTCTACCGAAAGACATACCCAGGAGGTGAATCAGACACCTTCTCCATCGTCTGGACCCCGTACTACCTCAACTATAACCCGCATCCCTACAGCGTCGAAAAAGACACCCTGGTCCATGTCCGGAGGTGGATGCGTGGCTGGACTCGGATGAAGGGGCCGACGTTGTAGACCGACAAGCCAAGGAGAGTAAAGAAATGGCTAACGCCGGAGTGCCAATATTTATTGTCCAAAGAAAACACCGCCTGGACTCAACGCCGGATCCGATGGATCTCATGGAGCTGTTTATCGAGGTGAAAGAGGAGCAATCAGGTTAAGTGGTATTGCAAGTTCAAATTTGTAAACTGGACGGTCTTGACTAATAAATGCTCACTCAAAGTGATCCTTACATTCATACGTCATCTAAGTACTACTTATTTATATCATAATGTACAAGTACGAATGTGTCACAGACCATATGCACTATTATATGGATGAGATTGTAATATGTCGAGTAAATGATGGTCCCTCCGAATTTAATCATATAACCTGGTTCTTAATTTAAGTCACTCTCATGTCTCATATTACGAACAACTTCATAGATTTGTCAGTAACACTAAACAGAAAAGCCAGCAAATTTCAAACATAAATTTACAATGTATGTTCCCATAACGTTATCAACAACTCATAATATAACCTTTGTTTGCAAATTCAAGTACAACGTCTTTGATTTCCTCACAACTCAGTTGTAATCGTTCAAACTATGGGACTAGCAAATATATATACCACCAAAATCCCCACAATCATTCATTTTACCTAGTCATCAAGCTCTTTATCCCAATAAGAAAGTAAGCTACCCTACAGTGACCGAAACATAAATATTCAATATGTCCGACCAACAATCCAGTTTCCCCACCCGTAACCAGGGTCCTACAGTTCGCAATCCTGACACAGGGTGTACCGTCCAGCTGGGCGCTGAACTGAAACCTACTGGCTTTGAGCATACGGAGAGGTGCAAATGTATCAAACCTGGAACAGACGAAGAATGGAAGCTCCTATCCGATGGCATCAAACGTGCCCTCGAGACTAAAACATTAGAGATGGATAAAGCTAGCATGGCCTTCGCCCAGCTTCTCTTGGGTATGGGGATTGATGGAATACCGATTGCGGTTACCTTTTCTCCAGGGAAGTAATGAAAGCGATTTGATGCCCAATGATACTACTAGTTAGATGATAATTCAGTAGATACCTAATTTTAGCATAACACTCTCGGGAACCTCCATAGCTGTAAGCTCAATGGGGATGGTACCGGGGGGCGTAAAAGATAGACATCTAAATAAATAAAATATTATTATTAAAGCATAATTATCGTATCTCTAAGTATATTGATGTCTACCTTTAATACTCTTTACATCTTTCGCTTTTATAATAAACTTTGCAATTGGGAATATTATGACATACCGCAAGACAAGCAATGGGATAATAGGGGTTTCTGTTTGGCAAAATAGATACTACGCACAGTAGATAATATATTAGATATACTTCAATTAATGAGATCTCGTTGTGAAAGTGTAATTCTATTCGATTGCTCACTGTATGACGAATAATTCACTCCTATTTTATACGGAGAACTTGCCTATCTGGCCCATGGAACTTAACGGCCTACTTTACAAGAAAGGCTTGAAATTCCCTACCTCTCATAGATTTAAATCTACAAGCTGGCTTTAATTTATATTTACCGAATTTTACATGATTTGCATTCCAATCCACGTTGAAATGTAGCTTTATAAGATATGTAAGCCTCTAAGATATCGAGTTCAAGGATCCTGAAATGGAGTATCCCATGTCACAAGCCCTTCATCGCTTTAAAACCTGTTTCGGCGACTTACATAGTACCCATACAATTAATCCGACCCGACAGCTTCCTAGTCCAGCAAGTAAGCTGTGAGACTAACAATGTCGAAGCCATTAACTGCCCACTTAAAAGCAATTTTAATGAAACGTCTTACTAGGCTTTTGATTGAACAAGCTAGGTAATTGAGATGTTTACGGACCGAAAAACAGAGAGCATGATGGCTATCTCTAACACATGATTCGACGGCCGCTAGTGCGAAGACTGATCGCTTTTCGCCTGAATAAGAAGGTCTTGGCCTGGGGCGTTGCAATGTAACGCTGATCAGTGGAGAAGAGCGCGCATGATAACGGGCACGTCTTCCCCCTGACCTAGGCGCCGGACGGCGATGAAAAGCTTAAAAAGGAGGTAGTGACCGCCTAGCATTGACTGGAAATGGAGGCATCATAGGTCACGACAATATGTTATCTACTCGCATGTTCGGTGCCGGATCCTTGACTGTGCTGTGCCTAGCTCAGTCAGTCCTCGGCGGTACTCTCAAGCAATGTACCGGTACGCTGGAGTTGTCATGCCATAACGACACCAAAGTCGCCGATACCTGTTGCTTCAACTACCCAGGAGGATCGCTATTGCAGACTCAATTCTGGGATACGGACCCTGCAGTTGGGCCTGATGATTCCTGGACTATTCACGGTCTCTGGCCCGACCACTGCGATGGCACGTACGACGCCACATGCGACAGCAAGCGTGCCTATACAAACATATCAGATATCCTAACGGCGGCTGGTAATAACGATCTCCTTAGTTACATGGAGACGTATTGGCTGCCGAATGATGGGACAGGGGAGACATTCTGGGAACACGAATGGGGAAAACACGGCACGTGTGTCTCAACGCTGAACCCGAGCTGCTTCACCGACTACAAAGCCACCGAAGAAGTCCCCTACTTTTTTAACACGACGGTTAGCCTATTTAAGACCCTAACGACGTATAAGTGGCTCGCGGACGCGGGTATCACGCCAAGCTCAAGCAAGACCTACAAGCTCTCTGACATCCAGGCCGCGCTATCTAAGAATCACAATGGCGAGACCGTCTACGTTGGTTGTAGCGGGAGCGCCATCGAGCAAGTTTATTACTACTTTAACGTAAGGGGCTCAGTTGCCAATGGCGAGTTCGTACCGGCGAGTCCGGACAACGGCGACGATGGCGGCTGTCCTAGCACGGGTGTCAAGTATCTCCCCAAGAGCGGGGGTAACGGGGGTGGATCGACGACCACGACTACTTCCAAACCAACGAGCACGACATCGGGTGGATCTTCACCAACGCCAACTGGATCATTCTCAGGGAAGGGTTATCTAAACGCCGTAGTCGGTGGCTCTGAAACAGGGTGTATCATCGGGAGTGGCTCCTGGTACACGACAGGAACCTGTGCGACATTCACAGCCGCTTCTTCCGGGAGCGGATTTACACTCAAGTCCAGCAAGGGCTACTGCTCCGCGTCAGGTGGCTCGCTGACCTGCGCCTCTGGCATCAGCAGTGCTGACGCTGACGTCTTCGCCGCAGATGGAACAAATCTGGCGAATTCCGGTGGCAACGACTGGTATGCCGATTCGGTTCCCAGCGGTTCTACACAGGGTGCTGTGTATTCTGAGAAGGGGTCGCATACGACGACGTTGCAGATACAGTGGGAAAGCATCTGATAAACACAGACTAGAAGTATGGAGCGTCATAGAGATGTGAAATATATTTTGTATAAATGAAACTCGCCGTTCTCTGTGCAGTATAGTGTTGTTCGAATACTAAAGTCAAGATATGTTAATAGGAGTCAGCTATAGCAGAGGAATCTTAGATCATCAAAGCACGAGTATTACAAGGGCAATACTGGTAAACTTAATACCGAGAGAACTGAAGACCAATATTTGGTACATCTTCCATCTATTGGCATTGCTGTCTCTAGAGATCACTAGGTAGAATCTAAATTACACGAAGAACCCCGAATCATAGCGGAGTAACTACTTTGGGAGTTTGAAACCGCCAGGAGTGCCTTTCTGAAATAAACCCTCTGGGTCGTATTTCTTGCTGGTCTCTCTAAGCATCGATACACTCTCCTTTCCATATCCCGCAATGACATCGTCCTCCTTGTAGGCGTAATTCGCAAAGATATAAGGGTGCAATGATGATCTATACCTAGTAACCGCCCGCTCTCTGGACTCTGCCACGAGATTTTCTACTGCCTTGAATATGCGATCGTCATCTTCCGGCAGCGACCAGGTTGGGTTAATTACTACTATGATCAGCGGTCCATCCGAAGGCGGAATAGCCATAGCATTGCCGCCTGCCTTTGCTGAGTTCTCTAACATAGACACAGTCAAAAACTGGAATCCGAGAGTAAAGGTGAACCCCTCGGCATCTTTTAGTTTCTCAAGTGTCTTATCCCATTCTTCACAGATGTCCTCTAGTAATCCGGTATCGTTGGCCTTGATAGTTATCGAAGCCCAGAATTGCCTATCGAAAGTTTAGCAAAGGTTAAGACGAAGTCACATTTTATAGGGGGTCTAACCGTGATCCATCACTTGAAAATTTTGACAATTCCTCACAGAACTCCAGTTGCGTCGACGTCCGCATAGTGCACATTTCTTTAATCCGACGATACCCAAAATCTATAGGGCTCTCTACACCTGTATATTCTCGTAGTGCACGTGGGTTTTCTTCGCCTTGGGTGTGATACATGACACACGCCACAACTTTCTGTCCAAAGCCGTAACCAACGCTATACATGAGATGAGTGTCTTTGTCATGCTCACCAACGTAGGGGTAGCCATCGTGAGGGAATCCGCAAATGCTGTCGATAAGCGGAAAAACTTCTTCGATTACCTCGGGATGGTAGTATGTTATCCCGCCCCATATAGGTCCTGACTTGAAGGTCTTCATCTTGAAAGAGGTAACAATTCCAAAGTTATTCATACCGCCTCTCAAGCTGCGCCAGAGATCGGCGTTTTCTTCCGCATTTGCGCGGACAACCTCGCCAGATGCGAGGACGACCTGGAACTCGACGACCGAGTCGCATGCGAACCCTTTCCGCGTTGAGAATATAGACAAGCCCCCTATCATTAAGTTAGTAAGATAGGTAGTGATCTAGTATAAATGTATTATGACTCAATATTACCTCCTAAGAGGAAGCCGGCAACACCGATACGGCCAACACGAGCACCAGCTACTGTCAAGCCATACTTCTCCAGCTCAGCGTAGACAGGAGTCCAAATCTCCCCGGCAGCAATCTCCACTACTGACTGGTCATCACTTAACTTGATGCCTTTAAGGCCTCGCATGTCTATCGTGACGCCATCCTGGACGTTTGCGCTGCCAGCAATTGGAGAATGGCCAGCGCCTCGGATAGCCAGTTCGCAGTCTCCCGAGAGAACATACGGACGAAGAGCCCGGACTATACCCTGTACCTGCTCGACATTATTTGGTTTGGCGATGAATGAGGGCTTAACTTCGTTCTCGAAGGCACTGAAGTATGAGCCGTTGTCTTTCTCATATTCGGTGCTGCCGGGCTGTAAGACCGAGTCTCCAAGAACGCTGGTCAACGCGTTCAAAATCTGGGGGGTTTTCGAGCTAGTCATGATGGCGACTCAGAGGAAGAAAGCGTAGAGCGAACTTCAGAGGACTTGGACACCAAATCTATCGGAACTAAGGGGTAAGGGGTTAGGACAATGATGGAGTAGAATGAACTACACTTTGGTATTGCCAGGATAATCGTTCATCTATGAAGGAAGTAATATCCCCGTGGTCAAGGTTTCGTCTTTTATAATATCCTCCATATGATTGCCTTATGCAAGCTAGTGGCTTCTTGCCGGTGTTTGTTACGAAAACTACACTCCCATGATGTTGGAGATGCCTTTGCCCTGGCTAGGCGCGCATAGTTTGTCAAATATTTGAGTATGTTAACTATGTAGCGCCTCATCATGTGAGTAAACTATCGGAATAATAAGTCTAAAAATGCCTCCGTACCTATGTAGCACATATAATTCATTAACGCCGAACCGGCATACAGTTCTACTTGTTTAGCTTCGCCAACACATCCAGACCGGTCTTGATCTGCACACCACTATCATATTGTAAAGTAAGCAGTTCGACGCTTGATGATTTCGGATACGACACGCTGGGCATAACCCATGGACACCATTCTAGGCGCACCTTCTTGGCCGCGTGCTCTACCACGAATGATTGATTCAACCGGTGCATACAGCGAATTCTCTAGCAGTTTCCAGTCGTCAAAATGAGTTTGTCCCATGGTTGAGAGCTCCCGTCACAGCTAAAAGGACTTTAACATCAAACGGCGCGAGTTCAAGCCGTAGAGTTTCCTCCATGATTTCCTCAGACCGCTTGGATACGGCAAATGTAGGTACCTAGCAAACTGTCAACCTAACTATTAAACAAGCGTAGTGAAATTGAGAGATAATATTGTAGGTATTGCTATAGTAACAGAAAACTAGACCTTGATAAGGTACGTTGAGATACCTAAACAACGACGTGATGAATACGACGGTCCCTTTGGACTTAATCAACAGAGGCGCGAATGCCTAAGTTACTGCCAGTGGTCCCCAAACATTGAGATCATGCAGCGCTTTCCCAGCTTCTATATCTTCGTCTAGCAACGGCATAAAGTGAATGCGAGCAGCACAGTTGACAAGATACGTCAGTTTGCTATCGATTTCTTTGCTTATGTCGCCTACTGCATCACGGATGTCTGTAGACTTAGTAACGTCAAGCTGATGCAGCTTGACGTTGGGCAAACTCTCAACTTCAGACATTGTTTCCAAGCTGTGGGAGGCCGCGAATATTTGATAGCCTTGCTTCTGGAAGCCTTTTGCCATAGCAGAACCTGCCATGCCATTGCTGCAGCCGGTAATCAAGACGGAGCCTTTAAGGGACATTTTGAGCAGAGATATTATCGACGAAGTTGAAGTTGTCGGCTTTGTAAGTTGGGTACTCAGATGGGCTAGGAATGGAATTTTGCGAAATCACTTAAAATATTGAGATTTTACTTCGTATAAGAAACTTGAGCAATATATAAATCTTGATAAATCCTATCCCTTGCCTTCAGTAGAGAAAGTCGGATGCACATCAGGTTTCTTCAGCCCTTTATTCCAACGTTATAATTATACCATCTCTTGCTTTACAGTATCTCTTTTGGCACCAATATCAAGAGATGCCTATAAATTTGATCCTTAGTCAGGTTTATAGATATTACTGGTCAGCCTAAAAAACGAGGGCTCAACTTATCACTCTTAGGTAGGTATAAGCTGGAATTCGAATATCTTAATGTCGCATCATATATCAGGCGTAATTGCTAGTCAGCGATTACGGCGTCGTTTTTCGTGTTCGACAGTTAATAAATGGGTGATAGTTTTTACCTACTATCATCTAAGATACAGAATACCTAAACTACCGTGGTGATAGAATACATGGGTGGAGGTAAACCATAACATCTACCACCGTCAAAACTGAAATCACTGTGGTATAGACGGAATCCTCTCCCACGTGCAATTCTTGCATCGACCGTGTCTACATCCATTCGTAGTGCACATAATCTCCTGAGGTGCAAATGAGTGCTTACACTTGCAACTACAAGTTACGTTAGCCAACCGTAAATAGATAGAAGACGCCAGGATGAGTAGGGCTACAACATAGTGTCTCGGAAAGGCTCCCCCTTGCCGCTCACGCCAAAATAACTACCAGCTCAACCACATAGCAGCCGGAATGACAAGATGATAAAGAGATGCTTACCATTTCCAAAGATGGGTTGCATAGAGAGGCGGGTCCTGTTTATAAGGCGGATCCGGGGTCGGCGGCCTTGGTGGAGGCTTGGGAGGGTTAACTTCGCCTTTCGAGTGATTCCCTAGAGATTCGCCCGCCATTGAGGAGGATAAACTGCCGAAGCTGTAACAACGAGGGTAGCCGTGGATCAAGTTATGCGGATAAGAGTTCGGAAATCGAGAAAGATCGCAAGATATCGTGTTGGTTGAGACACTTTCGGTTCTGTTGATTTGATGATGACCTAAAAGTCCATGCACAGTCAAGGGGGTCTTTTCGAGTTTAAATAGATCTTGGACTAAGATGATGACTGGTAACTATCTACAATGGTTGACGCATCGTCGCGCAGATATCTTGCTGACTTCCTTAGAATACTGACTTAGGTACCACAAGTAAGAGTCCGAGCTGTATAGTGCTAACCTCTGTACGTCACCAACTCACCTAGGATTCATTAATACTCCCGTAATGAGTAGTTCTATCGTCTCGACTCGTGGATTAAGTATGCAAATCAAATCGCGATGTTTTTCTAGTCGTCCCTACAAGATATCTAATCTTCACGTATCCGGAGAAATAATCTCTCGATACTTATTAGAAGGCAACACGAGCGAGATATTGAGGTCAATCCCTAGAAAAGAAAGGGGAAGGACGTCCACTTATAGACACTCGAGTAGTATTCCAAAGATTCAATTGTAATATACTACTCTACCGCGACTAAATAGTCAGGGATAGAGTAATATTCGAAGACAGGGTATTATTGAGCTTATATGGATAAATGAAGAGAACCTTGAAGACCAGAGGAATAATTTCAGCCTATGAAGGACCTCTGGTTGACGCCCTTCCCCTAGTTTCACCTATTGTGGCTCTATCTATGAATGCCCTTTAACACCGTATGATAGGGGACGTTACTTTGACCAAAATTATGCGCTCAATGCAAGACAAGCATCCACTGCAAGACCAACCCTATAGGACACAAGTATTAGCAAATTAAAATATCCAGACGATGTGGTGAGCAAACTAACCTTCCCTCTTTCTGATAGACAACATCGCTAATGATATCTCGGTCCAAATCCGGAAACATACTAGCCAGAGTTTCTACAACATTGTTATGCTCCGCTCGGTGGATCCTTTGAGCTTCGGCAACCTCAGCGCTAGCCTGCCTTGCTGCAGCTTCTTCAGCTGACAATCGCTGGCGCGTGTCTATCGAAGGGGGCTGCCCATCAACGCTGGGCCGAGGACTAAGTCGTGACGTAGTATCTGGTTGAGGCATACGGGCAGGCGAACTAGGACCAGCACCGCTTGGATCCTCTGAAAACATACGACCGATAGACGACAAGGGCTTTTGAATCGAACGAAGTAAACCGGATATTGCTGGACTGTCTTCACCGGAGTCATCATCGTTGGATGACAAAGATTGGCGTGGTGTAGCTGACCCATCCATATCGAGCGATGGGCGCGCCGAAGAGGTACCCGGGGGATACAGTCCAGTCTTTTCGGACTGCCGCGGCTGTGCTACAGCAGGCGGTTCTTCCGCTCGATGTTTCTCTGCAATAGCAGAGACGGCTGCTTCTACGTTTTTGTCGAATTCCTCATCGGATATCGTCAGAGAAGTACGGTCCATGCTCTCGATGAACTGTATAGCACCCATCTAGTTTGCAAGGTAAGCAGACAAAATTATTAAACAGATTTTACTTCGAGGCTTACCAAAGATGAAAGATAGTATCCAGCTTCCCCGCCGAGTTTTTCCTGGTTCCGGAATCGCAAAATGTAATGGACATTAGAGACCAGGTGGTCGGGATTAGACCGTAAAACGACGTATATCAAAAGCGGCATGAGGGAGTCAGCGGAAGAGTCGGACTTATTATGTTTAAGAAGGCCTAAACTCCCAATTAGTTAATGCTATGACATGTTGACATATCGATCTTTATACCAAATATGACTTTGCAGCAGTTAAGAACGCAAATGATCTTGTCTCGAGGTGCTCTGTAGGATTTGATTTTTAAAAGTTCTAGAATCATTAGCGACTAAGCCTCGGTTATAAGAGCGTGGAAAACGTACCCTGCTGAGCTAGAACGAGAAATCTTTTGCCGCTATCACTGGCAGGCGGAATATCTAAGTGCTCTTCTCGGACCCAGCTGTAGATATTGATCTTCTGCGCTAGTATTTCGTCCCTCTCTACATCCTCTTGGTGCTGCCCACGTCGCCCTGGCCCCAGTGGCAGATCACCCCCTCGGCGTTTCGGTTTTGCGCCTGGGATAGGTTGGGGCGGAGGTATTGCGGGTGAAAAGGTCTGCGTGTAGAGCCTGTTCATGACAAGCTTCTCCATTCCTTCTCGGGCGTTGTCGAATTCCGCGTCCGACACCTCGCTCCATACCTCACATTGAGCCATTTTATTGGCTATGAACGTAAGGAAATCGCTGATAATTTTAACTTGCTCGTGAACCATCCACTGACGCTTTGCAAACTCTGACAAGAAAGACTTGAGATATCTTGCAACGGGATCGGCCTTCTTATGTTTGAGCTGTTCTAAAAATCGGTGGAAGTCAAACGGTAGAGCTGGTTCTGGCTCCGGATCTGGAGGTGGAGGTCTATGCAGGGGCGCCACAGACGAAGTCTCATCTGACAGCCCGTCCTTGGGCGGAACAGGCGGACCGTAGTCATCAGGCTCCTTTAGCTTATCCCTTGACCGGGCATTTATCGGCGAGGTGTTGGAGATCCTTGGACCTTGCACGTCCTGTAGCTGCTGAGCAATACTCGGCACAAGGGGTTCAAGGCTAGACTTCCTCGGCGGATGCTGTACCGGGGGGCTACCTAAAAGAGGCGAAGCAATCTCAAGCCGCGGGCTCATCACTTCATCTGCTCCTGGGCCACCGCCATCTTCGGGAAACTGTTCCATGATACTCTGAATTTCCGAACGAGATGCGCCTTCTTGCTCATCCTCGCTTGGATAACGTCTCTCGTCATATCCGGCATCGGATCGAGTTGGGGAGGGCTCTAGACCATGCCCCTTGGGTCGATGGGAGGAGTTGGCTCTGGACGGCGGCTGGGACCCTTCGGGAGTGGGAGGCGTCGGGTCGACATATGGGGCAGTTGTAATAGTTAAGTATTGCGGCTTCTTGGGTTTGAGAGTCGCGACTGAGGATTCCATAGGGTCAACTGGAACGTCAGATGTAGATTCTTGACCAGTCTTATCCACCGATACATCTTCGACCTTAGTATCTTTCTCGGGGATAGCGTGGTCGGCTAGGGACTTATCCTCGGCAGGGTCTATTAAGATGGCTTGGTTGTCTAGGGCTTTGGGCTCCTGTATGCTTTCTTTCGTCTCGCCATCTTTAGATTTGCTTGGAGCCTCAACCTGTCCTGACTCTGACGGAGTAGCCGTGACGGTCGGTAAAGTATCTGGCGGATCGGCAGGCTTTTGATCCCTCATGGCGGGGTCATGGTCGGAGGTGATGGCAACCTCTGGTCTGACAAGAGGGCTTGCAGACTCTGGTAGGGACTGTTCAGGAGGAGGCATGCATGAAAGGTCGAGTTGCTTAATCGGTGGTTTAGGATATAGAGATGTTTTTAGTTGTGAGGTGGAGATAAGAAATGTTGCAGCAACTTTATGTAATTAGATAGGCGGCAGGTACAGCAGGCAGAGCCAGGTAATAGTATGTGCATGTGCTGGGATAAGTTTTATCGTTATCGCTTTCCTAGAAACGCGTGAAACTGTGAACGCTGGAGACTTGCATTAGGTTGCTCTAATTAATGCCGACTAACGCCCTGGCGCCAAGTTCCGAGAATTAGAGTTGGATACCGCCACAGGTTATTTAGACGCTAACGAACGCCAGAAGCTAAGCCACTAGAGGCACCTACCGACTCATACAAGTACCTAAGGTACATATCTGATCTGCACCAGTGAAAGGTAATGAATTCAACAAACACTGGTGGTTCAAGTAATCTATATTTATGCTATAGTTTATTAAACAAGCTATGGTTAATATAGTTTATTTTATCTTCTAGGTTGTGTGTTTAAGTATGGACTTATTTAACTGCATCATATACATTTACAAAGAGGCTATTAAGATCTTTAATAATAAGTAGCTTATTCATGGCTATGAAATCAATTTAATAACCAACA